AGACCATTACAAATGATGGAGCCACAGTGATGAAGGTGCGTTTTGCTACTGATGAAAATCTATGATTGGAGGAAGTTGTTGATTCTGATTTCCATGTATTTGATAGCTTTTGGATATTGTGCACCCCGCCGCCCGCATTCTCACAGATATCGCTCGGTCCCAAGATGCCGAAGTTGGTGACGGAACAACCTCCGTAGTTGTCCTGGCTGGTGAGATTCTGAAGGAGGTGCGAGGCCTCGTTGAGCAGGGTGTCAGCTCGCAGACCATCATCAAGGGTCTGCGGAGGGCGAGCGCCATGGCCGTCAACAAGGTTAAGGAGATTGCAGTGGATATGATGGATGCCTCAGAGAGCCAGGAGAAGAAGGTTCAGACACTAAGACGGTTAGCCGGAACAGCCATGAACAGCAAGCTTATCAAGCGGAATTCGGACTTCTTCACAAAGAGTGAGGATCCCCTACCTAGTGGTTGCAATTTTGCCCCGAGGCTGACGAGTTGGTATCTTAGTGGTTGTGGATGCGGTACTTTCGCTGGACCAGAATGACCTCAACGAGAGGTTGATCGGTGTCAAGAAGGTTACCGGAGGTGGTCTCCAGGATTCGCTTTTCGTCGACGGTGTCGCCTTCAAGAAGACTTTCTCCTATGCCGGTTTCGAGCAGCAGCCCAAACATTTCAAGAACCCCAGTATCGTGTGCTTGAATGTGGAGCTGGAGCTTAAGAGTGAGAAGGACAATGCGGAAGTCCGTGTCGAGCAGGTCTCGGAATACCAGGCCATCGTCGATGCTGAATGGCAGATCATCTTCAACAAGCTTGAGGCTATCTACAAGACAGGGGCTAAAGTCGTGCTCAGCAAGCTGCCTATTGGCGATCTTGCCACACAGTACGTGCTTACTATTTGCTATGGGGTATCTGTCTAGACACTAATGATCTGATTTGCAGGTACTTCGCGGACCGAGACATCTTCTGTGCTGGCCGTGTGGCCTCCGACGATATGGACCGTGTTTGCCAGGCTACCGGAGCCGCCACCCAATCGACATGCACTGACATCCAAGAGCGCCACCTGGGTACCTGCGGCGCGTTCGAGGAGCGCCAGATTGGTGGAGAGCGTTTCAACTTGTTCTCCGACTGCCCTCGTGCTAAGACTTGCACTCTTGTCTTGCGTGGTGGCGCTGAGCAATTCATTGCGGAGGTGGAGCGTAGTTTGCACGATGCTATCATGATTGTCAAGCGTGCTCTGCGCAACACAACCATCGTTGCTGGCGGTGGTGCTACTGAGATGGAGTTGTCGAGCTACATGCACGGGTTTGCCGACCGTAACGTCCCGCACAAGCAGCAGGCCGTCGTTAAGGCATTCGCCAAGGCTCTGGAGGTTATTCCCCGTCAACTGTGTGATAACGCTGGCTTCGACGCTACAGACATCCTGAACCGCTTACGTGTGGAGCACCGCAAGGGTAACACCTGGGCTGGTGTCGACTTCGACAACGAGGGCGTCCGTGACAACATGCTGGCCTTTGTTTGGGAGCCCAGCCTGGTCAAGGTTAATGCTATCCAGGCGGCAGTGGAAGCCTCATGCTTGATCCTGAGTGTGGACGAAACGATAAGTAAGTGACCTTTGTTTCTTTTTCACTTTCCGTCTATATCATGACTAATACATATGTTCTTTCCAACAGAGAATGAGGAGTCGGCCCAACCTGGTCAGCAGCGCGGTATGCCGCCCGGTGCTGCCCAGCGCGCCCTCCGGGGCCGTGGCCGCGGTATGCCCCGACGAGGATAAACGAGTCTGACCAGAATTGGATGATGCTCGATGATATTCCCCCCAAAAAAAGAAGTACACCTGCATGATTGAAGGTCACGAAGTAGTTGATGGGAACTCTATTCTGACCTTGGCTTCAGAGCCGGTGTGAGATGAATATTGAATATGAAGTACAGGGAGAATAGAAGAGTTAGAGATAACCACGGGGTCTTTCGTACATATGAATATAAACATCATGAAAGTACTCCGTATTCCTTCCCGCAAATGAGATATCAGATGCAGGCCGAGCCGATCCGAGCAAATCTTCCGGAGTACTCCGTCCTATTTTGCTTTTCCATTTTATTTGGAATCGATCTATTTCTTAACCTTTTTAATGTTTTTTTGCATCTTATTGGTCTATTTATAATGCCAAGACGGTGCTATTGAATCTCCTGGAGCTGTATGACATGCAGAAGGGCAATATATTATGATCTATCTCCTAAATTTTCTAATATATAAAATTGAGTACAGAGTACCTACATATGAAGTACGGAGTATATATGCAGGAATCTTCAAGGATTAGGCGAAGCCCAATGAGTCTTGGGCTTCCAGGCAGGGGTTGATCGGGGCTGCCGAAGGTTCAAATATAAAAAAGTACATTCTTACATTACTTTATTTTTCTGTTTTTCCCTTGTTTTTTTCTTTTCTGTCTTCTATTTTCCCCCTCTTTTTCAGTTTCATTTTCATTTTGATCTTGATCTTGATCTTTGTTTAGTTCCGATACAGCCTTATAAGGAGATAAGAGGACGAACCTCTTAGTATACGTATGTGGCTAGTTTCTAGATCCTCTCCAGCTGTCTTCATTCTTTAATTCCCAAAATTCTTCAACTTTTCAAACTCTTTAACTTGATCTTATTTGGATATTCTGCTTTCACCGTTGCCTTACCCTGTTCAGGGCTTGGCGGCTGCCGTACTTCCGATCTGTTTTGCCTTCAAATCTCCCTTTCTCCACATTCAACGTCGCGTTCTGTTCTCTACATCTTTGCATCTCGCTTGATTCTCTGGGTGGACTGAGAGATCTTCTCTGATGTCTTACTATCCACCCTACTCGGGCGCCCCGGGGTACCCCCCGCAGCAGCCGTCATATCCCCCGCAACAGTATCCGTACGCTTGCTTATCCGTTTGCTCTGAGAAACTCGAGCTGACAAATATACGATCGCAGTCAAATGAATCACCAGCAGCCATCGTATGGTGGCTACCCTGGTCAGTCTTACCACCAGCAGCCGCACCACCAACAGCCGCCGCCCCAATCCAACCCGTACGGTTACAGCCATTCGCCCCAGCCTCACCAGTCCTACGGCGCGCCGCCTCCTCAGCAAGGTTACAATGTATGATATGATGATATTTCTGTCAAATATACACGAGATTGACATATTAAACCTTTCCAGGCTCCGCCATCTGGGTACAACCAGCACCCGCCCTCCGGGCCACCAATGCATGGAAGACCAGGTTCGTCTACCATTTCCCGAAGAACCATCTTCCCAACAATGAAAGCTAATAATGCGCAAATTTAGCCTACGGCCAAAGCGGCGGTCCTCCTCCCCCTCCCACCAACCCCGTCGCCTTCGGTCACGGCGCTCCCCAAGGCTACAGCTTCCAATACTCCCGCTGTACAGGCAAGAGAAAGGCCCTGTTGATTGGCATCAATTACTTTGGCCAGAAAGGTCAGCTGCGCGGATGTATCAACGATGTGAAGAACATGTCGGCCTACTTGAACCAGAACTTCGGCTATGCTCGCGAGGACATGGTCCTCTTGACTGATGATCAGCAAAACCCAATGAGCCAGCCGACCAAGGCAAATATTCTTCGGGCTATGCACTGGCTGGTCAAGGATGCGCGTCCCAATGACTCGTTGTTCTTCCACTACTCCGGTTAGTAACCATGCCTCAATCGCTTCTACGGCGGTGAACTAATAAGAATCCAGGACACGGCGGTCAGACCCCCGACTTGGACGGCGATGAAGAGGATGGGTATGATGAAGTTATCTACCCGGTGGACTTCCGCGTTGCAGGCCACATAGTTGATGACGAGATGCACCGTATCATGGTGCAGACGCTACAGCCGGGAGTCCGCCTTACAGCGATCTTTGACTCCTGCCACTCTGGCTCCGCTCTGGATCTCCCCTACGTGTACTCCACCTCTGGTATACTCAAGGAGCCCAACCTGGCCAAGGAGGCTGGACAGGGCCTGCTTGGCGTGGTGTCGGCATACGCGCGTGGTGATATGGGCAGCATGATGTCAACCGCCATGGGTTTCATAAAGAAGGCCACCAAGGGCGACGAAGTGTATGAGCGCAACAAGCAGACTAAGACCAGTCCCGCGGATGTCATCATGTGGTCTGGCAGCAAGGATGACCAGACCAGTCAGGATGCCCAGATTGCCGGCCAGGCCACTGGTGCCATGTCCTGGGCCTTCATTGCCGCGCTTCGGAAGAACCCCCAGCAAAGTTATGTCCAGCTTTTGAACAGCATTCGTGATGAGCTTGAGTCCAAATATTCCCAGAAGCCACAGCTGAGCTGCAGCCACCCTCTAGGTAAGATTTCCGGGTTACTTGGTCGTAGTCATATTCTGACAATCCCTACAGATACCGACATCCTTTATGTGATGTAATTACCTGGAAATGAAGACAAGGAACGATGCTTGTCTGGCTTTCAATAAAGCATGTTTTTGTGTTTGATGAATTGCCCTGTATGTAATTCCACCCTCGGTGTTCCAGTCCATATTCGACCTGTGGGTGGTGCACACTTTTTGTGATTAATCCTTATGAATCTGTGATCTACCCCTATTTATCCATTGAAAATGAGCTGCATATTACCTAGCTCAGTGACGAAAGGTTTGGAAACATCGGTCCTTCTGACATCATCGTAGACAACTGCCCTGGGCATTTGCTTGGGCATCTGCAACACTATGTCCCTCTCCCTCCTTTCTGTTTCAACTATGGGATAATATAGCACGGGTTATCAAGATCAGCATGCCACAAGCTCTTGATCAGTTAAACATGTTGAACCCGATATGACGGGATCCGTCATTGGCGGGAGAGCTAGCCGAGTGATATGGATATGGCGCTGTACGGACTTCATATCCTCAGGGAGATAGGCCCGTCATATGTCATTTTTGCCTCCGTGGAGATTGAATGTCCTCAACTGATCTGAATTCTCAATGTAACAAGAGCAGATTCGATCCCGAAACGCAAGACCCCGAACCAAACACAATGGAGTCATATCGCCAGCATCGCAAGATTTGCAAAAAGATCGAGCAACAATTTGTTACAAAACATGAGAAGCCTGAGAATGTCTGGACCCATGAGGGTCGCTACTATTACCGCGAAGGAGAGATTCAAACGGAACCTCGCGAGCCGGGTGATGACCCGGGTGCCGAACGAAGGAGGGAACACGGCCACCGCACTTTTATCACTGGGCCATCTCTTCAACCTCGCCATTCCGTTCGATCGCACATAGAGCGGGAAGGAGATGTCGAGGGTGCGGAGTATGAACCGGAAATGTCAAGCGACCCGCATACTATCAACACAGAAGAGACACTGGGAAACACGCCTGATCTCATGGTGACTGGCGTTGAAAGACCCCGGCCAGGTTATTCGACGGATAGCGAGTCTGATATCGAGTCTGCGAAAAATAACAAACTCATTGTCGTCACGTTTGAAGGTGAAACTGACCCGATGGATCCTCACAACTGGTCACTCAAACGTCGAGTGTTCACAACTATTATCACTTCGTTGACTGCATGTGTAATCTTCTGGTCATCCACGATCGATTCCACTGCTCTCCCAACAACCAAGAAATTGTTTCATACTACCTTCGAGATTCAGACTTTGCCGACTGGTACGTGGTTAAACCTTTTAATAACTTCAACCAGACTGACCGAGATTCTCCAGCTATGTTTCTGATCGGTACTGGAGTAGGCGCATTAATAACTGGACCTATATCAGAGGTTGTTGGACGAACCCCTATATACATACCCTCCATGGTCGCGTTCATGTTGTTTGACATGGGAGCAGGGCTTTCCCAATCAGCACCACAGCGAATTGTTTGCCGCGGTTTAGCTGGACTTTTCGGGTCTGCCCCGGCAATTCTAGCAGCAGCATCTATCGTGGATATCTGGTCACGTATTGAACGAGTCTACGCCTTCCCGATCTTTGCGATAATCACATTCACTGGTCCGTTGGTGGGCCCAGTACCAGGATCATTTGTTGTCCATGCTAAATCGGTAAGCTGGCGTTGGGTGGACTGGATGACCATCATCTTCGCAGGACTTGTCCTGATCCCAGTTGTGCTGTTCCTGCCGGAGACATACAGCCCGATCCTGCTGTACTGGAAAGCGAAAGAGCTCCGCCGCATGACGGGCGACGACCGGTACCGGTCCCCGCTGGAGTTTAGAAAAGCTACGTTCGCCCAACGCATGCGTACCTCGCTCTACCGACCATTTGTACTTTTCGTGACAGAACCAATCATCATGATCCACTCGCTCTCACTCTCCCTTCTTTTCTTGGTCCTGTACACCTTCATCGCGGGCTACGTCCTTATCTATCAGCAGGCAAGCCACTTTAGCGCAACCTCAACCGCCCTCGCATTCCTGGGCATTGAGGTCGGAGTCCTTCTTTCAGCACTGACACTCCCGATCACAATGTGGCTCCTCCGTAGGGAGATTTACCGCAGTCGGGCGAGAGGCGAACAACGCCCAGACCCGGAGATCAGTCTGTACATGGCTATGTTTGGTGCGCCTTGTGTTCCTATCTCGCTATTCTGGATGGCCTGGACGACCAAGCTCGAAATTTCGTACTGGAGCCCGCTCGTCGCTTCGGTATTCTTTGGCTTTGGCACGTTGTGTGTTTTCGTTTCGGGGTACCAGTACGTTGCCGACGCATTCGAGGCACAGGCTGCAAGCGCGCTTTCATGTCTTCAAGTGACGCGGCTTGTTACTGCCGGTGCTATGGCTATTGTTGCTGAACTCATGTATCACAGGCTTGGTGTTGCATGGACGTTGACTCTAATGGGTTGCCTTTCGTTGTTCTTTGTGCCTGTGCCCTATTTGCTCTACTGGAAGGGGTATAAAATACGTTCATGGAGTCGGTATGCGCGGGGGCATGCGTATGGCTAAGGTTTGTGTACATGAAGCCTTAGAGATAGGTCAGGAGATAGCCCAAATTATAAGTATAGTGATGAATGTCGCTATCCTAGCTAGTTCTTGTTTGTCGATCTTGATATGTTCCCAAGGTTCTAAAAGCCGAACCTCATGGTACGAACAATCCACCTCCCTTTGGTTCATTGACTTCCTCCATGCTATCGATCCAAACCACTTGCTAGAGAATGACCTCCTTGTCACGAGTCTTAACTTCGATCTTGTCTGCTAGATCGTAGATGGGATTACAACTATTGTCGGTGTTCCCACGAGACCAATTGAATTGCTTTTGCTGTTCTTCCAAAATCATGTCGGACAGCGATGTATATGGTGACTGCAAACTGGCCACGAGGCAAAGTTGCTCTGGTGAGGTCCCTCGTCTCTTTCTAAATTTAACATTTGAAATAAACAGAGGAAGAAAACTAGAGAATTGAGCAAAATAGAAATGCAATGCTACATGTGTAGACAATTATTGAAAATAGTTTGTAATGCGTTGTTAATGCATTGTTGTTCGATCGTTAACATATTGGTAACATATTATTAACATGCTGGGTATTATATCTATAATTCTTTGATATTTCCCTAATTATAGCTAACCTACCTTGAATGCCCAAAAAAGGAACTCAATTGACAAGGTTCAATTTAAGGTAGATGGAACGTGGAAGATCGTCGATAACGGACGAATAGAATAATGAATTAATAATGAAATATCTCCACTTGCCCGCAGCCATAAACCTCCCGCCCCAGAGCCCCACCATATGTTGTATACTCCGTACACTTTAGGTATTGCCCTTTCGATTGGCATCTTAATTGGCATTGCGATTAATTTTGCGTTTCATGTTGCGTTTCATGTTGCGGTTTGAACTGCGATTTGAACTGCGATTTGAAGTTGCGACCGTGGGGGAGGTTAAGGACGGGGCTGAATCGGAGGAAGCAAAGAGCGAATTGTACCATGCTAAACATTTCATTAGGAACGTTTTGGAAAGTTATACCATTCAGCTTACCTCAAACTTTCTCCTGTTCAATGTAACTGATTCGACCGATGACACCGTCTGCAACTTGCACATCTTCACTGTGGCGGCTTACATGCTTTCGCAAGTTTCCAGTCCGGTAAGGATGCTAAGAACAGTAATCCAAACACTCCTTCATAGATTTATGATAGCTCGATGCTCATTTAGCACAGGTTTTGGGGGGTATAGTTGCATCGCTGACAGTGCACCTGGGTAACGACAGTATTGCTCGCCAATTTGCAGAATCAAGCGATTATTCTCATCCTATATATTAAATGGTCTTTATCAGCTCCTTGTATACTACTTCCATTCACTAGGGCTCTCTTGAATGTGACCACTTACCCTTTCGTATTCCGGCATTGAAAGTTCCCTAAATGCAACTTCACGAACGTAACTGAGATACGCAGGATGCTTTAGCTAGAAAGTAGGGCAAGTCATAGTCAGAGTGTAATGCAGAAATGGAGCTGAATAAAGGCAATTTTCTTTGAAGGTTGTGAGAATTCGATGGGTAAACCAAATCCCACGCGGCCTGCTAAAAACCCGTGGATCTCCCATCTGTATAAAACACGGTCACGTGAATGGATCAAATCAGTTTTCGACTCCAAACACGCGTTCTATCTCAAAAATAATTTAATCTCGAGAAGACACCAGTCTCCCCTACAGTTTAAAACGTCGGCATTGTTTGAAAGCCACATAGATTGCATTCTTTAACTGAACCACTGCTGGCTCTGGCCATGATATCGTTCCACAATGTCCATCATCCTTGAAGACAATCAGCGACCTCAATTCCTACGTCTCGGTCCCACATGGTATCATGAGATTCCTTTTCTACCACATGGATGGGAAACAACCAATGATCGAGGATCTGGATCACTCAAGCATGCAGCAATGAAAGCACTGCTGCAGGACCAGTCCGCGCTGAAGCCTGAGTTGTTTGAATACGTCCACTGGTATTTGGCAAAATACCTTTGGGATTCCCTCGAAAAGTGGTATGACATCATTAGAGGTTTTTTTGTAAAAACCGCTTGGGAACTTCTCAAGTCTGTTTATCCAAGTCTAACTGTCCACACAGCAACAAGCAGACAATGCACATGTGGAAAATAATGGCTAGCGTGTATCCTGGACAATTCCATGAGGTTAGTCCATACTACTGCCTCAATGCTAGCTATCCCAAAAAGCCACTGAGAGACTACATGGGTCTTCTCAATAGCGACGACTTTCACTGGCGTGCAATCTTGACGATTTCAACCGCATATTGTACTGCCACAGACCTGACTACTATACCAAACATCAAGAATCTGGTTGCCCTGGATATTTACTATGAGCCATATGAGCCAAGAATTGCCCCGCTGGATCCCGTGGGTCTTAGCAATGATAGTCTCCCTTTGCAAGACGGATTCGTGCGTGGTTGGATTGAATCCAAAGAGTTACAGCACCTCCGCATTCTCAGATTTTATAACCAGCACGAAATAACCGTTGCAACACTGGAAGCTCTACGTGAACTGCCAGAGCTCCAGCTCGTTGTGGCTTACGAATGTGAGAAGATCACAGAGGTGATTCGAAAATACAATAGGCCGGCGGACGACATCATTCCCATGAATGGATGGTCAGCCTGCAGACTTGATTGGTTTTGGGACACCCACGGAATGCCAAAGACAATCGATGATAATTTGTTGGCCTTGCGTCATGTGTACGAGTCTAGCCTCCAGGCACCCGGAAAAAAGCGCTCGGGAAGACCGTCGTCCCTGCCAACGCATACCCCTATTTTGGAGTTCAAACTACCAACCGTCGACCACAGCAGAACAAAGGTTGTTATCCGCTCTCGCTATAGTATCAAGTCGATTGTATTATTTACTCGAGATACGGCGAAGCAAAAACGTGGAAGGGAAAAGAGACGCACTGAAGCATCCGAAAAAGGGGATCGTTCCTCAAAGCGAGCAGTTATGAGAGATAGAAAACCTATGGATATCTCGGAGACTCTGAATCAGTTCTTTTGATGTATTCACCATTCACGGAACCGGAACATGGGTTGGATGATGGGCATGGCATAACATGTAATAATTCTGCGTCATCTTTGAAGCGATATTCTAGTATGAGTTTTAAATTCTTGTTATTTCGTCAGCAAGCACACAGAACATCCATGGATAACCACATATGACTATAAAGAAGGAAAAATCTCCCTCGATTGCTTTTTGGAGAGGTATGTATTGTTAAGAGCCAATTGTGACTGGTTTATTGTACATTCTTTATTCCAGCCACTAGAAGCAGTCGTTCTTTCCATATTTCCCACTTAGGTTATTACATGTTTCCAAGGCTCGAAGGCGTCCCCTAGAAGGATATCCCACCCTGGCCTTTTATATCAAGGGACATTCAAATCAGACCTTCTAGCCAGAAAGAAGAATTAACCGTAAAATACAAAATACGGGAGGTAAAAACGCCTAGTAATGTGCAAAATGACTTTTCCAAGTATAACATTGGAATATTGCATGTTCTCATTATGCCATATGTGGTATAACGTCTTATATTTTCGATGGCCTGTTTAATCGCAAGTCTACTCTGCATCAGAGTCAAAGTCTGGCTCAATAACCGGGAATGTCAAAAGCGCAGCGATGCCACCCAGCCCTTCGAGACGCTTTCCACTTTCATGATCTGAGCTGAGAATTCGCACTTCACCACCCTCAACATCGCGGACCCGGTCCACAAGCCCCACCCAACGTTTCCGCTCAGCGATATCCTGGGACCGAAACAAGCGATTCGAAACAATAAGTACGCCGCCACCTCGGCCGACAGCACCTTGTTCAACCGCGTGCTCAACCTCACGAGGACCGTACGTGGCTTTGTTGGTCTCCTTGCGCAGTTGTTCTTGGAAATGGTCCATCAATTTGGTCTCACGGGCATACTTAGTATCAGCCAGGATGGTCTTAACTGCGGGCGACTGCAGAACCTCTGATAGTGAATTAGTATACCCCGATGCGGAGTGTACAACCACGAGACTGGGAAGAAGTCGCTTGAGTCCAGGCGTCGTTGTTGATGCCTCTGATTGGATGTATTTCTGGAAGCCAGAGGCAACAAACCCGGGTGAGGCAAGAAGCACGGGCCGTACGGCTTCGTTGTTGGCTCCTGAAGTAAGACTGGTATTGAACTCCATTTGTCGAAGGAGCGTCTCGAGTGTAACTTTGAAAAACTTGTTCATTCCCTAGTATGTGGCGTAAGTTTTGAACCTCGTTAATAGACACAATATAAACTCACTTTATCATGATCCCCTCCACCCTGCCGTTTCCGTGGCACAGACATCTCGATCTTTTGCTTCATTATTGTCTGGAATTGGCCAATAAAGCAGATATGAGCCAGACCTTCCTGCATCACTACAGCGATAGCCTCTGCACGACGTTTACCGCTTTCGTCCACAGCATCCTTGAGTGACTCAATTGCAATACTGTCCCACCCGACACCTTCTCCATCTGCCCCAACCTCTTTCTCTAATGTGAAATTGCGATTCAACTCTAGGTCGAGGGTATGGAATTGTCCGATTTTTGTGTGCGGTGTTTCGTTCGTGATTTGTCCTGATACATGGAGCTGTGAGCTCTGCGGATCAAAGTCGAGATTCTTCACGCGAATTAGGAGGTTCAGATGAACGCGCGCCGAGCTCGTGGACCCAGTATCCTGGACTGTGGTAACTCGACGAATTGCGCTGGCTCGGAGTAGATCTCCTGGTCGGATCAGGTTGTATGCGTGCCACTAGATCGGATTGTATATCAGACGACTGCAGGGTGCTGAGACTGAAATTGAGGGCTCCAATACCATGTCTTCTGGCTCGTCTGGGCATAATGTCACCGCCCCGGAGCCATCATGCTCAATTTTGTTCTTAATACAACGCATTCCCGCGGTGATACGGTTCTAGGCCCGGGATTTGGGAAGGTAAAATGCGACGAAGGCGGGTTAGATGTTGTTATTGCGATGTCGTCATATGCTGATTGAACAATGCGCAAATCGGAGGGAAGAAAAGGGCATAGAAAGCAAATTAAAACCTCAAGAGCTTTGTAATGCTCCTATAAGAAGGGATATTCCAGCAAATCAACCTAATATGAGGGCATATATATTGACGGTGCTGAACTTGCCAAACTCAACCCCACCATATGATCTGCCGTTTGTTACCGCCTGCCGTCCAAGAATATCACTTGCGAGGTCTACTGTTGTTTTTATTCTAGTAGATTAATTTTAGTATTCGGTGGGTTATCAGAGAATAGGAAATTGCTAAACATTCTACTGCCAAACACATGACATCGATGAACATCACCCTGCGCTCCACTTGAGCAGGGCATACCTATGCCATGGGTTATCGATAAGACCGAGCCCTAATCAGATCAGATTGGGGCAACGTTGACGTCAAAAGCTGCAGAGAAACCTCCAGAGCTTTCAGGTCCGATGATTTTATTATTGGAAAGTGAAATCCGATCTGCATACACCAATCAAGGGAGTCACTCAAGTCGGTCAAGGTACTCATGCCCCACGTCATTGATCAGCCATTTATATGCTGAATCTAGTCCCCTATAACCGTCGTGACAAATCCGGAAAGTCTAAAAGACCCCCATTCAGTCAATATTCTCTACTCGACCATCCATTTAATCAATAAACATCAATTGACCCTTTAGGCGGGTGGTTTCTAATCATTATTCTCGCTAAACATCCTGGCAAGCCCCCCAAACACCTACATACCCGGTGTTGGTGGCCCCTACCGGAAAGCAAATTGTGAGATTGAGTATCTTTTGATGGTAGCTACATACATCTACATGAAAAAAAGGGTACCTGCATAATGTATATGCTGTATGCGAGCATTGATTTTTCTCAACCCTCAAAACTATATATCCAGCTTGAGCAAAAATATGGAAATAGAGATCTAAGGTTAGTTCTAATTAATCTTGGTAGATTAATTAGTATATGTTCTACAGGTATAAACACCTCGTATAAAGAATATTTGTAAAAATTTAACTTGCATCAAGCATAATAATTCTTATGGTATGTAAGTAAGAATTTATTGACACTCTATGTATACATACTTGCCTTCCTATATTCTTCCCAACCAGTTTATGGATTAAAAAAACCTCATATGCTGTGGCTACCTGAATGTACACGTATGTATACTCCGTAGTTACCACATAAAAGATACTTATGTCGCAATCTACTATCCGGTGGGGACTACCAGATACCGGTATTGGCTGACTGGATCAATTTCCGTTCACGGGTGGATGCCCCCGAATCTTTATCTATGTTGTATTTGAAGGTACGACACCCCACCTTCTTCAACCTTTCACAAAACATTTATCATGGCCCCCTCTTCGCTGCAGTCTACCTATAAGTTGGTTTCAGGCTACGAGATCCCCGTCGTTGGGTTCGGCGTGAGTACATTGACCCTTGGAGTTGTGATATGTATGACTAACAGTTATCTTGGGAATTAGGTCTACCAAACGTATGTCCACCATTGTACAAAACCCCGACAGATTATGTTAACATATTCTTGACTAGTCCCTCTGATGTCACCGAGAAAGTGACCCGCAAGGCCATTGAGCTGGGATACCGCCATGTAAGCAGTTAGACAATTGAGACAAGTGTTTCCTAGATTTGACCATCCCGTTGGCAGGTCGATAGCGCCAAAGTGTACGGAAATGAACTTGAAAGTGCCGCTGCCATCCGCGGATCTGGGCTTGATCGCTCTAAGATCTTCTATACTAGCAAGGTGCCCTCGAAATGCATGGGATACGAGAAGGCAAAGAAGGCTATCGAGGAAAGCATCGCTGCGGCGAACCTTGGTTACATTGACCTGTACAGACCCCCTTGTTCCCCGGAAAATAATGCATATTAGCGAACTAACACTGTGGCTATCAGTATGTTGATTCACGCACCCTATGGCGGCAAGGAGGACCGTCTGGGCACATGGCGTGCGCTTGTGGAGGCCCAAAAGGCAGGCCACGTCCGCTCGTTGGGTGTGTCCAACTACTCTATCCAGCACCTCGAGGAGCTGGAGGAGTACATCAAGAGTGGAGCGGGCGGGCAAATCACTGTCGGCCAATACGAAATTCACCCGTGGTGCCCACGCGACGATATTGCGGAATGGCTGCAGAAGCGCAACATCGTTGTCGAAGCATACTCTCCTCTCGTGCAGGCGACTCGCATGAAGGAGCCGGTTCTACAGAACCTAGCTAAGAAGCACGGTAAAACCGAGGCTCAGATTTTGATCCGCTGGAGTTTGCAGAAGGTACGTGTAAAATGACTCTCCATGCGCCCGACAGCGGATAACTAACCTCGTTTTTGTTAGGGATATGTGCCCCTGCCTAAGTCTGTGACCGATTCTCGCATTCTAGAGAACTCACAGGTCTTCGACTTCACACTATCCGATGAGGACATGGCCAGCTTGAAGCTCAACACATACGAGCCCGTGTGCTGGGATCCCGTCCGTGACTGCAAGATCTAAATGACGTCACTATATTAGTAAATCCTAGTGCATGAATTGAATTAGGAAATCAAATTCCAAGCATTCAAACATACACTGAATAAAGATCAAATAACCTTAGAATATACCTTTGAAAGAGCGTAGCCCAATTTGGTAATTTGTTGATCGCGGTCGGCACAACGTATCACCGCCAACCAAAAATATCAACATTTCCAACCCTTTTCTGGTATAACTCACCACAGCTCTCCATCCCCATGATCGTACAAGCAGCAGGCAGTTGCTGCCACCGCCGCCCCCACTATGCCGGATGAGCCGCGTCGCATTATCTTGGAGAAATCCAAGACCGTTAAACGCCGGTACCAGCGCAGCAACCAACGATTCCAGTTCACCGCATCCCAGATCGCGCGGCTAGATCGCGAAGAGGAACGAGAAAAAAGAGCAAAGAAGCTACGCGAGAAGGAAAAAAAGCGCATTGCCAACAAGAAACGGAAAGCTGAGCAGGAGGCGCAAGCTCGTGAGGAGCGGAAGCGTCGCGGCATCCCGGATCCCCATGCAGCCCGCGTCCCGTCGAGTCAGCCGCTGCTGTCGATGTTTTTAGGGGCTGGGAAGCGAGAGTCACCTGCTATACCCGAGCCTGCGCCTGCCATTACGGAGGTTGAATCACATGATAACGATTTGGAAAGCGTGAGCGGAGATACGGAGGCTGCATCGGATGCTTTTGATGACTTGGATGAGGTATTGGAAAAAGAAATATCTGGGCAAGACGCTGCGGCCCCAAAAGAGCTTGAAGGCCAGGATATCAGTACCGCAACCCGACCTTCATTCAATGATGAGGATGAATTCTCGGACTGCTCAGTTTTCAACGACGAAGACATTATAAAAAAGGCTGAGATGGCTACCACGCGAACGACTGACGAAGAAACGAAGAACACCTCTATACCCAAGGAATCATCCACCCTACGACCTCCCCCGGCTGTGCTTACGCTAGAATCATCTTTCGGAGATTCTTTCCAGTTCGACCCTGCCGATTTCCTCGAAGCTGAAGCGGCTATGATCACAAAAACCAGTAGTGGAACGAGAGACCATTCTCCACCCAAGGATACCTCCCTTTTACAGCCTGAATTGTCTGATCGACCATGCAGTAGACCCACATTGGTGTCTTCTTTAGGAGATTCCTTTCGTGACGAGACTGCGGATTGGATTGAAGAAGCATTTGCACACGGAAACGGCGATCCTTTTGAACAAATTAATAAAAACCCTTAATGATTCTGAATTTGGTAAATCGCCTCAGCATTTCTCGCAGGTATCGCATTGTACATTGTTCCAGGAAGTCTTGGCGTTGAATCGGGTCCGACGGTCGGATATCCATTTCGGATGCAGAGAGGCCTTTCGGTTCGGGAGACACAAGTATCTTTTTGGAGTAGAAGCTGAGGGATTGTTCCGAATGACTAGAAATGGTCTGGATTCAGAATATTGTGTACATTAATATTATTGTAGAGCCCTACGAGGAATGACGTTACACTTATCATTTGTATAGATCTCCAGGGCTGCCCGCTTCTCTATTCCTCCTTTACTTCATTCTTTCATACTTTACCTTGAATTAAACCCATTCCCATTTCTACATACTAGTAGGCTAATATACAATGCCGTTCGTCCAAGCAAACGGCCACCGTCTCTACTATGCCGACTCCCACCCCGCCGGCCCTCCGACCCCAACCGGCTTGACCTTCATCTTCATCCATGGCCTGGGCTCCTCGCAAAATTACTACTTCCCAGTAATCCCGCACCTCACAAAACGCCACCGCTGCATAACAATTGACACATCCGGTTCTGCCCGCTCCCCATACACCAATGACACAGTCACGATCCCGGGGATCGCAGACGATGTCATCGGCGTGTTGGATACGCTGCAAGTCCACAAGGCTGTCGCAGTTGGCCATTCAATGGGCGGGCTCGCGGTGATAGAGCTAGGTGTGCGGTATTCCGATCGCATAGAGGGCGTTGTGGCTATTGGACCAACGCACCCATCGGAGACCTTGGTGACGGTCATGAACAAGAGATCGGAGACTGTTCTTGAGTGTAAGTTTTTCCTTTCTAGTCTATCTTGTCTCTTCGAATTTATTTGCAGATGTGCTAACTTATTCACAGCCGGAATGGAGCCAATGGCAAACACCATCCCCTCTGGAGCTGTCGGCTCACGCAGTACCCCGCTTCAAAAGGCGTTTATCCGGGAGTTGATCCTGGGCCAGGATCCTAAGGGATACGCCGCATTGTGTCGCGCTATTGCGACTGCGAAGCCGGCGGAGTATGCTGCTGTCAAGGCGCCTTTCCTGCTTATTGCGGGCGAGGAGGACAAGTCGGCCTCTATGGAGGGATGTCAGCATATTTTTGATCATGTATCGAGTAAGCAGAAGTCTCTCGAAGTATTGAAGGGGGTTGGACATTGGCACTGTATTGAGGCTGCTGATGAGGTGGGTGAGCTAATTGCTAAGTTCGCGGATGTAGTGAAAGCTTGAAAGAGCCTCTATTTAGAATGGAATGATGAATATGCTAGTCAATCTGTTTGTCATTCTTAACATGTGCAATACCGCTATTATTAAGTACATCAAATATTAAACCGAAAAAAACCGCCGCTCGTTCATGCGCCATTGGTACTAGCCTCGAACTTCACCAACTTGACATCATAATTGAGCTCAAATGCCGCCTGAGGATCATTCTCGCGAGGCACAAAGTCCACAACAAGCGAGTCCTTGACAGCAAATACCGAGTCATTATCAAGGTACTTATCCTTGCGGTCGAAGATCTGCGTTGTCAAAGGACGGTAGTTATCATAGGTAGCCTGGACCATATATCAGCTTCTGTCTCAACAGCCAATCGAAAATCCAAGACCAAGACTTACAATAATGTGAATGTGAGCAGGGCGGAAAGGATGCCGATCCATCAACTCAAGAAGTTTACCAGCAGGGCCATCGTTCGGAACAGGATACGGCGTCGGCCGCAGACAGTAAAACGAGTACCTGCCCTCCTCATCCGTCTTGAACTTTCCACGCAGATTGAACTCAACCTGATCAGGGTCCTGCTGCTCGTACAACCCGTTCGTAGATGCCTGCCACACCTCGACCGTCGCACCGACAAGAGGCTGCTTGGTCTGGAAATCCATGACGCGACCATGCATGAACGTCATCTCAGCATCAGCCGGTTTTGTCTTCACGATATCCTCGCCATTCTCGCGGTACGGGGTATCAGCGCGGAAGAATGGACCCAGGATGGCTGTGGCTGTGGGCGCATCTTGCGCCTCTCCAGCAAGAGTGAAGGTGATTTCATCGACGAGGCTGTTGTGCAAGCATGCGTTAGCTGCTGTATTCCACTGCGAGCAAGAATTCGCCTCACGATTCCAGTCCCAGTACATCGCACACCAGCTGTCCCTCGTTCCGCTTGTTGTCGCTCATCTGTCCCGCCCAGTTGAGCATCTGCACGCCGGCCATCCACTCGTCAACGGTGAGTTCCTCCTCGCGCGCATAGTCGTGCATGTGTCTGATTAGACCGGCCATAAGCTTCCGCATGCGCGGGGTGGTCTTAGGACCCATCGCGTTGATGACATTGTCTGTGAAGGTAGGATTGAAGCGGTGTGTCGCCATTGTTCCGCATATGTTAGTATATTCCGGTGCGATATGTACAAGGGCTATCCAGAAATATAGAGTGGAGAGGACGTTTTAACAAGAGAAGAGTATACGATTATTGCAAACGCCGAGACTGTTATATACCAGGTGACCCGACCGGACCTACAGCCTGTGATCCCAAATAAAAGTACATAACGCTTATTCAAGGATGACCCCGCAAATTCACGCCAATTGCATGATTGTAATTAGCATCGGATGCGTACAAGGAGTTGGGGATCGGAAGGCGTTGCGCTTCCGATTTCCCCGCAATCGGGTCGGACAGCTTGGCAGCTCGCAGTCAAACATTGCGCATTTGCATTTTGATGTGAAAATTCCTAAGATTCTGTGAATCTCCATGTGAATGTCCTACAGATATGAACTTCTAGCAATGTATAAGTTGTAGAGCGTTTCATACGTCAAAGGCAAGCTCTAAACAGCTTCCGAAGTCTTTATAGTAAGATAGCATGATACTCTAGGGCCCTTTAGCTTGGTAGGGCCATATCATTTCCGGGCAGAATCCATACTGAGTGTGAAGTAGGAAGGAGAACCATTCTATTCTCCGTGGGTATTGTGCCGAACTGAACAGAAAGCCGGTTGGATATGATAATCCCTACAATTGGAGTGCTACATCTCTCACCACTCATCGCCGGGCTTTAGGATTTCCCTTCTTTGTGAGATTCTCCGGCAGTTCCTGCAAAACCTCACCATGCTCCCAGATCTTACCCAGTCCAACCTTGCGCTCTACTACCACATCGAAAAAGTCCAACCCGACGAACTTCTGTTCTTCCTTCTCAGCCTGCCCACTCTTCGAAACAGGTATACCCTCACTAAGAATGACCCCATTCTCGCTGCGCCAGAACGGCACCCCTGCTGCCAGCGCTTTGCGTATATCAATATAGATCAAAACCTGCGCATCGCGCCGCATGCCCGAGATGACGCCTGAGTCGGGCTTGGGTTTACCCTGCGGAGCATCATCGGTGTGAGTAGCAAGCACCGATTCTAATGATGGACCAGTAGCGAAGTGAATGTGATTCCGTCCCATACAGCGTAGACCACCGGATTGTAGAATCGCAGGCCAGGTCGCGTGGAACGTGCCGTGGACGACAGTATCGGGTAGTTTCGATTCGTCGGACAGGGAAAGCGGCTCGAGGAAGGAGGCAGCATCTACGGTTTTGATGCTGTGGCCTTGGGTTGCGCGAATTAAAAAGTTCGACGGGTCGGTGTCTTTCACGGATAATGCTTGGTCGGTGGCTGTTTGTTGGGCTTCACTTGTGGCGGGTGCGGATTCCAAGACTGTTGTCTCGGGTTGGGATTCACCCACGATAGTGTTGGCATCGCGCTCTGCATCGGGGGCTGTCACTGGTATTGTTGTTGCTTGGGTTGTGGATTTGGTGGGTTGTGCGGATGGAATGTGAAGGAGGGCGAAGCGCTTTTTATCGGATGACTCGACGGCGTGTAGAATCTCGGGGAAGGTGACTTTTAGTGACTTGAGTTTCCTCCAATTTAACTAGGTATAATTAGTTATATCGCAGGCTATTGAGGTTAATAAAGCTACATACCACATCTGGCACGCTCGCATAACCCTGCGCGTTCATCTTCAGCCCTTCCTTCTCCGCGGCATGTCGTAGAAGTAGGCTTAATGCTTTAGAGACTTGCACATCGCGACTTTGGCCTTGACCATGTCCACGTCCGCGCTTCTCCTTGGTGTTTGGTTGAGACATATTAATGTATTGAGAGCCAAAATGTGCGGGGAGTTGTGGAAATAATATTTTGGTGGGGCAATTATAAGCTTAAGAGTTGCGGCTCTATAGCCCTGAAGATGGGAACAAAGTACGTGACTCACAGCTATTAACTGCATCATTTTAAGAAAAAGCAAATATAGGAACTACGCAAAGCTCAAAATCAAATTCTCTTAAATCATTATGCTAACATAAAATCGACTCAATTGGGTATAGAATATCGCAGAAACACAGGTCCATGGCGCAGAAGGGACAATGCAAAGATCATTACCGATCACAAATGCAATTACACTCTGCTACAGGACAGATCTTGTGCCGTTTAAACCAATCACTGGCATGATTTGCATGGAATCCATGGTTGCAATGGATACAAAACACCACGAACCGTCGCATCACCTCAGTCTCAGTGGGCTTGCGAGAGCCCGCCTCGGCTTCAGCAGCAATACCAGCGCGTGACATCGGATCCGGTGAACCCAACCACAAGGTGCAGACGCCGCAGCGTGGCATATGTCGACCACAACGCGGACACAAAGTCCCAGACATGATCGGGGCTGCCAGTGGGTTCCCGGTGGTGGGATGAACAGTCTCTGCACTCTTAGTAGATGGCGAGAGCTGAGATGAAGCATCGTGCTGAGTGAGCGGATTTGTGCAGTAGTTACAGGTGAGGCTGACCTGCTGCGGCGGTGGTGGTACGAGTTTGCGACCATCCGCAGTCACGGCGAAACGACGAGAGCTGACGTCGAAGCGGGCTCGCTCAAGTTGGAGTTTCCATGAGTTCATTTGTCGCCGGTAGGTCTCGCGCCAGGCCTCGAACTGGACAATGTGTTTTTGGTTGTTAATAAACCGCGGCACGGTATGGCTCATTGCTAGCACGGGAGTTTGGACATCGTTGAATTTCCCAATATACGATTGGAACAGACCCATGGCCAAATGACCCAAGCCAGTGAGTACAACTCCTTCAATATTGCCTTGGCGAATCGCTTGGCTTGTAGCATCTTTCAGATACTCAGTCAGTTCGTCATCTGGAAGCCAGCGTAGCGCAACCTCTACACGATACTTGAGAGGTAGCGTGGTTTCTTTGATAACTGAGTTCCAGTCACCTTTGCTCACAAGGGCTAGGATCGCCCGGGCATATGGATCGGTGAGCTCCTTCGCGATTTCCGCACAGGTTTCCTCCCAGTCTGTGTCATTGTCCCCCTTGGAGGCACCGGCGATCGCCATGGCAAGCAATTTATGAGCTTGAGTAGGGTTGTTACTTCGCAGTCCAAGGTAAGCCAGCTTAGGCTCATCTTGGAAGACAGCCAGTGCAGCAGCCTTGGTATGCTGGTCTTCACCAGATAAAGCTTTCACTGATTCCTCCAGCTCATGGTAAGATTGCGTCGCACCACAGAGACGGAGACAGAGCCGGCGGTGATCAGGGTAAGCCGTGTCGCAACCTTTAGTCTCGGGGAGGTCCAACTGAATTGCCAAAGTTGCTACTGCATCCGCAACTGATTTAACATCGGCTTTCTTAGCGCTGATACAACGTTGTTCGAAACCATTACCTGTTCTGAGTCAGTTTTGAAGAAGATTTAGAAATTAAGTGAAGAAACGAACCCAGGTCATTATTCCAAACATTGTTCACACCTAGATAATTCAGGTCTAAGCCCTTGACAACCATTGACGTCCCAGAAGACTCAGTTCGAGCACCTAGAAAATGTATTAAATATGTATTCGCGACTCCAAGGAAAAATGAAAACTCACGTTCAACCCAATCCCAAAAATCTTGTAGAGCTTGATCATCAGATGCCACCTTTCGGTTTCGAGCCTCATCAAACAAATAACCCTCTTTGCACCGGGATTGATTGATTGTGCATAGAGTGAGCGCTTCTTTAGCAGTAAGAGGAACACCCATAGCCCCGAGAGCCATGGCGCGTTCCCGGTTCTCGTGGCTTGGGACAGGCTCGCAATCACTATTCTTTGACACGAACAGCTGACCATTTGAGTTTGCGCCATGCTCTTGCGAAGTCGAGCAGACGCGTGACCTAATGTTCCCGATCAGGTCTGAGATTGGTGAAATATGCTCAGACAGTGGGTGAATCGATCGCACATCTGAGTCACTCGATGAGATGCCACAAGCTAGCACACTGCGTGAAGATAGATCAATGGGTGCGCACGGGGGTCGCGCGGTGATGATCTGGGGCTGTCCATTGCCATCGAGTGCGATAGCACTTGGTTGAGGAGACAAGCTAAGATTCAGAGAATCGAATGAAACAATCCGGTCCTTTTCTTTGTAGCCACGAGTGGGATTATCAAATGGTACGCATACATCCCGCACGTGCTTGGTGTATACTGATTCTGGGTAATTCCTGGAAGATCCCTGACCAAGGGTCTCGTCTATCGAAGAGCGATACTCCTCCGGCAAGTAGTCCTTAGCAATGTCATAATTCTTGAAATGGCCGCTGCTGGACAGCGCAGCGAGACTGCCTCGGTTTGTCCGTGAGAAGCGCAAGCTCCAGATGGAAGACTTAGGATGGAAAACATTTTTGAGTTCCAAAGCAGGTGTCGCTTGACCTATCTCTGCGGCGCCGGCAGAAGACCCCATTGATGGAGATGCCAGTCGAGATCCAACGCGACGGTCCCACACGCAGATGGTGCTTTCGTTTGATGGAATGCAAGACGCAATATAGTTCTCATCAAGCCAGTCAATAGCTAGATTATGGACACACCGAGTGGGAAATTGTAATGATGGATTTCCAGGCCCCTCTATAATAAGATCAGCTATGCTTTTAGAGGCACCAGGCCTAGACAGACAAACCTCTTAGATCATAGATCCGAACAAATTGGCCTTTGACACCAGTCACGATCGTATCAGGCTGGTCTCGGAAAAACTTGATACTAGTGATAGGCTCTGAGCTGGCGAGCTTCCGCAAAGGTTCAGTAAATCCTTTACTTCCACCAGCAGGACTGAGTCGTTGGTTCACATCCCAAATGTTCAAACAAAAGTCGTTCCGAACGCGATCGAGACCCGCCGCCACAAGACCGTGTGCACTAAATGCAACTGCATTGCAGTACCGTTGGTTGCGGACTGGGAATGAAAGAGATTCCTTGGCATCCCCATCGAGGCGTAGAATGGTGGCCTCCCCAGACGATTGACCCACGGCGATCAGGTTCTCATTTGAAGTAGACCAGTCGAATGCGCGAAACCCAGGGACATTGGTCAGGGTAGAGAGAACTTCATGGCGTAGATTTTTGCCGTCAAACCCAGTCACCCTACACAGTCGAAACGATTTCCCCGTGACGTCGACTGACAGGAAGCGTTGTTCAGTGGCCGACGAGGTCGGGGACCAGCGAATGGCGGACTCCATGCTGGCCCTGGTACTAAGCTTGGTTCAGTAATTAACTCAGTGGCATGAGTAGATTCAGACTGCCAGATACACAAATTCAAGTGGACAATTGGAGTAAATCAAATCAATGCGACGACAGAGGCCCGCCGTGGTGATGATGATCAACGAAGACGCTCATTGGTTGACGCCAATCTGGGGGACGGGCCGATAAATCCGCCGATATCTTTTTTTCTTATCGTTTTTGCTGTAGCTTCGGCCTCTTTTTTTTCTTTCCTTTTCTATTAGATCAACAATTATGTCTACAGACACTCGAAGCAACCCCGATCGGGCAGCTTCCTCAAAGAGGAAGACCCGGGATGGGTCGGAAGATGTTCCCCCGGCCAGCAAAAAGGTGCAGCGCAAGGCAGACAAAGCAGATGACCAAGTCCAATTTGTGGACTTCGACAGCAAAAGCAGCAAAGGCAATGCATCAAAGCCCAAAGTGACCCGGAAATTCAAGGACAAATTTGCCCCCAAACCGGAAAAGGAATACCCATCGATCAACGATCTCAAGAAGCGAATTCGCGATGTGAAACGACTACTCAACAAAGTGGACCTGTCTGCCGATGCTCGCATCTTGCAGGAACGTGCTCTTGCTGGATATGAACAAGATCTTGCGGATGAAACTACACGCAGAGAACGATCATCACTGATCAAAAAATATCACTTTGTCCGATTCCTTGGTATGTAGCCCTTAAGTCCGAATGATCCTGGGTTGTCGCTAATGTATTTTATTATGGTTGAATAGACCGCAAAACTGCCACCAAGGAACTCAACCGACTTACGCGCCGTGAGAAGGAAGAAGGTCTGGATTCGAAGCAGAAGGCTCGTCTTGCGGCAAAAATCCACAACTGCCAAGTGAACCTCAACTACGCGATCTACTATCCCCTCACGGAGAAATACATTTCAATCTACCCCAATGGAAAGGCTGATACAACGGATCCGACGTCAGAATTGCAATCGGAGGAAACCAAATCCAAGAATGGCAAGCCCCCGTTGTGGCCTGTCGTTGAGAAGTGCATGGAAGAGAAGACACTGGACCTTCTTCGTAATGGAAAGTTGCACATCAACGCCAAAGGAGAGAAGATCCAAACTGTGTCGTCTGGCACAGCTACTGCTAAAGATACCCAGAAGGAGAAGAGCAAGAAGAAAGAGCACCAGAAAGAGATCAAGGCTGCTACCCAAAAGGACAAGCATCTTTCCAGAGATGACAAGAATAACAGCAAGAAGGAGAAGCCTGCACGCAGTGAGCGGTCCTCCAAGAAAGATGAGGCACCACAACAAGTCAATCAGGAGGATCAAGATGATAGCGATGGTGGTTTCTTTGAGTAACCAATTCGTAAGTTTGATGCAGAATTGGTTTATGTCTTATTTTGTCTTGATATCCACACTAGCATTTCATACATTCTATTGCAATACAGCCAATTAACACCCAATGTATCCAAAAAGCTTCAAATAATGACCTGGTAATCTGCCTGCATACCTCAATGCCTATCTCTCTAGCAAACCCCCATCTAGTGAGCTTAGGGGTGTGATATAACTTCACTACATTCACTTTCGCCTCATTATGTATGTACCAGTATATCTCATTGACCCCTTTTACTGCCATCAATCCATCAACCCTACTTTTCGAATCTTTATCTTGCAACCTTTAATGTTCTCAATTTTCGAACTTTCACCACATCTATCTTCAGACTCAATGCTTCAAAGTATTTGATTCATATTTGCCATCTGATTCTACAAGCTACGAGGATCGGATCAACACCTGCGACTTGTTTGCTGCCCGGGTGTGATCTCACTCCTATCTATGCTCTGTATCACAGCTGCATCTCTTCACACTTTCGCGTTGTTCCATAGCATATCTATCCTCTCCATATCTGCTTTGCCTTGCACCTCTTTTTTCACAAGTCGGCGAATGCGCGTATCTTGCTGAATGGTCGACCGCCTCGATACTTACCTCAATCGCCGCTCTTACGTTGTGTTCATATTCGCTTCACCTACTTTGATATTCGCTCTTCACGTATGCTGATATTCGCTCCACGCAGGCTCATATTCGCTTCACGTCCCTTGAGATTCGCTCCACATACGTTGATATTCGCTCTACGTAGGCTCATATTCGCCTTTCGAAATTCATATTCGCTTCCCACACTGTATCTTACCACAAGTCGCATCTACATATTCGCTAACTCATATATCTTGATCCAGTCCGCTTCGTACTTCGAACTTCCTCGACTACTCAAACTTCCGAAAAGGTCAGTATACATCTACCCGTCTGAGCCCGCATTGATAAATTGGGAACTGCGAGGTAACATCTACCTCAATCTCAATTTGATGGCCAGATATACATACAATCATTCGATATCTTGACTAAAGGAGCACAGATCCTTAAATCGATTCTGCGGTTTTTCATGATAGCCAAACAAAGATGCCTCCAGTTAAATCCAAAGAAGCCAGAATGGCTTGCAGCCCTTCCGATGAAGCAAAGTTCATCAAGAAGCAGGAACTTCTTCGAGATCACTGCTCCGCCGCCCTCGCTTCTCACATGAAGACAAACCCTGATGTTGTGTGGACAAAGGAAAATAGCGACAACGCCATGATGCGCCCAGAAGAAGCCGCTCAGTTCAAACTGGTCCTCGATGTTCAATTCGACGAAGAAACCGGCCAACCAATCTTCCCTCCGCCATACACCAGACTGTCCGATGAACTAGTGTACTTGATGACCAAGTTCATGGCCTCCCAGGAACGGGGACGACGATATCCGTATGACTTCGATAGCATTGGCAATATCAGGCCTGAACGAGTGTCTTCGGGACCTGCTCCGATCATCTGGGCACATGGGATTCCCTTTTTCCCAGTTTACAAAGGGTACTACATTCTTTGTGGACGGGAAAATGTCAAATGCATTGGCTGGTTGCTCCATGAGAAGACACGAGAAATCATGGCGGCGAACCCGATCTGGTCTGTTGGGGCTGTGATCGCACCTGACTCCGCCGTGAATCTTCCACATACTATCACTCGTCAGTTGACACAGCACAAGCCTCATGGTGCCGAGAAAGATGCGAATTACAAGGGCAAAGCATGGGCTCGCGATGTCGTGGCTGATGAGCATCATCTCTGTGCTGTTGTTCCGAACCCGGATACTAATGAGATTGAGGTCTGTCCGCTGTACAAAGCATGGGGTTACAACGTCCGTTGTGGGCCTACGGAGGGTGGGGTGAACCCAACTATCATGCCGAAGGAGTTCTTCGTCAGCCATGGTGTTGAAGACATCGACTATGCCTCTCTCGATAGACCGTATGCCAACGAGATGATGGACGAGGATGAAGAGTCAGATGACGAAACAGCAAATGTTGTCGAAGATGACATGGAAGATATTCCGAAAGAGACCGCGAAAGACATCACAATAGAGGTCACCGAAAATGTCACGGGAAACCGTACCCAGGATGCCATGAAACAGGTCACCGAACAGGTCGCCAATGAGCTTGAAATCGTCGCCTCGGATCTTGAGGAGAAACAATCTATTCTTCCTGGCAGCATTGTGAACACTGAGCTCGATTTGAACATGGATGTCGTGGATCCAACTAAGGATTCCATGGGCAAGCCCGACCCCGAGCAGACCAGCACTTCTACTATCCCATTTCCGGAGACCGCGATCCAAGTTCTGACAAACCTGCAAACTACCGAGATGGAACTGTTGGCTATGCAGCCTGAAATCGAACAGGCAGCGACTAGTTCATCTGCTGAGAACACTCAGACCGTTGATCCGCCCAACATGGAGCGAATCATACCCATTACTGAGCGGTTGGAACATTCAACTGCTTGTGCTTCGTCTGACAAGCCAAACAATGGCGAAGCTCCGGCGTCTCAATCGATTACTGGAAGAACCGTCGTTGGCAAGGAAACTGACAATGACAATAGTCAGCCACCAGCGGAAGTTCCTGTGTAAGATGGGGGAGACTTTAGACCCAGAAACCGAAAAAAAGTGAAATGGAATCAGAAATGAGGTTGACTACGCCTTTATGAGATACCAGGGGGTTATGTATCTCAGAGGTTGCTTTTTATGGAAACTCAGGGTTTATGGGCATTGGTGGATGCCTTTTTATCTTTGTGTTTTCTCTTACGATGTGCTTTTTGTTCTTTTTTGCCAGTGACATGGGGTTCGCTGTGCTCTGCTCTTACGATATTCTTTATGCTAGTATTGCATGAAAGAAAGACTTGCTTTGTTCGAATTTCCTGTTAATAGGGGCTACAAGATGCAAGATAATCAGGTTCAAAGGGTACAATCAGGTCACTTGAGCAGCCATACCTATGATTGCAAAGTGATTCGAAAGTCTCTGTCTCATCCTAGGTTATGCATGGAAAAGGCTTTTTCACAAATTAAGCCCTTTCCTGCCATTCTTTGCTGTTTGCCTATAAAATGGGCTAGACACTAACGGAAATAGCTGAAAAGACCGCCGGAAAGATCACTGGAAAGACATCGCAAGACCACATAAACGGCCGACTATTCTTGTTCATGCTAATAATGGCAGATAGGACCATTCTTGAAATGAGATTTAAGTACTGGTTTTAGTCGTTGAACTGCATGAATATAGTATTATCTTGAGGTTATCAATTCGAAGTAAAGTTTCATAGAAGCAGCCGAAAGGCATGAATTTCAAATTGAAACCCCCAGGAAAGACAAACTGTTGAGGTAAAAACAAATAAAGACGCCTACCATCTCGCCGGTAACCCCTCTAGATACGTATGCTAGGGCTAAGATCTCGATTTCATAAAAGACGTGAAAAAATAAAAAGCACATAGAACATGCAGGACAGCAATCCCATTCTTCAATCTGGCGCCAAAGCTAAAAATGAGGATAATGGGGTAGATCAGGTGGGAGAAAGATATAAAGAGAGAGGGCCAAAAACAAGTCAAACAAAGAAACTGTGTTGTATTGGGGATTTCTTGCCCCAGAAAAGAAAATCATATCGTGCGTAATTCATAGCAAATTGAAAAGGATCATTGGATATGATCTTCAACTTCAAATGGACGTCCATTCAAGACACTAGCGATCCCGCGCTAGTAGAGTCGAGGCAGCGTCTCGCACGTCTTGCGTCTAGCTCGTCAGGTGTTTCCAGAACACGCTGAAGACAACACCGTACAAAAAGACATTGACCTCACATGACAGTACAGCTACTACCACTCTGCGCTCGCCTGCGTCTGCCACCAAGAGCAGAGATAGCACCTACGCCATAAGCGTCGTTGTCATCGTCGTCTGCATTGTACAGACGCTCAGCTTCACGGGCACGGCGTCGACGTCGGCGAGCACCAGCACCGGCGGCGCCAGCCTCCTCCGTGGCGACCATATAGTCGGCCCATTTCCGGTCCAGCCGGGATGCAGAAGCGAGGTCACCGCGCAGGACACGTTTCGTGTGTTCGTCGACGGTCATCTGCCAACCGTAGAAACATTTGAGCTGGATGATTTCATTTGGATAGGTTGGCGCTGGTGATGGCGACGGGGAAGAGGCTGGAGTGACGAAGGTACTAGTCGCCGCGGAGGAGTTGGCGTCTGAGGTTTGTGTCACCGTCACCACCGTAGAAACGGGTTTGCGGGAGGCACGCGGGATGTATGCGTTGCTAGAAAGGACTTCCCTGACCCCTGCCCAGGTGACGTTGGCGCAGTCGAATATCATGAGCCGAAGGCCGACTTGGGGGAGATCGTCGCTGTACCCGCGGCGGCGAATGCGGAAGCTGGCTTCCATCAGCGTCAGGTCGGACACTCTGGTGTTGTCCATTTCGACGGATCGGAGTTTCGGACAGCTCTTCATTACTTGAAGCATTCCTGTGTCGCTGAGGCTCTCACAGTAGCTGATGTTCAAGTGTTCCAAGTGTTGCGCACATGGGGATTTGGCCAGCTCTATCAGGGTGCTGTTTGTCAAGTTCTCCAAATCTTCCAGTTCCAAATGCGATAATTTCGGCGTCGTGCGAATGACGTCCATGACAGATTCATCTGTCAGGTCGGAGCACTGAGAAACTTGTAGGCCCTCCAAATCTGGAACATTATAGGCCAGGCTTTTGAAACCATCGTCGCTCACTTCAGGGCAATTATGCAAGTCCAAATGACGGAATCTTCGAGGTGGAACGATAGGCCGATCGCTTAGAATATCCATCTCGGGGGTTTCGCCGTGGATCAGCATCTTCAGGCTGTTATCGGTCAGGTCGGTACGACTCATGATCAAGCGCTCCAAAGTATTGCGCTCAAACAAAGCCAAAGTGAATTTCTCATCCTTAAACCCACGGATTTCGCTCGCCCGAAGATCCTTCAATCGCTCACATGACTGGGCAATCCGAAGAAGACCGGTCGTATCGACATTATTGCACCAAGAAATATTCAACGTCTCGAGTTGCGGACAAGACCGCGCAATAACCTTCATCGTCGAATTTGTGACACTCGATAGACCCGAGAGATTGATGTGTTCCAAACGGGGATTGCGAAGGAGGAAAGAGTAGATAGATGCCCTGTCGATACGACAGCCCTCAAGCGAAAAATTGACAACATTCCGACACAGATCCGAGATGCGTTCTCCGTCTGTGGACCATTTATCACGCAGCTGAACGCAGCCTCTGAGATTGAGGTCTCGGACAAACGGACCACCGGAAGTGATAAGCTTGACCAAAATATCGCTTGGGATCTTAGAGTAGTACTCGGTTGTGTCAACCTTGGACCATAATTGGCCGTCGTAGCACATCTCGTTCCACGATTTGGACACAGCAGAGCAGCGAACAATTTCTTGCGGGGTGAGGTGTTGGAAGATCTCCATCTTAATCTCTCGTGGCATATCGCCCCAAAAGTTGAAAGACCTAGTCGGTTGGGATTCTGGAACGATGACCTCCTCCTCCACCTTTACTCCCATGGGGGTCGCAGTGCGTGGTGACCCGTGCGATGCTGGTCTCACATCAAAGGGCAAAGGCACGGTGCGAGGTGTAGTGAAACTAGGGCCATCAGCGTCCATCAAACGAATTCGAGCGTTTGTGCCGTAAGGCTCGCCAGAAGAACCAGAACAGCCGGGAGTAGCAGGCCGAGGGTTGAGGCCGCCATATAGCTGGGAGGAACTTCCATTGCCTAGACAGGGCGAGTAGGAAGTCGACGATAACGAAACACAAGAGAGAGAGGCCTTATTATCTCGGCGGTAGCTGGTCGTTGATGAGGATCGTCCGCGTCTGGTCAGCGTCGGACTGGATGACATTCGTTGGAGGTTCTGCAGTAACTTCTGACGACCCTTGAGCTTTGGTGGTTGCTCTAATGGGATCTGGCCTGCCAAATTTGTTGGGCTGCTCGGAGAGTATCTCTCTGGAGAGGGCAGAATCTCATCGGATAGTTGGGAGGTCATTTTGCCGACTTGATCCAGCCTGTAGCACCTCTTCCCTGGGCCACTAGTATCTTATCACGCCTTCCGGAGGGTGTGTCGTCACGGTATGGAGTATCACAGAATTCACGGTGGAGGATAATGACGGAGTATGAAAACAGTGGAAACGAATAGAGCGACGGGCGCGCAATCAGAAGTTCTTAGGCAAGCATAGTGTGAGATCTCAGCTGGTTTAGATATCAGCATGAGGAACAAAAAAACAGAAAAACAGAAGGAAAGTGATCAGAATGTGAGTGGGGAAAATCACGTTGTCTGTATTGTTCTGTTCGGGGCCCGCGGGCAAAGAACCGTGGAACAGGCCTCTTTACGGCACTTTGCCGAGTGACGTACAGAGAGAACCCGAGATAGCCGAGTAGAAGATAACACCTAGGTAGAGGGAAAAGTTGAAGTTAACGGAGAGATAAAAAAAAATTCAAGAAATAGCGGAATGCAGAGCGGAAGGGAATGCGATACATCGACTCAAACCTGGTCTGACCACAATGGGCAGATGTCCCTACTCCAAGTACTTTCCCTCAACGTTATCTGCTTATCGCTCCCCACCTATTAGTTTACTGGGAGAGACATGTTTTGTCTTTAAATCTAGATGTATTACTGATACAGTTGGCACAGACTGTGAAACCAAAGCCCTCGGCTGACGACGCCTTGTAAATTGAAATTTAACGCCTCTTAACCCACAGGCCATAGCAAGTTAAATTGTTCCTGAGACATTTCACTTTTCGCCTTTGAATTTCACTGGATGTGCGGGGAGGGAGGATTATAAATTCTAATCCATGGTACGATGGCAGTATATCCATGGATTGAAATAAGCCCTATCCACGTTTTTTTTCTTTAAATTTTCTTTTTCTTTTTTTTGGATGCCAAAGGCATCAATAGCAGTTTCAGTGTGACAAAATATCTTCAATTAGAGATGTCACTACAGAGTAATGTTGTAACCTTGACAAAGTGGATCTTTCGCCTGATAACCTGGGCAAAGCCACTTTTGCCAAGGAACTACAGAACCCACTATTTCCCCCGCAAATGCAAAGTACGTTGTATATAAAGTCTGCCCTCTTGAGGTCTCTAGGTCACATATGCAAAGGTATCGCGAAATCAAATGCAATGGGGAAAAAAAAGATGAAATAGACCCCTAAAAAAATAAACAAATGCATTGATGTTCATAATCATCATCAAGGCCCTAAGGGAAGTTAGAACAGTCCACCCCGAAATGATACCCAGTTTCCCCGAAAAATTCTACATCCATCATCAAAACGTAACTTTGTGGGGTATCGCGTTATTTTGTTGTTGTTTTTTCAGTAAATAAAAGGCGAGGATTCAAGTCCCTGCCATCCATGGATGTTCAAGTACTTCAGTAATTGTAAGTCGATTGTCGACATCACGATCGAGCATCGTGCGGATGAGGTCGATGCAATCTTCTGAGAAAGGAAGGAATGGAATTCGGAGGGGGTGATCGAGGATCTCATCGACGTTGTAGAATGGGTTCTCTTTGTAGACGATGGTGTAAAGGAGAATACCCAAAGCCCAGATGTCCTGTTCCTTGCCTCGATACGATCTGCCCTGCAAGACCTCAGGTGCGGCATAATCTAACACAGTCAGCATCTTACCCAACCATCGACGAAGGAAACTTACCAATTGTTCCCACAAAGACATCAAACGGCCCGTTTTTGATGTAGGCCGCACTCCCAAAGTCGATCAACTTGATCCGTCCCTCTCCATCGAGAACCACGTTCTCATCCTTGATGTCACGATGTACCACCAGTGCTTTGGTGTGTAAATGATTGACGGCACTCGCGACCTGTCTGAAAATGTTTCGGCACTCCGACTCATCCATGTTGGCTTTGAGTTCAATATAATCGAACAGGTCCATCCCTGGGAGACCGTGGGGAGTCATTTCAATGTAATAATTGATATCATCTTCGAAGAAGCCTTCCATCTCCACAATGTTAGGGTGCTTGAGCCCATCCCGCCGTAAGAAGTCCAGAACGTGAATCTCCAGCGGTACAGTACCCAGTCGCCGATCACGAGTCCATGTGTCCACCAGGATGCGCTTTTTCGTGACAAATTTCAACACCATCTTCTTGGTAGGCTGCTTTTTTAAACGTGCCAGTTTGACTTGGCCGTAGGCTCCTTGCCCCATCTCCTCGAGAATCACATAGTCATTAATCGTTCGTTTCACCGGAGGGTCGTTCTTCGCATTGGCAGCCGAAACCTGAGGAACGGGCTGTATTGGACGCGCGGTGAGAGGCTCAGAAGCAGCCTCACTGAGTTGTTGACTGAGTGTTGACGTTGGGGTTTGGATCTCCACGGAATTGTTGCGATTTTCGGTAGCCTTGGTTTCAGCGCCGGCGTCTGACGGGCGATCTGAATCAGGGTCATGTGTGGGCGAGGTAGGTTTAGAACTTGGTACAGATGATGGCGAAAGTCCAGCAGCGGGTCCAGCAGCGTGGAGTTGTCTAGAGTAGGTTATCCACAAAGCATAGACCAACTCTGTGACCGCAACGGTATCATCACTGTCATCAGAGTCGCTATTGCGATCGCTAGATTTCTCCGCTTTGTCCTTTGAGAAGAAGGTACCGCTTTTAACCACGCGCAGCTGAATATCCACAACAATGGTCGAGCCATCCCGATGCTTGGCAAGCAAGCCACTTGGCTCTGTAAACACAGAGGCGGCATTTGCTTTTCCATCGCGGAGAATAGAAAGTGTCCGTGCCCGTCGGAAGCTATGTTCAGGTATGACAATACCATCAACCAGTGGCACATTGTCCTCCTCGGTCAACACGTCTAGAATTTCATCGAAATCTGGTACAAGTTCAGTAAAGTGGAGTCCCTCCGGTCTTTCTTGACCGAATAAGACCGAAGAGAACACAGAGTTGGAGCTGATCACGTTCAATGACGAGGACGAGAGCACCATCATGCCTGCGACATGAGGAAAGCTGGAGACCTGAAGAGTGTGATCTCCTTCTCCCTTGCCGATGGCGACAGGAATACAAACACCAGCAGCGGTGCGGGCGGCAAAGTGCTTCAACTCCACGATTTTAGCCAATCCCTTCCCCGGGGATGTCTCAAGAGATTCCGATGGCAAACAGGGTAAAAGGTCGGTGATCCGCTGGCCTGTTTGGACGACAGACGGGCCCCAGATCTTATCAACTTCGCCTTTGGCACTCATGACGTTCCATGAATCGTCGCACTGGATGGAGGCAATATTCTCGGTTATCTCTTCGAGTACCCAGATCAGGCCACCACGTTTTTCCATAACCCAGACGCTAGCAGATCCGCGTGATCCATTGCGCTTCTGAATCGGGACAACATCGCCGCATAGCAAGACCCCGCGTGACTTGTGGGCCGGGTGGTTATTGTTTCGGGCATTTCTCGTGCTGGAGCCATACCCATCATCGGTCTGCGCTCTACGGGATTTTTCTCGTGAAGACGGTTTGTTGAGAAGTTGCGCTGTCACTCCGTTCCCAAGACCTCGGAACTTGGGATTGACAGCGGAGATGTTAGCTCTTTCGGGTTGAAGTGGCATACGGGCAGCAGCATCAGTGCTTGGATCTCGAAGTTTGGCCTTGAGCCATTCCCGGTGTTCCTGCTGTACAACCTCCAGGATACTTAGACGGCGAACTTCGGACTGAAGAACACCAAAGATGAGACATGAGAGATCATTCGCGGCCAGAATGGTCCATGGTGCTTGGGCTTCGGTCCTGAACACGGCCTGGGAAGCCGGGGTCCATTTGTTGCTATGGGCGTGGAGGACGGGGATCTGGAATCCCAATCCAGCAGTCGAGGAGCTAAGTGAGGTGAAAGGATCCGTGGAAGTGTATGGTTGTGCTAGAGTTTCCATCAGCTTGCTCCTGACAGAGACAGAGCACAGGTCCGTGTATGTACGTTTTAAGCTTACGCGCCTAGACGTGGGTGCAGAGACCAGGTCCCTCCTTTGGCTGGAGATACGATCGCTGGGCATCGGACTCAACATTTGAGGGCTGTCGGGGGCATGTGAACCCGAGAGGGTGGAATCCTGGGCGCCGTCTCGGGTGCTGATCGGAGAAGAACTACCATCTGAGAAGGCCTTCTCAAAGATGTTGTCGCGATTAATCTCTGCGGGTCCTGTGATGGGTCCACGGCCATGGATTTGGTTCTCCTGGGTTTCGAGCATATTTGCTCGGGCCAAAAGCTCCATCATACCTTGCATCTCCGTGTCCCCACTGGCGTTTGCTTGTGCGTTGGCGATCCCGGCATTGGTTGCGGCCCATCCCATCCGGTCGCGCATGAAATCAATAGACCGTTTGAGGATGTTTTGACGGGTATGGAGGAATTCTTCGGACTGTTGGGCGAAAGAAAAGGAATGTAGGGATTCCAGTGGAAACCGGTGAAGGTCTTCTAGATCCGTGAAGCTTCGGTTGGACAAGTGACTGGTATGAGCTCGAGATGAGGAACGAGACCGGGGAGAAGGGGCGGGGCGCTGGCCAGCCATGGGAGCTAGCGATAGCGAGGAGGAAGACATGTTCGGTAGGGTCAATACTCGCGAGGGCTGGTTTTGGCGTATCCGATCCAGCCCAGTTGGATTAAGTCCATGTTCGTTCTCGAATAACGGAGATCTGTTGGAATACAGGTGTCAACGTTGTGTAAAAAAGGGAAAAGAATATTGTCGCTGACCTGGAAAGAGGGTCATATCCCGAAGAAACACTGTCCGTCGTGCTCCTGGTGTGATCTGTCTGTAAAGAAAGTGTATGCAGTCCGCCCTCGGATTCGGGCGACTCAGAGAGGGGTCCTAACGGCGACGAAAGAGGACTCGGCTCGCCTAAGTAGGGTCAGCGCGATTCATCTAGCTTATAATCAACTCAATCGGCGCGTCTCAATGTTTCCATTCCACGGGTCTTCCAAGAAAATGTGACGCTATCGAATGATCAGACGGTTCGTCTCCGCGGTCAGATGCATCTCCGAGCATGTGCTAGCGCGTGACCGTAAGTCTAGGAAGAAACTCGAATCGCGCCCTGGTTGCTCCAACCCTTTTCTTTTCGGGTGCTCGATAAGTCGTAAGCTCAATATGAGTACGTAGCACCTTGGTTTCTCCCTCGCCTCCACCAGTTCCCCAAAGCCCATGGAATGTGAAACAAAGACTGAACGATCAACATTAAAAAAAAGCATGTGCGCATGACTGACCATCATTGTTATAAGCCGACCCCATCCCCGAGGTCTCTCTTCTCTCTTTTTTTTTTCGTTTTTGTTTTTTAAAAAAAATTCAGATGATCAGAAACAAAGAGAACGAGGCTCAATCGAGGCGAGCACTCGTGAATGTATCCGGGGTATGCGACATGGAACGGTCACTCGCAACTGGGGGTTTGGCGGGCAGCTGCCTCGTAGGGTCTCAGGCGGCATATGTGGCGTCGCGGCTGAGCACGCAAAGAGTGAAGAGACAAGATTAAAAGGTTCAAAGGGGGAAAAGAAAAAGAAAAAGGACCAGCGGGGGAGAGAGTGGGGAGAGGAAAATGCCAAATGGGAGAAAAAGGGAAATAAGTCCCCCTTCCGTGATGTAATAGCCTTACTCCAAATCCTTTTTTATATTTAACTTTTATATGTCTTATATATACATTCTCTCTCGAAACAAATAATTAATATCATTGGATTTACTTTAGATCGGCTGATCGACATTGTCTCTATGTGGCGGAGAAGTACTTCTGGACTAGACGGATCTATATAAGATAGCATTGAGATATCTTAAAACAGAATCACCCAGCTTTCCCTTTGAATATGTTTCGTTTCTTACCCCGCTCCAAATGGAATGTTATGGCAGGTTTAATTTCCGAATAGTCTTCAGATGATGCAAAGTGGCTTTCTCAAATAGATCCGAGCCCCTGTGGCCTTAACTCCTTTTGGCTACTTACATGCACTTTATATGAAGTTGACAAAACAGGTATACAACATAAATGCAGAACGGTAGAACTAGATTCTGTCAAATGCCCTCTTTTATAGTCTGCAACTCAGTCAATTTCTATGAAAAAATTATAATGATGCAGAGAGATAAGAAGTGGGACTTGCTTTGGTGTCTCCAGTGCATACGCAAGCAGTGACATGGACTAAATCGGGAGATATCATGGGCCGGTGCCTGACAGAGGGTCCCGAGAGCCCCGAAGGCTGTGCAGCGCCAATTCACTATGACCAGAATCCGTCCCTGGATTTTCATCTCCGCTCGATCCGAACAAGACATTGGGTTTCCCTCGAGTCTGGTCTAGATGTCGGGTCTGCTCTGGCGGCGGTGATGTCGAGCTAACAAAGCCCGACAGGTTCCGACCGCCGCCAAGCATCCATGAGAATCCCGAATCCGTCATAGAAGGTCGTACAGTTGATCGAGAGGGTATTGCCCGCGAACCTTCGGGTTTTCTGTCACTGTTCCTTCGATTTGCCGTTGGGATAGAATCGGTTCCACCTTCGGCTTTCGGCCCCGTTGTTTCCGCATTGGTGGGCCTTAATGTTCGTGATTGACCTTTGTTTGCCACCACTTTGCCTTCTACTTTGGCCATTGGTGAGGTATCTGACGCTTGTAATTCAGCTGTTTGGTTTAATTCACCGTTTACACCGGGGTTAAGACGGGGATCTACTGGGATGGAAGAATCTCCGAGGCAGACCTGGACACTCTCAGCTTTGGCCAGGGCCTGTTTCACTGCGCTGTTCGTATCAGAATCAAGCTCCTTGACATTTGCCAGCTGGGAGCCAAGATCATCCAGTGCTTCGCGTAAAATCGTCGCCAACGCTTGGTTCCTTTCTTCGAGTAGATTGATCTTCGTTTCCAGTCTGGCCGATGACGCTGTAGCTGCCATAGGCTGAATATCCGAGGCTGATGCAGCAGAAAGAGGCCTGAAAAATCCAGGACGCATATTTGCTTCATGATGCATTGTCTGCATATTTTTCCTAGCTTCTGTCACGGCGCCTCGAACAGCTTTGGCTACACCCCAGGCCTCTGTCCGGCGTTGGATCCCTTGAGAGACGTCTTGGAGAAGAGACTCGAGGCTTTTAGGGCTATTTCGGGATGGTGACCCAGGTGAGTTTTGTCCACTGCGTTTCTTGAAGTCTTCCCAAAGGAAGGCCTTCCTTGTGGGCCGTGTACCAGAAATGTTGCGAATTTTGAAGTCGGGCGGTCTGCCTGAATATTTCGATATGATGAAACTGCCTCGATCGGCGGTAGGATTCTGTTCCAAATAGAGTGCATCATGTACAAAAGTTTGAGGGGTGTGTGGTTCGGGCGAAGGGTAGCGTAGTAATAATGTCAAGGCGGTTGTATAGTCAGCCGTGAGCACTAAATACATGTCAGCAAAATAAGGTAGCCTGTAGGTAGGAAACGAGCAGGTCGACCAACATTGCCAACGAATTCTAAGCAGCATTGCAATGCATGTGAAATCAACAAGATCAGACCGTAGTCCATGAGCAAACAACAGGTCCCACATCATTAGCATATCATCAAATGGAAATTCTCGCCCAAACAAAAGGCGCATCCAGCGGCTGTTCAGTGAGTTAGCAAAGAAAATGGATGGGGATCTGAACTCGGCTTACGTTAGGAAAATTTGCGGTAATACGTCCACAGCTTCCAGATGCTCAGCGAGCTCATGGTCGATAATCGCCAAAGCTTCCTTATGAAGATATTGACACCGATCAACTATCGGAATGACATCCATTTGGCCATTTGCCGACCGTGTCTCACCATGTTCATAGTATATGCGGGCCGTCTGCATGACAGAGAGAAACAGCGTAAATGAATCATGTTCGACAAATTGTGCATCAAGAAGCTTTAGCATCAATCCCTCACTTTTGTCCATGTTCGCATCAAGTCTTTCGGGGTCTGGTTTCACTGAGTCTCGATCTACTGCCCAGAGAATAGGCGCGAGTAATTCATGCATTCCTTGTCTATAGCCGACGTCTGGATTGAGCTTCGAGTAGACGAACAGGATGTCTGTCAATTTGGATTTCGTGTCGGGCTCTTGGAAAAAGTAGTTTTCCTGCAAGCATCGGTCGACATCTTGAAGAATCTCGGTACGTAGCGTCTCATCGTGTCGGAGTGTTTGCCAAGGGGACTGATTGTTCAAGAATTAGTTAGATAGGGGGATTCTTCAAGTTGGGCAAAGCACGGCGAGAGGGCTGCATACCTGTTCGTCATCCGCCAGCGGATCAACAGTCGATTCTAAATCGTCCGGATGTTCGATGTATTTTAAGAAATGATCTCGTAGTGCACGATAGGCATCCCGAGATTCGTCGAGCTTAGAGACCCATTCGGTTTTATCCAACCCGTCGAAGAGTAGAAATGCCTATATGCCGAATGAGCATATATCTTCACCTCTCGTTGTCAAGCGTACAGAACCTTCCAGCAAACCGATCTTAATCCGTCATTGCACAGGTTTCCTCCTTGATCGGATAGCAAGGCCGCTCGGAGGTCGGAAGGTGTGTCGTTGTCGGAGAACAGGATATCCCATCTCTTTCTGCAAGAGTCAATACGGGTGAAAATATGAGGATAATTTATAAGGAAAATACCTGGTCTCCTCAATGGTTCTCATTGTTGGGGATGGGGAGAAGCTTAGAAAATGAGGGGGGAATGCGGGCGATAGTAGACCGCCCGTGCCTTATCTCTGTGACTCGGCCATTGCGACATTCCACCGTTGTATACTCCGGTTGATTTCGGATTTGGAGGTTTGCATATCAAAAGTGATATAGATCTTGTCTTGCCACCCTTGCAGAAACTCGTTGCATCCCTGCACCGCACTTCATGTTACCTTCCACAGCTTCATGACACCCGTGGACATTCAAAATGTCCGCAGATCTGCTAGCAGAGTTTGGTCAGTCGCCTGCTCCAGATAATAGGTCCAAACAGCCATCGCAACACCAGAAAAACTCATTCTTCGATGTCGAAGATGGCATTGATTTCTTTGGGTCCGGAAGCGTGCAGCACAACAAACGTCCCGATCCGACGGGAGCAGTCAGTCAATTTGCAACTCCATTAGCTTCATGGCAGAGTCCTAGTAATCAGGGATTTGACCTACCCTTGAATCCAAACAGCGACGTATTGTTCGATGCAGAATTCGACACACCAGCAAGTGATGCAGACGACGACTGGGGTGAATTCGAAGGCCCTGAATCAAACACTCTACACCCACAACCAACAAATCTTCAGCAATCAACGATAGCTACATCTAGCAAAACAGAGCCTCGGCGAGATGATCCCCAGGTTTCTAGAACAATTGACTTGCTAGATTCACTCTCAGTGGAAGATTCTGCACTAGCTGTGAAGCATCCGTCAAGTATTGCCAAACAGAACCAACACATCCAACCTAGTAATAACCGAAACCAGCCGGCATGGGAGGATGATTCGTTTGGTGACTGGGGCGATTTCGCCGATGCGCCTGCTACCAAACCTCCCCCCAAGGTCTCTGAGAAGAAAACAAAACCACCTACAAGGCCGCCTGTCAAATCCAACAAGCCGCCTGCATCAACCTGGGATGATGATACCTTTGAGGACTGGGGTGATTTTTCAGATGGGCCTAGTGTGAAGCCTGTGACCAAATCCAAACCCACCCCACCACCGACAGCCGCTAGCCCAGCTCCTAACAGCTTTGCCACAACCCCTGTCACCGTCCGTCCAACAAATATCCCACCGCCATCGGTCCTTCTCGAGTTATTCTTAGATGTGTTCGAGAATCTTCAGAAAGAGGCTACACTCGCAAAATCCCAGCTGCGATCCTCGGCCCCATCCTCATCCTCAAAGATCATTTCCACAACAGCCCTGAATATTCACAATGTGCTTCAATCGGCCGCCCGCGTAATTGCTGGGCGAAGTCTCCGGTGGAAACGTGATACGATTCTTAGTCAAAGCATGCGAATCGGGCCTGCCCGTTCCGGTAAATCTGGTGGTATGAAACTTAACAGCGTGAACAAGCAAGAAAATATTAAAGAAGAACAAGACGCTGTTGACGTGCTTACTACTTGGCGTGAACGGGCGGCAATTTTCAACGCTGTTCTACAAGCTGCAGGCCAGCGACCAATCCCTACGGTCCCAGATCCTAGTGCACTTAAGGTTATTACAGCGCGGGCGGACCAGGGCGCATTGAAGGCCTCCCATCCATGTGCACTCTGCTCACTTAAGAGAGATGAGAGAGTTTTACGGGTGGACGAACAAAATGTTCAAGATAGCTTCGGGGAATGGTGGACTGAGCATTGGGGCCACACAGCATGCAGACAATTTTGGGAGACAAACCGAAATCTCCTTGGGCAGCGTTGAAATCATATGCAGAAGTAGACGAAAAATGAAGTTGTACATGGTGATATCAAATGACCTTCCAATCATCGGGAGGGAACCCGACGACACATCATCTATCCCTCTTCACTCCACTATTAGAACAAGATAAGATTTTGTATCCACCTGGGTATAAAAAATTATCTGATTCGTCTTTCTTCTGATAACCAAAGTTTCCCCCTCACGGCCCTGGGCCTCGTGGGCCTCTCGGGGAATCTTTCTCCCCCGCACTTTGGCCACAATCCTAATTCCCAACATATCTCAACTCAGATGGCAGGTGGAAGAGTCACAAAACGATCGTCAAATGCGTGTGTGAGATGCCGGAGACAAAAAATCAAATGTTCCGGCTCACAGCCATGTGATGGTTGTAGCAAGCGGTGCGTCTTTATCCGTTATGTGTGCTCGATTGCAGTGCCGCGCCATCTATCCGATCAATGTATGCTAACCTCAATAGGAAGCTTTGTTGCATTTTTAATGACCGCGATCAGAAGATCCTGGTGACAAGAGGGTAAGTTAAATGAAGTCTGGGGACGAATCGATAACTCACATTGATCGCAGTTACATTCTAGAATTGCAGCAAAAGATTGCGCGCATAGAGCAGAACCAGAAGGGCCAAGCGAGCCCTTACAGTTCGAATTTCGAAACTCAACCCATCGGTGTGTCTTACTTCCTACTTAAATGGTTATCTACTAACCTACTGTAGATCCCAAAGATCACGATTATGTACCTTCTTTGGAGAGAACTAGGACCCCAGAGGAGCATGATGAACCTCAGGACCTGGAGGAACAAGACTCTGGGCTAGCCAACCCATTATCATCTGGTCCTCCAGCTTTTATGTCTGCAGCAAACGGCCGCACGTGTAGGTTACGCTAATCTTGTGGAATGCGCAACTCTTAACATCTACAGTCTATCTTGGAACATCATCCAACTGGTCTTTCACTCGGCGAGTTCTCAGCTTGGCACATCAGCACCTCTATCAGGATGCACTACCAACGGAAACTTTGCTATTTGATGAAACGACCTATGAACTGGGATGGGATGGGCTGCGAACAACCCCGGGCCTAGATGTTCCAGTTGTCCCGACTCGCGACCATACCATGTATCTGATCAATGCCGTGAAATTCCGGTGTGGGCAGTTGTATCACCTTTTCGAAGAAGATCAATTCATGGGCTCTTTGCAGCAGTTTTATTCGGGAGATGGGCAGTCCATGACAAATAGCTTGTGGTACATCCATTTTCTCCTCATCCTAGCTTTTGGGAAAGGATTCGTCCAGCCCAAGGCTCAAGGCAGAAAGCCACCAGGGGTGCACTATTTCGTCAAAGCTTTACAGCTTCTGCCCGATCCAACTGCTCTATATCGGGATCCTATGCTAGGAACGGAAATCCTATGTTGCATCGCCTTATACTACCAGTGTGTTGACTTTCGCACATCGGCACATAACTATGTGAGACCTTTAGAGAAATTGCTCATTTGAAAATGATGACTGACCTATACTCTAGATTGGCCAAGCAATGCGGATAGCTATGGCACAAGGAATGCACACTAATATGCCAGTCGAAGATTTAGGGCATGACATGGTCCAAAGATCCGGCAAAATCTGGTGGACTATTTACATTCTAGACCGAGAAATGACATCGTTAATGGGTCTACCTCAGTCTATCAACGACCGATATGTGCAAACCAAGCTCCCCACCTTTGCAGACCCGTCCGAAACAATGTCATTAGGCATGCACATCAAGTTGTCTCAGATCATCGCCGAGGTGAATGGCAGTAAGATTCCCCGAGCATCCATGGTAGATGATGATCCCTAACAAAAGGATAGCGATATATGTTGCCAATGGGCGTATCAATCGGGCTTTTCTACTTAGCACCAAAGCAGCATTGGCCAAAATTGCAGGGCTTGCCGATGAGCTTCGCGAGTCATTTCCGCTACACTTGGACCCAGCCAGTGGCGTTTCTCGAACATCAGCGTACTTACACCTTCAATATCACCAGGTCCGTGTCTTATTCCTTGTCAACTTCACTAATTTCTCACACGATATTCAGTGTATCATCCTGGCCACACGACCTCTCCTATTCTGCTTTCTCAAAATCCGCTTCGAGTCCCCAGAAAGCTGTTTAGAATCCCTCAATGCATCTCGAAATGTCCAAAACCTGATGCAAATGTGTCTTGAATCGGCGCAGCACATCATCGGCATTCTCTCTAATCTACACAGTCAAGGCCTCTTAGGTAAACATCCTTTGCTACAATAAGCTTCCTCGTCTAACGTCAGACTTCTAGAAACATTCCTCCCCTTTGATCTAGAATCAGTTTTTGTATCCACAATCATCCTTCTGATGGGCCCAGTAATCGACCCGCACTTACTAGAAAGTCATCCCAACTGGCTTGAGAAAGCCTACGCAATTTTCGACGAAATGATCAGAGACGGAAACCAAGTTGCTGCCTTTCGACGATCCGAGCTCCAGCAGCTACACGAGACATTATTAGGATGTATCTCCGGTGATCAGCCTCGACACCTAGCGGTTCCTGATTTCTTCCAGCAGGCTGATACTCTTCCTGGTCCAGCTTCCCCTTCTACAACACCGATCCCTGGGACTATACCTCAGTCTGTTCGATATGATGATACTCTTCTCCGACCAGATCCTGATTTGGATGTGGAGTGTGATTTTAGTACGATTTTGACTTCGGCTGAGATTATGGCTGTTGCGGATTCGATTGAAAGCTACGATACCGAGTGGGTGTCGAATGCGATGGTAGAACATAGTATATGGTAGAATGAATACCTAATGAATTGACGAATACAATATTGATATCTACTGATATTTCCAATGAACAGTATCATGTGCTAAGATAAATCCAAGCTGGTCTATTAGTTGAATGATAATGATACGTTGGATTTGGACATAAAGATGCAGTAAAAATTGATATATGTACCTACTCTTCTAATATCCAAATAATCTAAAGCTTAGACAAGACAGGCCGAATCTCAGAGAGCTCCTTCGACTCTCCAAGACGCCAGCTCACATCACCACCCCAATCCTTGCCCTTGCTGGGATCGGCATGCTTCCATTTCCACCGAGCTTCACGCTGTCGGCCATCCTGTAGGAAATCCGAAACCCACGATCCAAAGATAGGGAACATCTTGAACCCATGCCCGGAATCACCAGACAACAAAACAACCGACTCCGACGTCCCCGGGACAAAATCAATAATAAAGTCCGAGTCATCAGTATCAGCAAACCAGCAAAGCGACTTCTTAACCAGCGGCCGATTCGCAAGCGCGGGAAGCGTCTGCGCCAGCAACTTCCTCATTTGTCTCTCATCATTCTCCGGCACAAAAGCACTTTCCTCCAACGTGCCAGGCGCATGAGAAACCCCAGTCTTTGGATCCGTATTGATAAACCCTCCACCCATAGGACAAATCTTCAACAAGTTAGTCTTCGGATCCGGCTCAAAGAGAAATCCCAGATCACGAGCATAGGTGACAGGAATACCACGCAGCGCAGAAGTCTCTTCGTCCGTAAGATGAACATGCGCAACCGACCAAGACTTGGCCACCACCTGCTTCCCGATCTCCGGGACTAGACGACCGACTGCACCGCCCGCTGCGACAATCACCAACGAAGATGGATGGAACTTCCCATCCTTCGTTCGGATTCCGGAGCTCTTCTTGCCTTTCAGGGTACTGACGTAAACTATTTCGTCGACTGCGCCGCGTTTGCCGAGGTAGAAGCGCACGCCAGCTGCCTGTGCAGCTCGGTATACTCCTGCCAGGGCGTTCCCGGAGTGTGCATACCCGTCAAAGCGGTTCAGGTAGCCATTCCATCCGGTCAATGGGCCATCGAGTTGCCAGCAGGCTTGACGGATATCGTCTTCGCCCCTGAGGGGTATGAAATGTGATTTGATTTGCTTGTTTCCTTCTGCTGAAGCGCGGAATCTATTGAGGGTGTCTATGGCTTTCTGAGGTGCTTCACCAGACACGCAGTGGAGGAATCCAGTTTGGTGGAAATGAGGTGCGAAAAGAGGGGTTTTCCATGCGGCGATGGCTTTCTAATTAATCGATAAAACAAGATATTAGAAATAACTCGATTACTATACTTGAAGATAGTGACTTACAATTGTTAAATCAGTGTAGAATGGATCCTCGTATTCTGCGCGCACAATCTTATTCAGATCATTAGCCGCCGAAAAGCGCGGAGGGATGTGATCATCTCTCTCGAAGACGGAAATATTCGTAAAGCCTGAGCGAGTCAAATGAAGAGCGCTGGAGAGCCCAAAGGCTCCGCCGCCAACAATGATAATCGGGTCGGATTTGGAGATACCCATGGTGAAACGGCGATGGGAAACTTTTGCCAGGTGCAATAGTTCAATATCTATAGTCGATTAGCATCTCAATATATCCGATATACCTCAACGGCATCATTGCCGAATCCGGGGCTAGTGGGGGCATCGGGAGGGCTCCCGATCTGCTTTTTATTTTGATAGAGAACAATAATTCTATGAGTCACCTTATTGGGTATCAAAGCTTACTAGAAGGTGCAAATACAAATAGTATCGCATTGTAGCAAGAAGTGCTGACCTTTAAAAATAAAACTTGAGCACGGAGCAAAGAGCAAAGAAAACGCAAGCTAACCAGACTCCCTAGGCTCTCTCGACGAAGATTATCATCTCAAGCGAATCGCGCAAAGCCTTGCAGCCCTCATAGCTGCAGGCAACCAACTGGGTAACTTCTGATGGGGTAGGGACCCCACGGCCTAGTTCCCGCCCACGGCTAGAAATGGCCCCCTTGATAAAGTCCGCAGTTCTGTACTCTCCTGGGATTGGATCATGTGCAATAGCCAGTTGTAGATGCTTCCATCTAGCGATCCAGGCAGTCCAAGGTTGCGAATCTAGCTCCCAAACTTTAGTGCTGTGTAAAGCTGGGTCCTTAAAGACCATCACTGCGCCTCCAATTCGAACATATTCAAGTGCGTACTGAAGGGTGCTCGCAGTGTAAAATCCAGGCCCTAATTCATTATCTGAATTATGGCTGGTCCTTTCAGGGATGAAAAGAGCCAATGTCGATTCCAGTGCATTCAAGCCCAATCCTCGAAACCAAAGATTTTCTGATTCGAGAGGGGCACCCACGAGCTTCCTGATATCGGCTTCTAGCCAATTTATGTTCTTATCGAATCGTATCTTAACGCATTTAACATGGTCTGATGCTTGGGCACGAGAGGCCGGGTAGAGGTCGCGGAGACTGTGGGTTTCAAGGCTCCCTTTGATGGCCGCCGGCGTAGTACTAGGAGCTGTTGTCACGAAGGGTGAAGAAACGACTGTTGGATTGTTTCCAGAGGCCTTGGCCCAGATCGTGGGTGGCACGGTCCCTTCTTCTTCCCGTCGATTGAGTGGCCATAACAGGCCTACCCCAAAAGGAATGACTTCTATGTCATCCTCAATAACGTACGCAGGGTGGTCGATGGCTTGGACAAGTTCATCCAGACCCGCTAGCCATGCGAGGCTACGCAGAGGGCCAATGATTTCGGCAGATCCTATTATAGATGAAATTATCTGCTAAGTCTCCTAAACAAGGAAGCGAGGTCTAGGGCAGACTACTTACTGCGCTGCCCATTCTCGTCCAGCCACTCTTGAATATCCGCTGGGATCTCATCTTCAGGGTATCCTTCCTGCGATGTCCATACAGGTCTGAATCCATGCTTAACGAGGTTGCGGTGGTTGCGTGGCCAGCCTCGAGCTAGAACAGCGTCACCCTCATCGTAATCGGAATCAAAATGTTCCTTTTCCTCATGGTCATGGCCTTGTTGGGTTTCGCTATTTTCCATGGTGTTGAATAATTTATCTTCAGGTGACTTGAAAAACAGCTGTCGAACTACGGTTGTGCTGTCGGTAGGGGTTAGTGGCTCATCAGATGTTGAAAGTTGAAGCCGATGTTAATGACGGTATACGGTCGAGTGATAGGATGGATGTAGGAGATTCAGTCCGCCTTCGCTTTCGGTACCAGGGATTCTCTATTTTGTAGTAATTCGCTTATAGATGAATGGTAGTAGTTATAATAATACTATAATAATCCATTCTTCAATTTTGATCAAACATTATTTCTAAAATGGGAATCTACATAATGTAGTAGGAGCGACCTATTACCCATTGTAGTGACCATGTCCTAGGCTAAGCTTTATATCTAAAATAGTCTGTCCCATTATGTTAGAAATCTATAAATTATTCATCCATTTTATACCTGAAAGATATCAATAACCCCCATAGCGATACGAAATAATCTGCTGACCACAGATAATTTAGTTTATCTTTGTGATACTCCTACAAAAACCCAAATAGGCGCTGTCGGTAGGCGTACCGTCGATAACATGGTCGAGCAAGCCCGCCACCGGCAACTCTCCCATGCAGACATTACACGAACGAATAATCTGGAATACCAATAGAACCAGTTCAAATAGACTCTCCGGATTTTATTACTGTTTGTGGAGAAATTGGCCAGCAGCAATAATCACCCCGCATGGTGAGTTACCAAAGGCACCGGATGCTTGTCCGAGATGGCCTGCCCGAGATGCTATTTGGCTCTATACGAGGGGAATAACATTGCAAGATAAAGAAGCCGGTCCCTTCACCTAATTTGACATGAACAGAGGTCCGAAGTCATAATATCACGCAAAAGAGATGGGTAAATTCCTCCCTAGAAAGCCTCTAAGCGCTCTTCCGCGATGCACTCGGCCAACGAGCAACGTGAATGCCTCGATAACACTGCGATTTACCTCAACACTGCAAGCACACACACAAGCAAAGACTACTCCGAGCGCCCCACTACCACCTCTCTCTGTTTTACCGGCGCGTGTCTTGCTCAGATCCCTACTGGTATCTACGATATCGTCGAAGAGATTCCTCCTTATTCCTGCGCTTTCGTTCTTGTCCTTCCTATCCAAGCCTAACAGGATCTGGTTATTCGATGTGGATCGGAATCCAGTTTTGCATGGAATATTAAAGAAAACCTTTTACGATCAATTCTGTGCCGGAGAGAATGGGGCAGAGTGTAGATCCACCATCCGGGAAATGAAAGACATGGGATTCCGCGGCATGATTCTGACATACGCCGCTGAGACTGTGTTTGATCATAGTACTCAGGCTCAGAATGGACAGAGAGTTACTGCTTTAACAAGCAAGCAAGGGGATGTGTCCATCAATGCCCCGGTCTACCAATGTCCCAGCATCGAAGCTTGGCGGGAAGGGACAGTTCAGACTATCTACATGACAGAGGCAGAAGATTACCTCGCTGTCAAGTAAGTTGATCGGAACTCGCCATTTCATGGAGTAATGACTAACCATTTACAAGGCTAACAGGTGCTGGCGTCAAAGTCACCGAAGCTTTTGCCGCCGGAGAGTTGCCTCCGCAGCAAATGATGGATGCACTGGATGAGGTCTGTACCAAGGCCAAAGACCGAAAGGTTCGCATCCTCGTCGATGCCGAGTCTCAGCATTTCCAAAAAGGCATCTCACGCGTTGCTCTGGAACTTATGCGCAAATACAATCGCGACGGTTATGCCACCATCTACAATACCTACCAGGCATACCTCAAAAGCACACCAGTGACACTGGCCAATCATCTCGCTGTGGCAAATGAAGATGGATTCACCCTCGGCCTCAAGCTCGTGAGGGGTGCATACATGGCCACGGATGAACGGTCCCTGATCCACGACACAAAGGAAGACACCGACAACGCATATAATACGATAGCCCAGGGGGCGCTGAGAAAGAACATTGGAGAGTTTGGAGATAAGGGCAGCCGCGACTTCCCTTCGGTGAATCTCTTCCTGGCAAGTCACAACAAAGAAAGCGTGGTGGCTGCTCACCAGCTTCATAAGCATCGTGTCATGTCTGGCTTGCCTACTGTTCCTGTGCGCTTCGCACAACTCCATGGTATGTCTGATGAGGTTAGCTTTTCGCTGCTTCAGATGAATGATGGCGATGGAACACCAGAAGTTTACAAATGCTCTACTTGGGGAAGTATGGGTGAATGCCTGGCCTATCTTCTTCGTCGGGCAATTGAAAATCGTGATGCTGTTCTCCGGACGGATAGCGAGTATCGAGCGTTAAAGAAGGAGGCTTTTCGCAGAGCGAAGGCGGTGTTTTCTCTTTCGTCATCTCCATAGCGGACCAAATATATGAATTTATGATCTGCATGACCCGGCTGTGTATATGTTCCGGAGTACGGAGTAATGACATAGTTTGATGTCTGTTTAGGTAAAGATTTGCATCTACGGATGATCCGTGGACAGTGCTATTCTCGTTAGCATCGATAGTTGGAAACTTTCTGGAATAGAGCAGTAATAAACTAGGGAATTTGGGCTGGTGATCGCTGGTTTTCCTTATCATTGTAGGTACACTGGAGCTCACCGCAATGATGACGTGATGATACTAGGGAAGACAAGAATGCCGAGTATGTTTCACCGAGTCACTGTTAACACCGTTAGAGCCGAAACTTGCATCATATAGGCCATTAAAAAAGGCAGGTGGGGAAAGGGATGCACGAGATAAGACATATTCTCTGAATGGAAGGGGCTGGACGCCGAATTTGACTTGAGGTTCACAGCCCTCTCATCTCAACACGAGGGGCTCCAAGAACTAGGGGAAGTGGATTTGAGGTATTAAATATCAAATCAACGTATAGCTGATAAATGGATTGGAAGTATAAAGCTATTGTGAAGAATCCTATTTGCCGGGGAAATCTTGGAACGGATGGAGCTATGCCGAGCCCCGTGGTGTTGATGAAAGCCTAAACTCCACTTATTATCGGATTTGCGAAGCTGGTTGGTTCATTGGTAGACCTCCAAAGCTTGGTAAGCTTATCTTGTGGGTCCCTAGCCCTAGCCCTACATAGGTATAGAGGTACTCTCCAGTCTGGGGCGCCTCGTTTTAGGATTCGGGGGGTTTTATGCCGGGGTAATTCTGCTTTGATTCCATTATCCTCCTTTGGAATACTTAGCTGAAGTTTCCAAACTGATCTGAAAACCTTTCAATAACTATAGTTGAAACTTATAGAGTGAACGCCATGGCCCCCCTCAAAGGGAAGTCATTGAGCCTCGTCATCGGCCTCGTTGGCGCTGTCGGATTCGTACTACAAGGTTACGACCAGGCAGTGGCTAATGGATTGTTAACACTGCGCTCTTTTATCGCCGTCTTTCCTCAAATCGATACCGTGAATACTAGCGGTAGTGAGAAAGCTCACAACTCTAAGATTCAAGGTATCTACTCAGATAAATTGGTTGTTACAGCTTAACTATGACAATGCTGACCATCGCAAGGCACAACGGTAGCTATATATGAAGTTGGATGTGCACTAGGTGCAGGTTCCTGCGCCTTTCTTGGTGACAGACTTGGTCGTCGCAAGACTATCTTTCTTGCCGGATGCATAGCCCTAGTTGGTATAGCCATTCAAGCAAGTCCCTTCTCGCTCGGCCAACTTATTGCTGGCAGAGTCATTACTGGTAAAGCCCCAACCTATTATTAAACAATTACAACAAGCTAACCAGTAACTAAATAGGTCTCGGTGTTGGTGGCTTCACCGCTACAATCCCAATGTACGTATCCGAGTCATCTGGGGCAGAGGCACGTGGACGAATGGTTCTGCTAGAGGGATGGTTTGCGATCGGCGGAGTTGCTCTCGCAACATGGTTAGAGTTCGGACTCTACTATGTCAGCGACAACTCCGCCAGCTGGCGCTTCCCCATTGCATTCCAAGGCCTCTTTGGCCTCGTTGTTGTAGTGTGTGTCATGCTCCTACCTGAGTCTCCCCGCTGGCTCGCTCGTGTCGGTCGCTTCGGTGAGGCAGCTGAAGTGCTGGCGCGCATGGAGAATGTACCTATCGACTCCGAGCGTGTCCCACAAGAACTGGAAATTATCCGACAGTCACTTGCAATTGACGAGAACACCGAATCGGCAGGATCTTCCTCGCCATTTGCGCTCACGAAGAACCGCCACCTGCACCGTACAGTTATTGCCGTTGGTGTGAACATTCTGGCGCAGATGACCGGTGTCAATATCATCACTTTCTACTCTGATACTATCTTCGAGTCCGACCTAGGTTACTCAGGTACACTCTCGCGAGTCATCACCGGATGTCTGCAAATATGGCAATTCTTGGCTGCAGGCCTGGCTGTTCTACTCATTGATCGTCTCGGACGTCGTCCACTGCTTATAACTGCCGCTGTAGGTATGACCGTTGCCCAGGCATGTCTGGCTGGGCTATCGAGCGATCTTGGAAATAGGTCTGCAGCTGGCGCATCACTCTTGTTCTACTTTGTAGCGCTCTTCTGCTTCCCTATTGGACTTTTCCTTGTCCCATTCATGTATGCCGCAGAGATCGCACCGCTACGCACTCGTGCTAAAGTTACTGCCATGTCAGCTGCGGCAAACTGGCTCTTCAACTTCGTGTTGGCAGAGGTGAGCCCTGTTGGCTTCGCTACGATCCACTGGCGGTACTACATTGTCTATGCGTGTATTAGCGCATTTGCTTGCTTGTGCTTCTATTTGTTCTGCCCTGAGACTAAAGGCCGTACACTGGAGGAGATAGATGATATTTTCGTTCAGTCGAAGTCTGTCTTTGATACTGTTCGAATTGCACAGGAGATGCCTTACCAGGCGGAAGTTCTTGTGCACGTCAACGATACTGAGAAGGGTGGGCTGGAGGCTACGCAGATGGAGAATGCTTGAAAATGATATGAAGATGCTCGAGATTATGTGATTCATGTTCAGTTTTATTTAGAATCTTATGATGAGTTATGTATTCAAGTTTCTAGGTAGTCAGACAACAAATTTCTCTATTCAACCTGATAAGTTGGCATGAAAAGCAGACCGCAACTCCATATTCGTCAAGCACCCAATCCCAAACGCAGGAATGATGCGGAAACAACGTAACAAAGTGGACGAGGGAAGATATTGCTGCGAATGCTTCACCCTTTCGAGAAAAGGCATAGTATATTGTCGCGTATACATATCCAATGCCAGCAAATGCAGCGGAGTAGCAACTAGCTGGGTCAGGACTGGCACGGTCAACTGCGTGATGATCGGCTTTGCGTGGGGATGGGCCGCCAAGCTGTCGGGGATGGCATCCGACAGCCACGGGGCCAACGTAAATGACCCAAAGATGGTCACACCATCTCGTACGAGAAATATAGCAGCTGCAGTTCGTGCCAATGATTTGTTCTGGGGGAGTACACAGACACTTGCTTTCGATGTCTTGGCATCGGGACCGTTGCCGGTACCGTACTCCTCCGCAAATCGGATGTCCTTCCACAGCGCTAGCGGTACGTTCGCCATCATAGTCGTGGCAAAAGTGATCGTCCCCGCGGCTGTTATCTCAAATTTGCGACTGATTGTGTCGGTCACATTTGCGACGGAATAAGTTGCCGCGTAGAGGGCCCAGACGATACCGAAGGGTCGTTGGAAGACAAACAGACTCGGCTGCCGGAGGGCCCCAAGGGCATGCCGACGAAGTCCGCGGAGGATGGGTTGTTTGAAGGCAGCTTGCTCGACAAGCGCTCTGGGTGCTTGTTAGCACAGAATCAGCGCGCTTAGAATTTAGACGAACCTATCAATTATTGCCACTGCAGGTGTCACTAGGGACGCCGAGGCTGCTGCCGCGGCGAGGTCGCCTCCAAGCTGTCCTAGTTGCTGGTTCCTCCATTGAGCTTCATTTGATTGTGTTTCTTGTTGCATAATGATAATCTGACGTACGTAGTTCCTAGTCTTATGCCTATCTACTTTAAGAATATAGGATTACACTACCTAATTCAGCCTGATAAGAGCACCGGATGGCCTCCCGATGCTGCAGATCTCGAACAGCAACTATGCATTTAGCTTAATCTTGCACATCAGAGCTCAAGCTCACTGTAATTATTATGTGGGGTAAACGGGGAAGCCCCCGATATTTCTAGGAGTCGTTGACGTTTAAATCAATCTGTTCGTCGTCTCAAATTGATTTACATTGCAATTCACACGACTCAACCCTGCTATTCACCATGTCTACCACACTCATGAGACTTCGCTCAGGACGGCCTACTGGCTCTCGCCTGCGCTCCATTCCTGCGGCTCTCTCTATTCAAACTCGTGCTAAAACTACTATGCCATTCCGCCTCCCCGATGCTCGAAACGAACCAAACGTGAGTGTGATCGAACTATTTAACCCACCTCCATGCTAATCATACAATAGCCTCTATACAAGAAAGGCTCCCCGGAGCGCGCCAAGCTTGAAGAAGCATTGGCTAAGCTCCGTTCTCAGCTGCCCGTGCGGAGTGAGCTCTTCTATGATGGAAAACTCCAGGCCAGCTCCAAGTCTTGGGATCAACCATTACCCGCGGAACATGCCACTACGTTCACAAACTACCCACTTGCCACCGATGAGCAGACCCGAGCTGCTATTGATCTAGCTCTGGAGGCAAAGCAAAGCTGGCAAGATACTCCATTTGTTGATCGAGCTTCGATCTTCCTTAAGGCAGCCGAGCTACTATGCACCAAATACCGATACGAGATTATTGCAGCTACAATGCTTGGACAAGGAAAGAATATCTGGCAGGGAGAAATTGATGCGGCGGCTGAAGTGGCGGATTTCTTCCGCCTGAACTGCAACTGGGCGGCTGAAATCCTGGAGAAGCAGCCAACTCGTGGGACTGATGGCATGTGGAGGTAAATTTACATCGAGTATTGATATTTCATGAGAGCTTTTGCTAATTAATCGCAGTCGCATCGACTACCGTCCTCTCGAAGGCTTCGTTTACGCCGTCTCTCCATTCAACTTTACAGCCATTGGTGGCAACCTGATCTGCGGGCCTGCGCTGATGGGCAACGTGGTGCTGTGGAAACCTTCGGCATCTAACGTTTACGCCAGCTCTTTGCTCTACAAGATTCTTCTGGAGGCTGGTCTCCCTCCCAATGTAATTCAGTTTGTCACCGGTGACCCTGAAGCCATTACTGAGACTGTTCTTTCGCACCGTGACTTTGCCGGCTTGAACTTCATTGGCTCTTCCGATGTTTTCCGTTCTCTGTATGGCAAGATTGGCCAGGGTGTTGCTGCGAAGAAATACCGCGAGTTCCCTCGCTTCGTTGCCGAGACCAGCGGAAAGAATTTCCATCTTGTTCACCCCTCGGCCGATATCACTAGTGCAGTCAACCACACCATCCGCGGCTCATTCGAATACCAGGGCCAGAAATGCTCCGCCACATCTCGTCTCTACCTGCCTGAGTCTCGTGCAGAGGAGTTCCTTACTCAGTTGAAGGCTGGAATCAAGGAGATCACCATCGGAAACCCGGACAAGGACTTGGAGGCATTCATGGGCCCCGTGATCCACCGTGGGTCATTCGAGAAGATCAAGTCTATCATCGATGCTAGCAACAAGGACCCCTCGCTGAAGCTTATTGCGGGTGGTACTTATGATGATTCTGTTGGATACTACGTACACCCTACTGTGTACCAAGCAGATTCACCAGATCACCGTCTCTTCAATGAGGAGATCTTCGGCCCCGTGCTGGCTGTGCATATTTACAAGGATGCTGAATGGGCTTCTACCTTGAAGTCTGTTGATCAGAATGGAGGTGGCTTTGCTTTGACTGGTGCTGTCTTTGCCAAGGATCGCGTTGCTATCCGTCAAGCTGAAGATGCACTCCGATACTCTGCCGGCAACTTCTATATCAGTATGTATCACAGTACCCAAGTGAATTGTCATATCTAACCGCTTAATACAGATTGCAAGACAACCGCTGCTCTTATCGGACAACAGTCTTTCGGTGGTGCGCGTGCTAGCGGAACTAACGACAAGGCTGGTAGCTCTGACCCTCTTCGTCGTTTTGTTAGCCCGCGGTTGATTAAGGAGGAATTCTTTGGTCAGGATGGATTCACTTACCCTAGCAACCACTAAGCGTGTGGGGTATAAAATGGATGAATAGTTAATAGATTTCTAACATAACGAGACTGACTATATGTACACCACTCCATTTTAGGTATAAAATTGGCTTGGTCACTACAATAGGAAATAGGTCGCTCCTGCCAGTAGGGAAAGATTATGTAGATTCCAATTTTAGGAAAGAATGTTTGTTTACACTTGGGAAAGTCCATTTCACATGATCTTTTCTGCCTTTCTTTTGCTGATCTATAAAACTGACAAGGCATAACAGAATGATATCTGAGAAAAGCATCGAAAAGACCACTAAAAAGACCACTCAAAAGATATCACCAGACCACTTATGCGGCCGACTATTGAACATCTTGTAGTAATACTGCAAGGTCTCATAACTCGATCTTCGGCACCGAAATCGGAAGCGACTCTTCTTCCCTCGCATCCTTCAACCAAATACCTCCTTTAAGCTCAGCTCCAGCTTCAACATCAGCAAATGACTAACTCCTCTTGACCAACACAACACTCGTCCGCTGTTTCTCGAGTTACTTACAAAATATCCCTCACTAGCATGGCAGATAGAGAGATCCCACAACATGAAGGCCACAGGATTGATTCACTTACCCCAGCAGCCACTAAGCATGTCCACAACTCCTTTTTATATATCATTATCTATTTGCAGCAGAACTCACTCTTCATCAACATATAGTTTTCTATGAGTCACGAAAAAGCCATCTTGAATTTCTTCACCCGAGGTCTTCTCTGTGTCGGATGAAATCGGGAGGATTAGGGTTCAACAAGATGATCTTCCCCTTGCACTAGCCATCTTCAATCTATGATCGAGGATCTGATGAGGCTATTATCCAGCATACACTGTATATTGTAGACCATATGATCCTTCACAAATAGTTGAGTCATAGTCTGTGTTCTGCATTGTAGGAAGCAGAACATCCATGGCATAAAAGACAGACATGTTGGACTCTAAGTACTCAATTCGAGAATCAAAACATTGCAGATTGTACAGAGTCCTCGTTCTTTTATCTTTTATTTTGTGGAAAGATTATTTCTACTTTCTCTGAGACTGTTTGATAGTCATGCAGCTCCAAACAAGTATAGCTCGTCTTGCCCTTGTGCCCACCCGTCTTCAGCACAGTGCAATGTTCAGGACGGGCACTATATTATGTTCTCAGCCGAGCAGATATAGCAATCTGTCTACCTTGGTGCAGCTCAGGCGAAACCATTCAACAAGCACACACATTGGCCAAAAGTCATCATGGACCCATCCCATGTATGTTCGATCAAGCTGCCTCATTAGAGCAAGCCTTTCCTTCATTGTTCCTCACAGAAACGATTGTGTCTAACGTATATCACCTCCCTGGCAGATACACAAAAGAACAGATCCTCGCCGTCCGAACCGCCCACCGCAAAGCAGACACCTGGCAAGATAGAACAGCTCTTGGAACCGTACGCCTATTACGCTGGGGCATGGATCTTGTCTCCGGATATCACGCTCGGCCAGCCAACACAAACACAAACTCCAAACCCTACCTCATGACCGAGGAGAAATGGATCACGAGATTCGTCTTCCTAGAAAGCGTAGCCGGCGTTCCAGGGATGGTAGCAGGGATGCTCCGCCATCTCAAAAGTATCCGCCGAATGAGAAGAGACAACGGTTGGTGAGTGGTGACATATTTTCCTTTCTCAATCATCTCTCACACAATACAGGATAGAAACCCTCCTCGAAGAAGCCTACAACGAACGAATGCATCTCCTAACCTTCCTCAAGCTCGCCGAGCCAGGCCGAACAATGCGATTTATGGTCCTCGGCGCGCAGTGTGTATTCTTCAGCGGATTCTCGCTCGCATATCTCATCTCGCCTCAGATCTGTCATCGCTTTGTGGGGTATCTAGAAGAAGAAGCTGTGATCACGTACTCAAAGGCAATTGTTGATCTTGAGAATGGATATCTGCCTGGATGGGAGGGTCTGCAGGCTCCCGAGATGGCAATTAAGTACTGGCAGATGCCGGAGGGCCAGCGCTGTATGCATTCGCTGTTATTGTATGTGCGTGCTGATGAGGCGAAACATCGTGATGTCAATCATGCTTTGGGGAATTTGGATCAGAATAAGGATCCGAATCCTTTTGCGGCGGGGGTTAGGGCTCAGGTTCAATCTGTTGCTCGTTCGGCTGGGGTTGCATCAACTGCAGGGAAATAGGGGAAATTTACGTGGGTTCATTAGCAAAGCCTTTCTTATCTGCGCAGGTGTGAATCAAGACCGTTTTTTATGAATGATGCATGATGCATACGTACTGCATATGCACACTGGTGTTCGATGTTCAACAAAGGCGGGTGAACTGCCGAGGTTTGTCGGGAGGTGGTCCGGAGCGAGACCTAGGGATGTAACTGTTCTTACTGAGAATTATCAACCCACTTCATTGTATTTGACTAGCTTCTAGTCAAATTACGAGGGCATTTAGTAGCGGTGTGGGGTTGATTCACCCACCGAGCAACTTCGCTAATCAATGGGAAATATTGGGAAGACATCTTTCCAAAACAAAAAATCCTACGCACTTGAAATAAACTACGACGGTCCATGCTCTAGACACATGGAAGAAGGAAGAAAGAAGAATGATGCCCAAGTAATACCATTTGTTTGGGATAAAGAGTAGAGATATTGTAAGTACATGCAGGAGAATGCCACTCCAGAAACGAGAGGCCTGATAATCTTAGCCATGTAGAGATACCATAGCTATGATTTTTAGAGCCGCCGAAGAAAATTGCCTGGGTCTGCACGCGTCTGCATTATGAGCTGGAACCTAATTAGGCGACAATAAAGTGGCCTATAGAGATTCCATGTGCCTTTGCTCGAGCATGTCTTTCCATTGAGTGTGCAAATTTTGAATCGGCGGGTCTACGCATGATACGGTGCCTGGAGGGCTCCGATGCGCGGACCGGTCAGATGAATCCGGTTCAGTTCTGCGCCAAGCTTCATTTTTGGCATCCATACCGGGGGGGTTGGGTCCGGAAGTTGGTGCGACAGCCGTGGTGGCAGAGCGGTTTCAGTGATCAGCCATTATCAAACAAGGGATAGGCTACCACGCTGCTAGTTTGGTGAAAGTTGTGTTCATTGTCGGTCAACGACTGTCAGAGTAATCGGGTCCATGACAGCGATGACGGATCGCAGGAAATGATATCAGTTTCGAATGTAGAGCGATCAATGGGGCTTAATAGCTTTGCGCCGATACTGCAGCAGGCTGGAATTTGTTAGCGCTTCGTCCAAGATACGGGATTCAGGAACTGAATAATTTGCAAGAAAGATCGCGGCAATGTCGGGCGATCCAGCAAGGATCACCGGGGTCAAAATCCAATAAAAAATGGGGGTTCCTTACAGGGCTATTCAGCATGCTATTGCGCTTGTTTCGGCCCTTCTTAATGTGGTTCTTCAGGGCGGTCGAGTCCAAGGGTTTGAGAAGTTCGAAGCTGCAAAGAAGTTCACCAGAGACTGACATGATAGCGCCCCAGTTATCGAACTCGCCGCAATACTGTAAAAGGTCAGTGTGATTCTTAGTGAAACACAGAAGGACACGACTTACGTTGGGTGCAGAAAACACAGTCACCAGAATGCGATCCTGGTAGAACTCATATCCATCCTCAACCACCATGTGGGCGCGGCAAACCAGGTCGAAGTCGTGACGCTGCAAAAAGTCCATGATTACTTTCTTTCCGAAGCAATAGCTGACACCACGCTCGTTAGGTTCCCAATCCTCCTCCATGTCTGCGGGGTCGCTCCACAGGAGGTCATTCAACAGGCCATAGTCCGGCACGTCAGTGGGGCGAGCGATGCCACGAATATCGTCCATATGAGAGAGACTAGGAGAGAGACCACCGTGGACACAGAAGATTTTACCGGCCACAATCGCAGCAATCGGGAGGGTGTTGAAAGTATCGATGAAGGTCTTCCAGACCTTGATGTTGCAACGACGCTTGCACTCGTCATAGAACCCATAAACACGGGTAACATTGGCGCATTCATGGTTTCCTCGAAGCAGGAAGAAGTTCTCAGGGTATTTGAGCTTGTAGCACATCAGCAGAAGGATTGTCTCCAGACTCTGCTTGCCTCGGTCGACATAGTCACCCAGGAAAAGGTAGTTGGAAGCAGGAGGGAATCCGCACATCTCGAAGAGTCGAATAAGGTCAGTGTATTGGCCGTGAACATCGCCGACAATCTTCACGGGAGCCGACAGCTCCAGCAGAGCAGGCTGTGATAGGAAGAGCTCGCGAGCGGCGGTGCAGATGGCGGTAATCTCCGCGTTCTTCAGACAGACAGTTTTGGTAACCTTACTAGAATAACCAGCATCTAGGAGTCGCGAAATCATGTCGTCCAGATCGATGGATTTCAAAGCGCCCATACCCATGCCGGGAGATCCTGAAGTCTCCAAGGGGGCGTTCAAGATGAAGTCCAGAATAGGGTTGAGTTGGTTCTCTCGCTTCATCAGAATTGATTCACCAGCGACCGCGGAGGCCCCAGTTGGGGGGCCACCAGAGGGAGGGTTATCTGACACATGGTCGACTTCACCGCTTTCCTTCATCGCATCCACATCCTTGTGGCCTCGTTGCAAGCTTGTGGAAAGCGAGGGAGATGGTGGGGGTTGGGGGGAGCCAGGTCGCGATGTGGTTTCCGAACCAGGCGACTGGGGAAGGCCGGCATTGGAGCCAGGGCGGCTTCCAACTGACTTGAGGGATCCAGCATCGGATTTGTCTGTCTGGCTCTCGGTTCGGGAGAGAGCAGTGGTGGAGCCACGAGGGCTATCGGAGCTGCGAGCACCAGGAATTTTCGATCGAATCGAGCCACGGAACGAGCGGAGAGACTCCTTGGTGTCGGTTTTGGAAAAAGAAGGGTAGGACTGCAAAGTATCGCCTGAGGCGTTGCTCTTGGAATGCGACTGACCCATCACTACAAAGCTCGGGTAACTGCCAAGCTTGAGTTGAGATGATCGCACGAACGATGGAAGTTCAAACTGTTATGCGGAGAAACCCCTGTTGTGTTGCTGGAATGCGTTGGCCCGAGCTTCTGCAAAATTACAAAAGCCTAAAAGAGACTCTGCAAAGAATGCGCAGTGGTTTGTGCGAAGACTGATTATCACTGATCCACCTGGTCGAGACCTTGAGGAACACACGGGCGGAGGCAAGTGCGAGACGTGAGTACTAGGCAAATAGGTGAGATGGCGAGATCAAAGTGAAGATCTAGAAATCCGGAGGTTTGTGATTGTAGGGCAAGGTTTTCGAATGGTGAGAAGCTAAAGATAAAAGGCGGGAAGCTCCAAAGTGAGAGGGTGAAGCTCTACAGAAAGTTAGCCTCTTGCACGAGACAATGCAGGTGCGGGATTGCAGGGCTGACTCCGCAGAAAATCCAGGTGGCATGTGGAGGTGATAAAGCGAAAGAAAAAAGAAGCAAGGGAGGTCCTTGGAAAAGGACTGGGAATGGTGGGTTTGCGGGTAGAGGAATGCGTCATTATGTACGAGGTGTTTAAATGGGGGTGGTCGTCCACATAATAGGGCCGCTGGGGGGGGGTAGAAACTGGGGGTGACTGTTTACCTCAAAAGGATCCAATGGAGGATATCAAGAGCTGCAAGGATGAAAACAAGAAAATAGAGAGGGGAAAGATGGAAAGTTAACAAGATCAAGGTCGGAAAGGGTAGGCAAAAGTACTCCGCCACCGCTAATACAGCCAAAAGGTACTTCGCGGGTACGAAGTGGCTCCTGTTTTCTTGGACCGGGTCTCGATCAGATGAGGTCAGCCGGATTATCTATCGGACCGAGCTATACAAAGAATTTAAGACAGTTGCCTGATCTAAAGAAAGTCTGGACTCTCGTATTTATAGTGATGAGTATTTGACTACTTAATCAAATCATTTTTCTTTTTTTCTTTTTTAATTTCTTTTTCTTTCCAGAAACTGTTGTGAATGTGAAGAGAGGTGTTGGTGTCTCCCTTGAAGGTATATATATATATCTATATATCTTCCAGCTTCATACTGCAATTTTGGGGAACATTGAATATCTTCTCTATTTTCTTTCTTTAGCTTTGTAGAGCATTGAATTTATCTTCAATATCTGATATCTTCCCCCCCACCATAACCTAGGTAAAGCCTTGGGTCATTTTTGAACCCCCACTATTAGCGCTCGATAAGCGATGTTTCCCCCCTCTACAATGAATGTCTGGAGCACGTGTATTCATTACATTTAAATCTGGACCGCCTGAACAGGCCATCACAAATGAATTTATAGAGCTAGTCGGACACCAAGAATATTTTTCCGAAACAACCCGACCATTTGCAAGAGAATCTATCCAGAGCTTGGACCCTGCCATCCGGGGCATGTACCCTATCAGAAGTGATAGAGATAAAAGTGCAGCACCCACCTAACCAAGGATTTGACACCACGTTTAAAAGAAAAATGATACATCACAAAGTTATATGTTGCTGCGTTGTAGAGCGCAAGCCCCCTGTAAACACGTCCGACAGGGGAGACGGTTACAGGATAGTAAACCGTTCAGAAAAGATACACTCTGGTCCCATGATCTGATAGTAGCGGAAGCAGACAGGAACCACAGATAGTCTTGGTTCTGCACGAAAGCAACCATGCTGCATGCCAAGGGATCGGTGTGGCGGAGACACCGCTTCTTCGCCCCTTGCTAGCTGGAAGCGCCTGCCACAAACAATTTCCTATCCGATGACTTGACAGAAAGCCTGCCGGCCAAGCTACCTTGAATGGTGAGATACTGCGATGCAGCTGCTGTGACCCCAGTGCCACGTTGTTGGAGCAGCGAGCGCCGCTGCAAGAAAGCCTCGTCTTGGCAGCCCCAAGCCCAACTCTAGCTCTGGCGGAAAAGCAGGGACCAGGCAATTGTGGGCGCAGGGCAGGGACCAGGCCTTTCCTGCTGCATATCGCGTGGGTGGTGCAATATGTGGCTGCCACTGCTTGGTATTGCGGGGCAGTAGACCTAGGCTTATCATTCGAGAATAGAATAGAGAACGATCCGCAGGTGGGAAAATGAAGGTCTCGTGGATACGAGCCCGAGTTGGAACCTGATCAAGGCTTACTCTAGCTCTATTTTCGTAATGTGTCGTCCTGGGATCACAATGAGGCCTATCAGCCGGTGTGTCATGTTCACTTTAACGGTTGTGCTCTTTGCTTCCGACGCTTCCCCCCACGACTCGTTCTTCTCTGCGGCAGCTTGTACGGCAGACGTGGTGGGCATACGATATTCAAAAGAGTTGGCGAGAATGATATTCCGGTCCTATGGGGGAATTTCTATTAGTACCGCGGTATGCGTAGTTCATAGATGACTGCTTACCGCATCGGTACACTTGAAAAGCCCGACGAACATCCGAGTATCCGTGGTATGGATCCGCAGTGTGCGACCCAACAACCCTTCCAAGTACTGAACAGACTGATCGTGATCCATTGTGGTTGGTGCGTTGTTCGTGTCAGCAGACAAAGGGCCTCCAATGTGCGGGGGAGTTGAAGTCTGAGGGTAATCGAGCTGAAAATGATTCCGAGGCAAGAGGAAGGACAGGTCAGATTGTTCTGGGGTTGGCAGGATTAAGTAATTTTCTTTTGCAGTTTGAGATTCCCCTAGCCTTGTGATTCAATTGAAGGAGGGACGACGTCGGGCGGACAAACGACTTCGTTGCCTGAGGCCAAATTAGGCCAATGGAGCGGGTCCATCACATCACGCCAAAACCTATGTACAATGTAGAAAGAGCTATAGAATATCTAAATCATGAGTCAGTGTACTTGAAATGAGCACCGGCCACCAAATCTATATATATGCAAATGTACCTAGAGCCTATACCGAGGTGATTACCATTCTAGGCAAGTGATCACAATACCCCAATATTGCTACATAGGGACGGATCAACAATGACGCACCCTAAATCCAGCCCCAAAAACGAAGTCGGAAGTCACTGAAATATTGAGAGCGACATGGCTATGTATGTGAATGTTGATTAAGAATCAAAATTTTCAATTATTCTCAGACTTCTAAAAACGCCAAAGACCAAGAAAGACTCCCAGTTTCTTTCGAGAAAGAAAAACAAGACAATGTAATTAGCCAGTAACACCTTGCCCAAATAACCCAATAGGTATCGTGAAATAGATAGAAAGGTAATATACCTCTCCTAATACAAACACCAGCGCACAATGATAACAAACCCACGCAAGCAAAACTACCTCCAGGCCATTCCTCCTACCCAGTTCTTGGGCATCTGGTTTAGCCCATCACTACCGCTTGTGCTATCCATGTCCATATCCATGTCCACATCAGCCATCTGATTGGACCCAGGACTGTTGCTCTCACTTGAGCTGTCCCCGGAGCTCATTTGATTAAACGCCTGGCGACGTAGGAAATCCTCCTGGGTGTGTGCAGTCTCATTGGCACGCGGTGCAAGGGCTTGAGGAGATGGTCGGAAGGACGATGATTGTTGTGGTTTCTGCTGGAAGAATCGGTGCAATGTTTGCTGACGGGGATCAACAACTTCTGGTGTTTCGAGGGTCGGCTCTGAATCCATTGTATCCATATCAGTGGCCTGTGTGGACTCCTGCTGCTTTTGCGCGGAGAAAATCCATCGTAGAGTGTTCTCTGCTAGCTGTCAGCGAGGATGCAATCAAGGGAGAGTGCTCCTAGGGCGAGGCGAGACACTTACGGTAAATCACTTGGTCACTAGGACGATCGTCTCTAAAGCGCTTTCGTGTCCGACTGTGGAGATGTGTGCTCCCAGTCCCCATGTCCCATTCATTGGGGGCCGGAGCTGATAGACTGGTCGGGAGAGCTGTAAACGAAGCTTTGCGCTTGAGGGACATTATAAGAGATTGTCTAGTAAAGTGGATAGAGGTGTATAGAGAGTATTTATATAGAAAAAAGTTCGGGGTAGGAGTGACAAGAGAAGAGAGGTGTGAGGAATTGAGATGAGAACCGCAAACACAGTCTGAGCGCGTCATCTCCGGGATTCGCGTTGCATCCTATCAGGCTAAGCCGAAACGGGTAATATAGGTAAATTGGATGCAACTGTTTACAAACTAGTATATTTATAAAGAAGCAGATTACTTCTAATCTCAATTAATATAACCTACTATGTAGATATATCAATGCCATTTCGACAATGTGACCCTACATTCTTTCGGTATCTAGGACTACACTTCAAACGTAACATGTATAGGGTTATACAACGAACTTCTTAATTGATTGTTTTGAAGTGTGTACAAACACTCCTTCTTATGCAGCTATTCGGCGTTTTAGCTTTGTTTGCCAGTACTATATATCACTGTATCTTGGTACAGGTACACGCATCCTACTCTGTACATATGTCCTTGGGAGATTCACATGTTCCAAATGAAATGTAGAGAACCACATTATTATATTAATCTAGCAAAGGGTAGGGTCTTTTTACCCTGCGCAAACAAGCTTGACAAACAAGCTGCTCAGTCAAGCGAGTGATGGGATAGTCAAATGTCACTCAATTGCCATAGAGCCGGATCCCCACCTTCCCCCCACTTAAGAGCTTCAGCTTCCTAGCACTTCCCGAGGTCCAACATTCAACCTTGACATCTTAGACATTATGCCATCTAGACAGGCCTCTCACTCTGGATCATGGTACCCAGATAATGGCCGAACCCTGGCCCGTCTGCTGGATGGCTGGCTGGCCCAGGTCCCAGACGCGATGGAGAAAGTCGGCCCACTGCCAGCTCCAGGAGCCAGAGTGATCATCGCACCGTATGCTTGCGAACTCATCATCCATATGAGATTATCCAGAACTAAGAATACTAATCAATCAGGCATGCGGGTTATTCGTACTCGGGGCCCTGCGCAGCCTACGCATACAAGGCGCTGGATCTCTCCAAAGTGTAGGCTTATCCCCCGCTTCTTTTATGAAACCCCTCTAACCTCGCGAATAGGAAGCGGATATTTATTCTGGGGCCATCGCATCATGTCTCGCTCGCAACACTGGCTCTTCCAAGACTAACTTCTTACCGTACCCCTCTATCCGATGAACCCCTACCACTAGACACCGAGCTGATTGCCCAGCTTCTCGAAACCCAGGCCACCAAACCGGACGGGGGAAAGATGGCCTTTACAACCATGTCGCGTTCAGTCGATGAAGACGAGCACAGTATTGAGATGCAGCTGCCCTATATCCACCGCTTGCTCCAGCTCCAATATCCAGATTCTCCAGCCTCTGAATACCCACCTCTAGTTCCAATCATGGTCGGAAATACCACAGCCGCGACAGAGAAAGCATTCGGAGCCCTTCTAGCCCCTTACCTGGCGGACCAGGCAAATGCCTTTGTGATAAGTTCAGATTTCTGCCACTGGGGCATCCGATTCCGCTACACATACTATGTTCCCCAGGCCCCTAGCCCAGGGCCAATGCTCCCAGCGTCTAGTGATGTACTTCCGCAACCCGGGATGGATACTAGAAGCGTTGAGCGGGCTTTGGAGATGGCCTCATCTGGTCACTCCCTGCGGCAGCGCGATCGGCCCTCGGGTCGTGGACCAGCCATTCACGAGAGTATCTCAACATTTGACATAGCGACCATGGCTGCTATCACGACGGGATCTTCGCAGTCTTTTCGCGACATTGTTGAACGCACGGGTAACACAGTATGCGGGCGCCATCCGATCGCGGTAATCATGGCAGCCCTGGAAGTCTACAAGACAAATCAACCAGATGAGCAGGAGGGACGCTTTTACTTTCTACGATACGAGCGTAGCTCTGATGTAGAAGAGATTGACGAGAGCTCGGTGAGCTATGTATCTGCATTTGCCGTGCTCTAAGATGTCTATTTTATCACATGCCCTTATATGGCACAGCTTTTCTCCTTGTTTTTAGCTCGGGTGACGTTAGCTCTAGCAGCGATAGCTAAAGGAAACCAATGAATTATGAATATCCGAACCAGAAACTATGTACGGAGTAGCTTTGACTTGTTCAATATGACATTTCAAGATCATCTACAGCACAGCCGGAGTGGATGTTCCTTTCGCAACTGTAGCCCTTACCTAAATCACAATCAGATACCAATCAGAGTCGGGTTTATATCCGCAGCTCCCCGAACTTGAGATTGCCATCAGCTAACGTTCGGTAGATATGGTGCCTCTTGAGGGAATTTTGAGGACTTTCCCTCTTTGTGCTAACCAGTAGCAAAGAAGTTCTTAGATTAATAAATGGCCGGGGTAGGCCCCCGGGGCCGTCTTTAAGTTTTAGGGCCAAAGTTGAAACATATTAACGCCAAAGCACCCCGTAGTCGATGCACTTGGAGATACACCCTACACCTGGTACCTCATGAATAGATATTTGATCTCAGATTGTATAAAATGATCTAAGATGATATTGGAAATACGTCAGTGCTCTAATCAACGGAGAATTTATTCAGTATAATCCAGAAGGGGTCAAACATGGAACACTTCAGTCCCTTAATTTAGCCGCTGGGCTGATGGAGGCGTTCTGCAGCCAATCCGGCAACCCTGTAGTATCTGTAACTGTCAGCCTCGATCCTTTCCATTCCTCTTCCAACTAACCAGATCATAGAATCGGATCTTTCGGCTTCCTAGTCCTGTTTGAATCTAGGCGCTGAGGACCCTCCTCTGACCGGCCGTATGGCGGGGCATAAAACAAGAATTTTGTTTTCTAGGCAGCCCAATTGAGGGCTTCATTGTTTAATTGATCTTATTGTCAACGCATACAAAGAGTGGATCTAAAGGTAGACACTGTGGCAATTTAAAACAAAGCGCCAAAAGCATATAAGACCTTTCTTACCTTTAAGTCCTGTTCATACTGCATTTCTCACTCTAGTCCTTCATTAAGCCATTCTTTTCTTCCATTCCTTTTATTCCTCAACTCATTAGAGAATATAGTGGAGATATTCCTTGGCTGGTCCTTGGAATTCTTCACCGCTTAAAAAAACATGTTCTACCTATTCGTGGCCCTGGTTGGCCTATTTTCCTTCACCTTCGCTTCCCCGATTCTAATCGACTACACTACTGGCATCATGGATACTCTTTCCAATGAACAAAATACAGGAAACAAGTTGGTTTTCTGTCATTTTATGGCAAGTCACACGTTTACTTTATTAAACCCTCCAAACACAAGAAATACTAACACTATCTAGATGGGCATCGTCAGCAACCGCCAAAACGCCAGTGAATATGACGATGATATGAAACGTGCCAGAGATGCAGGTATCGACGCATTTGCATTGAACATTGGCACGGACCAGTACAACGACGTCCAGCTAGACTATGCCTATGAATCTGCTGCCAACAATGGTATGAAAGTGTTCATCTCTTTCGACTTCAACTGGTGGCAGATCAGTCAGGGCAGTGAAGTCGGCGCCAAGATTGCGCAGTATGCTGGTCATCCGGCGCAACTTATGGTCGACGGGAAGGTCTTTGTGTCGTCATTTTCCGGCGACGGTGTCGATGTCGGTGCGATTAGATCCGCTGCTGGCCGGGAGATCTTCTTCGCGCCAAACTTCCAGCCCGGTAAGGGCGATTTCGAAAATATTGATGGTGCTCTCAACTGGATGGGTTGGGATAGTAACGGAAATAACAAGGCCCCCAGTGGAGGGCAGGAGATCTGTGTTGCAGATGGTGATAAGGTCTATGAGGATGCTCTTCAGGGGAAAGCATACATTGCACGTAAGTTGTTGGAGTACGTTAGTTGTGTGTATATCTGCTGATTGATAAATAGCTATCTCGCCTTGGTTCTCGACACATTTTGGCAGCGAGGTCTCTTACCCCAAGAACTGGGTGTTCCCTTCTGACCTCCTCTGGTATGAGCGGTGGGAAGAGATCCTACGTCTTAGCCCTCGTTTTGTGGAGATCATCACCTGGAATGACTATGGTGAGTCGCACTATATCGGCCCTCTATCATCACCACACACAGACGACGGTGCCTCGAAGTGGGTGATGGACATGTAAGTATAGATATCCCCCCTAGTATATCAACGGATGCATCAACTAACGAGGAAACAGGCCCCACAACGGCTGGCTCGACATGGCCAAGCCATACATTGCCGCCTTCAAAGCAGAGTCAAGACTGCCCATCAGATTCATAGAGGAAGAAAAACTAGTTTACTGGTACCGACCAACCCTAAAGAGCGTCGACTGCGATGCAACCGACACAACAATGCAAGGTAGTCCCAACAACGCCAGCGGCAACTTCTTCCGCGGCCGGCCGGACGGGTTCGACACGATGAAAGATGAGGTGTTTATCGTCACAATGCTGAAATTGCCTGCGACTGTGCGGGTGAAGTCTGGCGATAAGACTGAGACCTTCATCGCACCTCCGGGGGTCTGGTCACACTCGGTGCCGATGGGTGTGGGCGCGCAGAGTTTCAAAGTCTCTCGCGCCTTCCGCACGGTTCAGGCTTTGTCGGGTACGAGCTTGAGGGATGTTGTTGAGACGTGTGCCTGTCCCATTTACAACTTCAATGCTTATGTCGGCACTCTGCCGGCAGAGTCGTGCATTGACCGGCTACAACCGGATGGGTTGACTATGCTGGCGCAGGGGTTGCAGGTGACACCCCCGATTAACACTCTGGGATTGTAACCTTAGGACATGGCATAGGTGCTAGCATGACTGGTCCTGGTTGGTATATTTATTGAGGTCTGGGACCTATGGAGAGTTATAGAGTAGACCTATGTACTTGTCCAATGCATATAGTTACTACATACTAGTATCTAGTGACTCCAGAAGCTTGAATAAAGCTATGAATACATCAATGGATATATGTACATATAGTGTGATCTAGTCTCCTTACTTTTCTCTGAGATGGAGTTGATATTGTGAGTTTCGGTCTGGGTTACAGTAAGCACGCGAGTGGGGGCTGTTTTATAGATCAAAAAAAAAGGATCTACAAATAGCCCCGTTTTCTTCCGCACTTCCTTATCTTTTTTTGGGCTTTAGCTATGTAAATACCCGTCGATATAAATGCAACATAAATCCCTCATTCCCCTTTATCTTTACACCGACTCTTTGCCCAACTCAGCTACTTGGCGTTCGGACCGGGACGTTGGGCCCGATAGGGGTCAGCTGGCCTCGAGGGTGCACTATTTATGAACCTGGCCGTGTCTCTTTTTTTTGCGGGGAACATACAATGGCTCGTAAACAGGGAGTTTTCTCCTGGGAGGATGTACTGGCTCAACGATATCAGAGTAAGCTAACTTCCTTCTTTCTACTCTGTACTTCTTCATATATCTAACAGTATACAAAGGCAACAAACCCCCTCCACTTCCCCCGCGTCAAACAATAGCATTCTCGTCCCAACCCCAAAGCCAACTCCTCACTCGGCTATCACCGGAACTTCGGCTAATGATCTGGGGATATGTCCTGGCAAATCAAAGAATCCACATAATACAATGCAAACAACGACTCGGACACGTGGTATGTCCACTGTCAAATTCACAGCGCACGCAGTGCGAGATTTGTCACGGCAACGGCATCTCCCAGCCGGCAAAAGAAGCCGATCTCACGCGCTGGAATAAGGTTAAGCTACTGGGTCTGGCATTGACCTGTCGGCAGATGTATGGATGAGACCATCTCCCTTTCTTACCCATGTTCCCCAACCTTTATTATAAACTATCACTACGATCTACACCTACCTCTCCTAACACAGAACAAATACTATCTCTCCCCCACTAATAAAAAAACCCCCCAGATACCACGAATCAATCCCCCTCCTCTACACCCTCCCAACACTAGAGTTCAGTAATCCCTGGACCCTCCCATACTTCCTTCCAACGATCCCACCAGAACACCAGCAACGCATACGCGCCATCGAGCTCCGCTGGTCCTTCCCCGGCCACTGGCTTCCCAGCAAAGACTCCGTGCGCGCAGTGTACGTGTCCGCCGGACGGACGCAGTGGACAGAGACATGTCGCGCCGTCTCGCAGCTAGAGTCACTACGATCATTTGTGCTCGTGCTTGAGAGCAATTGGTTCAGTGAGCCCGTTGAGAAATTAGCCGGGTTTTTAGAACCGTTGAGAGGGGTGGTTGTTCGATCTGTTTCGAGACGGAGTTGGGATTTGGGGAGGGATGTGGATGTTGGGGATGGATTTAGTTCGGATGAGGACAGTAAGAGTTTGTCTGATTCTGGTTCTTTTTCTTCTTGTGATTCGACGAGGGGGAGTTGGGAACTGAGGCTTCAGGGTCAGTCTTATTATTTGCATGGATTGGATCGAATTGGGGTTGATCTTCGGCGGAGGGGTATAGATTGCTGGATATCGGTGTGAGAGGTATGCTTCGCAATGTGACTTGCTTTATGCATGTTGTCATGATCGTCTGATATGTACAACATAGCGTCATCTTTGAAGAAACCGTTGCAGATCTACTTGGAGTATTGTGAGCATTTACGTATTTCTACAGGTATGTATCCCCATGCTATATATTCAGAATTCTTTAGCTTGTTCTTATAGTATTCTGAGACCCTGGATCAACTGAGGAGTCAAGCTATAAATAAAACACGTGTCTTGTCTTTTATTCCATAAATATGCTGTACGGAGTCCACTCCGTTGTTTTACTAGGGCTAAGACAATGTTGTATTTGTGATGTCGCCAGGGGCAAAAAAAAACCTGAATACGGGTCCACTGGAGGCGCTAGGGAGAGCGCGGGGAAGATCGCACATCATAATTAAACTGGTCTGGTATTTTATGCTAATGAAATGGTATTGTGCAAATCCCTGAAAAAAAGGAGATCGACCCTTAAAGGTCAGGTATATAAGAAGGGAAAAGATCGTGGCGATCCTGCCAGGACATGCAAAAATAAACATCATAGAAAAAAGGCTGCATCCGTGACTCGTACAACATGTGCCATCGGGCAGTTCCCAAATATATTAGAAAAAGAGAAAGAAGAAAGGATAGAAGATATCGTTGTCACCATGGACGCCGTGCAAAGCCTAAGCAAAAACCCCGGTTGTGACCCATATTAAGTGCAAGATGGTCGGGAAGAAAACAGGCTCCGGATGTAGTATCTCAGAGAGTAAGGAAAGAATCATGCAGAGAGATGTCGTGATTTGTGAGTAGACAGAAATTGTGTGATCGACGATCAGGGGAACAAGCAGTCAACATCGCCAGCCATGGTGGACGGCAGGGCCAGGAGCCTGCTCATCTGAGTCTGCAGTCACATATGCTTGTATCATTGTCAATATAATATGATCGCGCTTTTGATGCTGACGTTCAAATGGGTGCCAGCAACGTGGACGAAATTGCCGAGCGCGAGTCGCTTTGGTCAATAATCAGAGTCGATGTTGCCCAAGGGTCCCTCGAACCTTGATGCGCCCGGTCAGTCCTCCGATGCGAGAAAGGGGGCTGTGGAATATTGAAGATCCAGGTCGCACAATCGTTCGATGAGTGGTGTGGCTGATATGAAAATTCAGAAGCCAAAGGGTTGAAGTGATGCCAGTGTACTAGCAGTGATTTTACCGCCCTTCGGGAGAACGGTCGGGTCCTGAGTTACCATGACCTCGTGCGGCGAGCCACTCGGTCGAGGCTTCCTGGCGAGCACCTGGGTGTTTCTGGTCCTCGGGGCGACCGGTAAGGCCCTGTGGAAGCATGTTGTTAATCTCTGCTGCCAGAGCAGAGGCCATGTAGTACCGCAGTTCCTTCTCTTCGCGCTCATCCTCCTTGATCAGGCGACGTTGATCGGTCTTCGACATGTTTTCACGACGCTTGCGTCGGATCTCGTGAATTGTCCACAGAACAACTTCTTCGGGGGCGCGATTGCGAGGGCTTCCGTGTCGGGAGAAGTTACGAACGTAGCGGCGGGTAACGTCGGTCGCACCGTCGATAGAGAAGGCCACACAGTAAGAGATCTTGCGCTGCCACCCTTCGGTGTACAGACGAGGCTGATCCCAGGCGCCTTCGCAGGCATCAACGTGAACCCATCGCCGCTGGTGTTCCGAGTACACTTCGGTCCAGACATAATCCTCGGAATTCCAAACCCAACGGACTCGTGCTCCGACTGCGCGGCAGAACATGCTAAAGCAGTTGGCCCATTCGCCAACTCTGCCCCGGCGAGATTGCAGCAATTGCCAAACATCGGAATACCGTGGGAATCGCTCGTGGGCGGCACAACTATTATCGGAACAACGGTACAGCTCGACTCGAGATGCGCCCCGGGCGGTCTCATCGGGAGTGGGAGGGGTCATGCCTTGGGCGATCGTGGGCATGTGGCATTTTGAGCATGGAGGATTATTAACAAATTGGAAAAACGACCCCTTGAACCATCTAGATGATATGTTAGCAAGGGCGCAATGAGTCTAGACCATCTAGGGATTCCAACATACTTCAACAATGCTCGGATCACACAATCTTGGTAGCCCCATTCCGCCTTCCCTGCCACGCTGGCAGCCTGGGCCTGCATAATTTGGGATTCTTCTTCGGCCTCGGAATACAGGCGATCGAGCGGAATAACGCACAAGGCCTCATCCAGTAGACCGGGATTTTCGTACTTGGTTGGTGTGACTGATAATCCCTTCAATAAATTAAAAAATTTAAGTGAAGCTGCATCCTGGGGAGGCGATGGCATGATAGGAAGACCGCGTAGTGCTGATGAGGTCGTGGATGGCTTTGGGGAGGGAGCGGCGGCAGGAGTGCCCAACGAGGGAGGTGGTGGCGGAGCTCGCGACGGCGGTGGAGGGATTGAAGAATTAGACATCGGAGACGGTGATGTTGATTGACTACGCGAGCGAGAAGGTTCATGAAGTCGGTTGAGTCGTTTGGTGCGCATCAACTGCTCGAATTCGTGGGTTAGAGAGGAGGCGTCGTAGCCGTTGGAGACTGGCTCGGTCGCCCGTTGTCTGCCGTCCGCCATAATCAATAAAGAAGTCACGGCAGACTTCAAGGATGATGAGTGTTGAGATCCAGAATGTATATGGGCGAATAATCGAGTTGGAAGGTCAAATTCGACCCAAAATTAGGAGGGGAAGAAGGGTAAAGAAAGGGATATCAGAGACGAGTAGTAAACGAAAGGACTACCTCGCTCTCGAGTTGACGTAGCAGTTTTCAAATCACCTCTCTTATTGGAGAGTTCAAAGGAAAAGAAAGACTGGATACATGAGAAAGAGAGAGAGAGAGAGAGAATACAAAGTACGGATGTACGCAGTATTACGAGCGTCGTCAGCATCTGGCCCCAATCACGGGCCCCGCGGCCAAGCCGCGTGTGCGAAAACGAAAAAAAAGGCCAAGGGAAAAGACCCTGTTTCCCCGTAATTTCATTAATTTGCGTAATTTTGGTAATTTTAGCTCCCGTGAACACGTAACGTCCTCCTGATTTTCCTCGATCGTTGCTAGTTACTCCTTGGCAGTGTCTATACTTTAATGGCTTGAAGGCTTCTATATATATTATTATTATTATTTTTTTGATCTCAAATCTATATTCTAAGTATTTCTGTACACAATGTACATATGTATATGTACTATACATATGTACAAGTTAGAAACTGAGTACCCTATATCTTAATGTGGCTGATGCACTAAAAACCCTTTTAAAGGTTGTCGTCAATATAATAGTCAAGGTTGGGTACAACAGTGAAGATCAATACCTTTGAGGGTTCATAAGGCGGTGATCAAAGCTCGTGCCCAGTCTGTTCGGTTGGTAGACTCCGAAAAAGAGTCATAAACAGGTAAAATCTTCTCGGTACTCTCCGTACCAAATCATCAAGTTAAAATAATAATAATAATAAAAAGGGAAATATCAAGCATAAGGCCAACGCGCGGCCAAGGTACGAAAGCTCAACTCTTCCGTCCGCTTTTCCACTGAAAGGCTGGAGACGCGCAAGCGTCCGTCTTGGCATTTCGCAAGATCGGGGCCTAGAGCCTCCGCCTAAGCCGCTTGAGGCGGTGCTGACTTGATCAGGTTTAGCGTCCATAGGGCTTCGAAGACATCTTCTGTTCTGGTATGAATGTCTGCAACGTGAGATCCTAAATTCTTTCTAGGAATGTGAATGTGAGATTCATCCTCCGATCTGTACAATGTATGATAATGCGGACCATTATGTTGGATCAATGTACGCATTACTTCGTACAACACGACAACCCGCAGGAACTCGACCTTCATCGCCAATCATAATAACCTGTTTGCATTACCCGCCAAAAAAAACCCTGGAAAACAGTGAGGGTCCAATTGTAGCGATATCTTTTTCCCTTTTCAGTTAGGCAAAGGGTTGGGTCATGTCGATCCACATTGTCCAATTCGTCTCTAGAACTGTGTTTTGTATACATCGTACCCAATGAGCCGACCTGCGTATGTATCAGGGGTTGGAAAAGGTTCTATACTTAAGTAGGCTCTCCAAACATGTCTGGTTTAGCAATCATGAAGGGTCAATTGCATTAATAATCATATTCGGCCCCGGGAGTCCACTGTAACTGTACGGAGTAAAGAGTACAATATTAGAATATAGTTAATTAGGGTTACGTTGACTGTATGGTAATGCAGATTTGAACTAAACAAGATTCAGCCCTGAAATCTATTCCCTCACATGGCTCGGGGAATTACTCAGTACTGTCCAGGCGTTCTACTATCTGGGGAAACAGATGAGCCGTCGTTTCATCTGAGCCGCGTTTGAGCCTTGTAATTTCCAGGGCTATGCTTCGTGGCTGTGCGATCGAACAGGTCATGGTTCGATCGCATATGTAGTTGAAGAGTCCATCACATGAAACAAAAGCTCTAAAACTTCTTGACATGATTTTCCATCTACTCCGAACTCCCGATGCCCAGAAAAAGTGCCTTGATGCTTAGCTCGGATGCATAAATTTCGCAGAAAATCGGGTCATACGAGTATTAATTGGTATTTTATGCGATGATCGCCCTGATTTAATTTTGGGGATTATTTTCTGTTATTTTCACTCATCGTTACTCCGTATTGACGTTAATGATAACAATCAGGTAGTACTGCCTAAACCAGCAAAAGGCGATTCGTACGCGACACGCAAGGCACTCACATTGGCGCTGAATACTGCCATGGAATTGGTAGATCAGTGCCACCAGCAAAGGGAGAAGTGCAGAAAAGCCAAAGCAATTCGGGCTCGATGAGCCGAGCGAACCAATTATCCCCAGATGCCAAGTGCCAAGATCTCATTTCTCTCCTGAGTCTCTTGAGTTTATTGCTTGAATGATATATTAACCTAAGACACTGCTTATCCTGCCAGACTGCGTATTTGAGCTTGGCTCTACTATTTCAAGGTGCCAAGACTACATGCACAGTCGATGCCCGTGCATGCATGAGTCTATGTTAGAGTCCACACATCCGGTTTCCACGCGTCGACACCCATTCAGTACCTCCACATCTCTCGGAGATCTGTCAATCTTGTGACACCGACGTCTCTTCAAACTGGCGAGGTGGGCATGCCCTAGCTAAGAAGAGAGGGACACGCGGCATAGACTCGCCGTGCAGCTGACTTATTATGGCTTTACGTTGACATCGGCATTTCACTCCATCTGGTCTTTTGTTTAACTCCGAAGTGTCCCCCGAGTGCGGGATAACGTTGGTTAGGGTGGGCCAAAGTGTCATGTGCCAATCAATCCACTCTAGACCTGTCGTTGTCGCAAGCTCTTGTCTGCTGATCAGTTGAATATGATAGCTCACGCAAAATCGGCTTGTTCGGGTCTTGTCTAATTGACGTGCTAAATACGCACTTTTATTGAATGAGGAAAACAAAATCCAGAGAAACGGCTAACAAGAACACACTGGAAAATCTGTAGATGCGAGCTATCTACTGAGGCGGTCATGTGCTTTCAACAACCAACACGAATAGTGGCTATATTCAGTGTTCAATCATTGTGTCTTTCTTATCTATAAGAGGTATGGCTTGTATTTACACTGACTACGCCCTTTATAATTGCTTGATTGGCTGGAGTTAATGGCCATGAATTTGCGAGTATGTTAGATGCTCCGGTCAAGATGTAGGTCCTTTTTTTTATACATAGTTAAACCATTCTAGAGATTTGAATAAATACCAATATATAAATTCACTTGGGTCACCAAGAGATCATCTTCAATAATAGAATAGAATAATCCCACTATAAAATTCCTTAGGTAGGTCCAGTACAAATAACAGAATGAGATACATAGGGCAGTGACGATAAACTAGCCCTTTCCTCTTCAAGGTCCCGAGCGCGTCTATCCTCAGTGTTCAACTATTGTTGGTTTACCTACACCATGCATTGAGCCTCTTGGTTATTTGCAACATACCTAGATACTACTTGGGTTACGACACAGTGCAATGACGGTCTTCATCGCATCTTTGTGAGTTCCTTCCTCATCTACACTGCTTTACAGATCTGAGTATATATCAGGTTCCTCCCATATACCATTGACTTTCAAGTGACAGAGCCCAAGCATGGACAGAATGGGTCCATGTCTAGCCATACAAATGTCGATGGTCCCGGACCTATCCTTGGACGCCTATCGGATACGTATCAAACTCGTTCCCCGGGATGTCTCCCACTGACACCCGGAGCCACGACAGAGAATGAAACAGTCTTCAAAGGATATACTTCGCGATTAGCGGATGAGATTCCGATTGCGAATGATCGATTGTGGCATGGCCCCAGCGAGCCCCGTCTTATTCCTTGGGGGCACAGTCGGAGATTTAATCAGCCTCGATCCAAGGCTACGGATCCCCCAACACCATCGATTGTGAGTAGTCGAGGCCCAATCCAGGGATCCAGAAGGGACTTGTCTTTGGATGGATCACAGGATCGATTGGGCATGAAATACTACAACAGCACACGAGCCTCGCTCTTCAATGCTGACTGGGCCGTCAAGGCCGCCGAACAAGGCCATGGGGGTCTGCAGAATGCCATCCATGCTGCTGAAAAGTCGAGCTTGCTGGAGGACAAGATGTGGGTGGGAACTCTAGGCATGCCCACCGACTCATTGACGGATACTACCAGAACCGAGATCGCTGAGACCCTCCAGGATATGTATGATTCGTTGACTATGTTTGTGAGTGACAGCGAGTTTGAGGGTCATTACACCCATTTCTGTCGTGCGGTACTGTGGCCAGCTCTCCATTATCAAATGCAAGAAAGCCCTCGTCACACTGAGTACGACGATTACTCGTGGGTCCAATACCTCAAGCTTAACATGGCATTTGCAGAAACAATCATCAAGCACTGGAAGCCAGGTGATAGAATCTGGGTTCATGACTATCACCTTCTAGTCCTTCCTGGACTTCTGAGGGACAGGCTACCCAAGGCCGAGATTGGATTTTTCTTGCATACTCCGTTTCCTTCCTCCGAAATCTTCCGTTGTCTGACTGCACGCGAAGAACTGTTAGATGGGCTTTTGGGTGCTGATTTGGTTGGATTTCAGACAGAGGAATACTGCAATCACTTTCTACATACCTGCAGCCGACTGCGAAGACTGGAGGTCTCTACCAATCAAGTTCACCTGAAACACAGGTACGTTAGTGTTGTGAGTTCTCCAATGGGGATTGACCCTTCGTCGCTTTATGTATTACGCCAGTCCACCGAGGTCAGAGGTTGGATACACAGCATTGGCCATAAATACTATGGGAAATATCTCATTGTAGCACGGGACCGATTGGATGCACCAGGAGGGATTAAGCAGAAGCTTCTGGCATATGAGCTTTTTCTCAAAACATATCCAACATGGAGAGAGCAAGTAAGTCTATTAACATGTCTTACTACGTGTGAGCGGTACTGATCTGTTTTATGTAGGTGGTTCTAGTCCAAGTAATGTCATCTACATCTGAAATCCCAGATCTGGAGGCACAGATCTCAAAAATCGCAATGAGGATCAATGCAACATACTCAACCATCACCCACCAGCCCCTAGTGCTGGTTCAGCAAGACATCAGCCACTTCCAATTTATCGCCCTCCTAAGTGTTGCACATATCTTCATGGCCACTAATCTACGTGAGGGAATGAACTTGACTAGCCATGACTTCATCCACTGCCAAGATGGACAGCTTTGCTTTCATCAACATGGATCCCTAATTCTCAGCGAGTTCGTAGGTAGTGCCTCCATCTTTCGTGGTCATAAACTTCTCGTCAATCCCTGGGACTACAAACAATGTGCGGATGCGATCAAATCTGCACTCGAGATGTCACCAGCGGAGCGGAAACTCAACTGGAATTTCCTACTCGATTGCAAATCTCCATACACTGCTCTCAAATGGCACACGGGGCTACAAGATGCTCTCACAAAGGCCCACGAAAGACAACAAATTCGCCAGACAAACCACCTCTCTCAGCTTTCACTTGAGGACTTGAAAAAATCATACCTCGCTACCACAGCACGAATCTTCTTTTTGGAAGACAGCGCAATCTTCGGTGCAGCATTCGGTATAGAGGAACCCCTCCCGTCCAAAAAAGCCTGTGAAACTCTACAAACACTCATAAGCGACCCGAAGAACATCTTATACATAACCAGCAACCGGAGCACAGAGCAGCTACAAGGAGCACTCGAAAAACTCCCCGGCGAGCTTGGTTTCATAACCGAGAGTGGATGCTTCCTACGAGAGCCTAAATCAGATCTATGGATTCCATTTGTGCCCGAAAGCGCCATGAAATGGCGTCCCGGAATTAAAAATATGATGGAGTATTTCCTCAAGCGAACAGAAGGCAGCCGAATCGAGGAACGCCGCTGTTCCCTAACATTTCACTGTGACAGCGCACTTGACCACGAAGTAGCCGCTCGCCAGGTATCCGAGCTAGCTGATCAAATCAATGGTGCCCGTGGGCGTGCAGATTTCCATGTCGCCCGCGAGGCAACATCTGTAAAAGTTGAACCGCCCCATGCTTCTGTTGGAAATGGGAAAGCCGCCACTTATATTCTAGACCATCTCCCCGATATCCGATATCCCAAGTTTCTATTCGCAGCTGGTTGTTCTCGCAGTGGTGAGGCACTGTTTCGCTGGGCAAATGAATTCGCTGTTGCTCCAGTTGGTTCCCGGTTCAAGAAGGCCAAGATTGAGAAAACGATCCATGTCACCACTGTGACAACCAGCACACATGCTACTGAGGCGAGGTCTGTGTTACCGCCTAATTGTTCGCTTTTGGATGTTCTAGATGAACTGTCGAGGTTCACCTCCAATCAGGAAGAGACTAAATGACTTCTCACACTCAGGGTTTGTTGCGGTCAGCTGTTAATATTGTTATTCATGCGGACTGTCACTCATGTATGATAGAAAGTTGGATCACGAAGGAATATCACCTATGGGATACTTTTGTTTCTTTAGGGGGTGAGGAACACAGGCATGCAGTATAGCTTTACATTCTGAGCAGTTTATCTTTGGTATCGCCCTAATTTGAACATTGTATTCCGAGAGCGTTTCAATCTCCCTAGTCGTCTACACAGATAAAGATCATACATTTTCATTCCTTATTCTCATGCCACAATTCATGCATCATGGGGATAAGTAAACATGAGCGAGAAGGTAGATTGGCTCTCACAACTCCACCCACCATATTGTTATAATAAAATCAGAAACAAAGATATTGCAAGTAGACAACATAGACGAGGAGGATATGGCATGAGCAATGACTAGAAAAAAAAAACATGAATCATAAGAAGCGGCAGCTACAAAGCAAATTGGACATTTCATGCTTTGCACACTGAGGCTAAGGCATCTAGAGGCCGAACACTCCACATAAACTCAATCTAGGACTTGTTATCCTTCGAAGACGATGCTCCATCAGTACCTGCCGAGATAAGGGTGGGTGCCACACGACGCCTCTTCGGCGGCTGCTGCAATTCATTATTTGGGTTCTCCTTGCTGTTCTCTCTTTCAGACTCGCTTGTGGGTCTTGCGTCGCGCTTGCCCAGGACGCTAGCGCCGGTCGTATTGTGTCCAGTTTGCGGAGCGCCTGAGATAGGCGTTTGTGGTGGGGTTGTCAGGGGAAGTGTCGGTGGCTGCGCGGAGTGCGTTGCTGTCACCGACGGGACAGTCCCGAGTGTTGGAGTGGGGTTATTGACAACTCCGGTAGGAGGCGGCTGCGAGGAAGACTGGGTGGCGACTGAGCAAGTGGAGTTGGACCGTGCAGGGCTAGCTGGTGGTGCGGGACCTGTGGTATTTGAGGACGCATGGTTCGTCTTGATTGGAGACGGCACATGGGGAGACGCCGCATTGGTTGGGGTTAGCAGAGGGGTGGGATTCGATGCAGGAGTGCTTGGGGTTGCATTGTTGTGAGTCACAGAGGTTGGTCCTGTGTATGTTTGGCCCAACTCTCCTGGTGCGAACGAGAGTGTGGAGCAGAAGCCGTCGGAGGAACTCATGATCAATGTTAACCCATCAGCGGACCTATTATGCGTTAGAAAGTTATAAGTGGGTATCAAGAATCGAAACATTACTTACCAAGTCAAGTCCGTGAAAGTAGCAAAATGCAAATTGCTCACAATGCATAGCGGGGTTTGTTGTTGCGTGTCATACACCAAAACAGCATCTTGAGTTGCAACAGCATATACAATGCGATAAGGAAGCGCAAAGACGGGCGCGGAGCTCTGGCCTGCTTCATTGCTGCCATCCTCGGCACCCTTTTGAGATGGCTGGAGCTTTGGTGGATCGGCCGCTGTTGAAGATGAAGTTCCCGATACCACGGGGTCTGGCAGAGATGGGAACATCTCCTCACCCGAAGAGGTATCAAGGGTAATGTTTTTCGCAGGCTGGGTCTCCTGCTTCAACGTATAAAAGACCGGGGAGCATTTGACGGCTACAGATGGCTTCTTGTGCCCTGGAAGATGAGAGATTGGGGGCTTGTTGAAACCAGCCCGTGTGTAGACGTAGACTGTGTTAATGACCTCGTCCGTCGTCTTTGTAGAATCTGTGGCTGATACGTGGCTAGTTTTGAATTGACCAGCTGGCGTGAACAGCAGACTTCCATCGGGGGCAAAAGTCAGTCGCCTGAAGAAGGAAGTGAACGTCTCGTTGGCATAGATGCTAGCGTTCTTAACTCCCAGCCCACCGAAACTAGGGGAGGAGACCTCCAATGGCTTAACGGCGGGCAACGGGAGAGAAGGAGCAGGGGACGCAGATCGCCGGATCGAAGGAGACGAGCCGAACGAAGAACGCCGACTGTGTGAGACTGGAGGAGGATCCATTGGTAAGTTGGAAGCCATTGGGGTTCCTGGAGCCGAGGGAACAGGCGAGGCAATAGCAAAAGAATTTCCAGTGCTTTGTTGTGACCGGTTAGTCACATCTGGAGGCGCAGGACTGCTAGATGCGATACGTTTGGCAGGGAGATCCATCTTGAGAACCTTCCCGTGTGGTGTCAATGTAAACTGCCCATCTTTAGTCTTCAGTGTATAGATATGAACGGATCGGTCAGACGATTGAGTCGCGACAAATTCGTTAAGGGGATCCCACGCTACACCTTGAACATAGTGAGAATGCTCGGCAATCTGTCGTACCATTTGCCCTGTAGAATCCGATCGTCAGATTATCAAGCTGTATGAGGATTGCTCGAGAGTGACTAACCAGTTTGGGCATTGTAAATCCGTGCGATGTTATCCATACTGCCTGTAATGATAAAAACACCATCGGGAGACCAGGCCAAGTCGTAGATCTCGGCGCCGGACGAGCGGCACATGTGCTTCACTCGCCAGGTCTCTTTATCGTCCGAACGATCTTCACCCAGCCCAGCCTGTGTTTGTAGCTCCGACGGTACCCAGAGTAGGACATTTCCATCATCTCCGGCAGATGCCAGCATCTCACCTACATCTGTCAGACTTGCATTGATACGCTACCCTGCAGAAAAGCATACCTTTTGGGCTGAAACGAACCACATTGACGGCCTGTGTATGCTTAATCAGAGTGCTCAGATAAGAGACTCTTCTTTCCTCCCCGGTAGACTCGACTTTCCAGAGCTGTAGAACATGTCAGGTGAATGTATGCGAAGGGTAACGGAGGGCAGAACATACTCGGACGTTGTTGTCACTAAAGAGAAATCAGTCAGTAAAATAGTTTCAACATTCTGGAGGACAGGTAGAACCTACTTTCCAGCAGTAGCTAGTCGACCCTTGCCATTGGGATCGAAATGCACCGAGTAGATAGGGGCATTGTCATTATGCCATGAGATGAGCAACGGGGTGGCCTTCATGGCGAGCGCCGCAGCTCAGCTTGTTCAGCACCACCGGTTTTGCAAGTAGAGAAATATGGCTTGAAGAGAGAAGAGAGAATTTCCGAGTCCAATGATCAACCTAGTGTCTTTTTGGCAAGTGATATTGGTAGGATTATTTTGAATTGGAGAGAATTCAGCTCTCAACTAAGGAGATGAGTAAATGTAGTTCAGGGAAAGAAGATAAAAAGATGCGACAAGGAATAAGGAGAGAGAGTTAAGGGAGAGAGTCGTGATTCTACGATGATGCTTCGAGTTGTTTGCGCGGGAGAACGCGACCGGCGATTAGATAGGCTGTTCTTTATATTGCCAGGGTCTTTTTTTTTATACGTTATGCGTTTTATGTATATGATATGTATTGTTAGATGTTAGATGTTATATATTGTATGTTATATAGATTCTATGTCTATTTGATATCACTTGAATTGATGGGATTGAAATCCCTTTGGTATCCTCATAGTAACCGTTACCCACGACAATATTCAGCCCTGGAGTAAGCACTAAAAGCAGATTCTAAAAAAGAAATTACGAAGGGGACATCTAAAAATAAGACTAAGACATCGAAGAGGACACTTAATATTACTCCCTACAGAGTATGGGAAAAAAGAGCTATGCAAAACAATTGAACTTCAAACCCCCAACGCCTCTCCCAGTCGCCATTTTTCAAAGCAAAATAGTAAATACAAGAATATACAAATCCCTCTAGGACATCCACTTGCCAAGTGTTTCTCCAAACCAGCTGACAGCTTTCTCCTGTCGCTTCTGCCGAGCATCGTCTTGAGTTTTCATAAAGGGCGCAGCCTCCTGCGCATACATCTGGTGCTGTTCCCTCTGCGCATTGTGTGCACGAATCTCTAACTCGCGCTCATGTGGCGTGAGTTTCTGTAAGGGCTTCGACGGGTTGAGCTCATCCGGGATTGCCTCCCCTCCAGGGATCTCGAGGCCGACCTCCGGGGCTTGCGATGGCTTCTCTGGGTTGAAAAGCGACATGAGAGGTGGTGGCTCAAGTCCAGCGGACTTTGCATCCTCAACTCGCTTTTCGTAGTCTAGCATCTGGTGATAGAGTTTGTCGGCATGCATCTGAATGCGCTCCTCTTTTTCGGCGTCATATTCGAACGCAGCTGCGTAACTGAGAGCTTGGAGGAATTTCTGCTCAATGAAAACAGATTAGAATCGACATTATTGAGAAAGTTATAGGTTGTTACTCACAGTCTGCGTCGTAAAGCATCGCGAAAAGGTACCATTCTCAGCCGAGCACATGGTCAGCCGGGCTTCAATTTGCTTGCGCCAATTTCCGGTCTTGAAGCAGTTTGTCAAGGCTTCATGCTCCAAGGCACAGTTCTCCATTGCTGCTCGCTGCACTGTGTCGCCGCGCTCCTTGTACTTTTCAATCACTCGTGACGCCCCGCGGACTCCGGATTGCTCGTCAAGCTCCACCGGCGGCTTGTAGGTTTTCCATAGATGAGCATACCGGCCATCTTGGAAGAGTGATGCTGCAGGAACTTTCGGTTCCGAGGATTCAGAGGGTTCGGACGATTGCGCGGGCGTTAGTGGCTTCACATTAGGACCAGGCACATATTTGTCAGGCTTCTCTTGTTCGAGATAGTCACGAAGCCCCGGATCGAGCTTTTGGACCGTATCATTTTTGTCACCCCAGAACCAACCCATTTGGAAATACTAATAGAAAATGAACAAGAATGTGCAACAGCTGGAGTGTTGAAGGTTGAGAGCGCGGAGAAATCGGCATAAAAATGGATCGGCTCCGATCGCCTTAGCTCCGCCCGTCTTTACTCCTCAACCATCAACACGACGCGTCTTTTTTGACGCCGTTCCTCCAAAATGGAAATCTGTATGTGCCATAGTGCTGTATCTATCTGTATGTGGAATTGCTAACAATTGGTAGCGCGAGAGGAGCGGCAACAAATGCGCCAGCGTGGAGCTGCGTACGCGCCTTACCTATACCCCGCGAAACCATATAGAAACTGACTTGTTGGTATAGGACGCGTAAAGCAAAAGAAGTCAATTTTGGGTTTTCATTCGGTAGTCCACCACTAGGATTATCAGCGCCCGCACCGATTGCGACTGTCCCTGAAGCTCAGAGTCCACCGCGAACACAGACCGTACCGAACACAACACCACGACCGTTAAAGGTAGCGCAACCAGGATCGCAAGCCCAGGGGATTGAGCGCACACCGGGAAGTGCGCGCAACAAGTTCCCAGAAAGGCCCTCGACATATGAAATACCCTCCTCGGACGATAGAGCTGAACAAACACGAAGCAATAAGAGGAGAAAGATCAGTATGTTATAAACCAGGCTACTGTGCTATGCTAGAAATGTGTACTCATGCTTTTCCAGGTCCCACTAAGAGAACAGAAGATACTCCCTCTCGTCGGAATGGCGGGCGACCTGAGAATGGCAATTCACACCCCGTTGATAATAGTGCAGGTAGCTCAGAATCGCAAAAAGGCCACACCCAGAAACCTCCGAATACAGTTGCACCTCTCCCATCCGAAACAACGAACAATCAATCTCCGCAGCCTCACATCTCACCCACTGTGGAGACCTCAGTCGAAGATCAGCATCCGGTAGAGGATGGGACCAATGGCTTGGAACCAACAACCTCAGCCGTTGGAGAGCAATTAGCTCAAGGCACATCTACAGTATCTGGCCCTACGGCTCCTCAAGCAGCTGAATATTCACAAGCGTCACTTCCATCGCCTGATGCTCAGGCCGGTGTCAAAGTGCCTGAAAACATAGAGCAACTACATAACACTCAGTCACCACGGCCTGATGAGCGCATCCAAATAAGCAAGGAGAATCAACGGGCTACCTCGAAAACTGCTTATTCGGTTGTTCAGGCAGATAAATCGGCCCCAAAATCTGTATCACCAAGTGGTAGCTCTGCCGAGGCTGTTAAAGCTAGCCATGCGCCAACTACTGATGATGTGGAGATTACTGAAGATGTTCCATCCTCCAAAGATGATACGCCAGAGCAAGATCGCCAGGCATTTCAGGGGCCTTCTACGAAGACGAAAAAGCCTCGGGGTCGCCCGCGACAGCAATCTGCCACAAAGAATACCCCAGAACTGCACGTGGAAGGTGCTATACAAGAACCTACAGCCGAGGCGCGAGATGAGCCCGCAGCAGCCCCAAAGACCAAACGGCCTCGTGGGAGACCCTCGCTTGGCGATAAGATCATTGAGGCTATCGAGACCGAGGTTATTCCACCTGAACCTGTCCCAGATGTCGCGGAGTCCTCTTCGGGGCCGCGTCGTGGTCGCAAGCCAGCATCACAAAAGGATGACCAGACAGAAACTGTAGTAGAAACTGCAGTGCCCAAGCCACAACGTGGTAGACCTGGAAAGAAAGCAAAACACGCAGTGGAGCCTGAAGTCGAGGCTGAGACTGTGACAGCAGACGATGCAGAACCAGAGGTGAAATCTCCAGTGCCTAAACCAAAACGTGGTAGACCTGGGAAGAAAGCCAAACGTGCAGCCGAAGCTGACCCCGAACCCGAGTCTGATACTGCGCCAGCAGACCAGCCAGACCCAGAGGCTGAACCTGTAGTATCCAAATCTCGTGGCAGACCCGGGAAAAAGACCAAACACGCAGCCGAGCCGGAGCCCGAGCCCGATACAGAGGATCAACCAGAGCCTGAAGTAGAACCCGCAGTATCCAAGCCCCAGCGTGGAAGGCCCGGGAAGAAGGCCAATCGCGCAATGGAGCCGGGGCTGGAGGCTGAACCTTCCACTGAGATCCAACCGGAGCCCGAAGCTGAACCTGCAGTACCTAAGACTCAACGTGGTAGGCCCGGAAAGAAGGCCAGTCGCGAGATGGAGCCTGAGCCCGAGCCTGCCACAGAAGACCAGCCGGAGCCTGGATTGGAATCCGCAGCACCCAAGTCACAGCGCGGCAGACCTGGGAAGAAAGCTAAGCGCACTGTGGAGCCCGAGCCTGAACCTGAGACAGAGAACCAACCCGAGTCTGAGCTTGCACAAGAACAGCCTAGTCGCAAGACTCGGAAGCCACGTGGAGAAACAGTTCCGGTCACTGTCTACCGTCTTGCGAATCTCAATTCTCTAGGTGGCCCAACATCTACGGCCAACGGGTCTGGAGACGAAGAATCCGCCGATGAACTCACCACGCACCAGAAGGCCAAGATACCCAACCGCGGCGGTGTCAACCCAGCTGATGTATTGAGCCAGATCTGCCGCGAGACTCTGGAGAAGACACTCAATACACTCAAGGATGGGATTGCGAACGAGGCGAATGCCACGCGACGTGCAGAGTGGTCGCGGAAGAGAAAGGCCGTTGAAACATTTGGCTCGGAGCTTGAGAGTCGCCTCATGGACTTTAGCGGAATGCTCGATAGCAATTTTGTGCTTGGCGTGCAATTGAAGAAGACTAAGCGGGAGATGTTGGATCTACGAAATCATCTATACCGGGTCCGCCGAGAACGCGAGAACATAGCTTTGCAGATGGATGCAGTACGCAGCAAACATATTGAGGAGGAGAAGGTCAAATCGGTGAGTCCTTTTTTCTTCTAGCCCTGTCGAAAACCCTACTAACAATAGTTCCTAGTCACGGTCCACGATCAGCAACTCCCTCCACAGTCTTGAACTGGCCCTCGACCGCAACAAGCAACGTTCCGCTTCTGCTGCAGATTCTTCTGCAGATATTGAATACATGCTTCGCACCGTTGCCGACGTAAGTTCCCGAGCCCCTGGAGCACAAGGCGGTCTCTTGAACCAAATCCGGGCGTTTAATGCACAGCTCGAAGCTACTGTTGGTCGCCTGGAACGTTGATGTCTATTTTCTATTTTATCTTTTTTCTGTGCGCTTTTGCAGTCCTTTGTGATACCAGGAACCAGTGTTTGTACAATGATTATAGTCCATGGCTGGACCAGAGGATGGCGTTTGGTGATATTTGCAATTGTACAAGTCCTGCAAGTACATAAGTAGCTTCTACATGTTTTATGGAATGTCAAAGAAACGTCGAGATTGAAGAATTTTCTACATTATACTGAGATCCGCTTAGATGTGAAAGGTTAAATTGTCTCCGGGTGGATGATGAATCTGTATATTACTAATTCCCCCGAGTCCGGTTGAAGTGGAAACGGAACAACAAATCAGAGCCTCTTGAAGCATCAGATATTTCAAGTTTTTTGTCTTCAAAGGCGAACTGCCTTGACTCCACATTCCACACTGCTTGTTAATCCAAGTGGAGACTTCGGCACTCGGAGAGTTCTAGATAGAATATATAAAGCCATAGCCATTGATTCACTTTAGAACTTCCAATTGAACCATTTACAATATATATAAGAAACCAAAATGACCAAACTCTTCACTCCCCTCCGCGTTGGCCGCGTCGAGCTAGCCAACCGCATCGCCATGGCCCCCATGACCCGCTTCCGCGCCGACGACAACCACGTCCCCCTCCCCTTCGTGAAAGACTACTACGCCCAGCGTGCCTCCGTACCCGGCACCCTCCTAATTACTGAAGCAACCTTCATCTCCGCCCGCGCCGGCGGCTACCCCAACATCCCAGGCATCTACAACGACGCGCAGATCGCCGCATGGAAAGAAATCACCGACGCAGTGCACGAAAAGGGCAGCCACATCTACCTCCAGCTGTGGGCCCTCGGCCGCGTCGCCAGCCCCGACCTCCTCAAATCCGAGGGCTTCGATCTGGTATCCAGCAGTGCGACGCCCGCGAGCACAGAGGCACCCACGCCGCGCGCACTATCCGAGACCGAGATCCATGAGTGGATCGCGGACTATGCGCAAGCAGCGCGCAACGCCATTGCGGCTGGGTTTGACGGTGTGGAGATCCACGCTGCCAATGGGTATCTGATTGATCAGTTCACGCAAGATACGTGCAACAAGCGCACTGATGCGTGGGGCGGTAGTGTTGAGGGACGGGCGAAGTTCGCGATTGAGGTCTCGCGTGCTGTTATCGATGCTGTTGGTGCGGATCGTACTGGTATTCGGTTTAGTCCTTTCAGTACGTTCCAGGGGATGCGGATGGAGGATCCTCAGCCTCAATTTGAGTATTTGGCTACGCAGATGGCGAAGCTGGGTCTTGCGTATACGCATTTGGTTGAGGCGCGCATTGCGGGAAATGCTGATGTTGAGGAGACTGATCAGTTGGATTTCTTCCTGAAGGCTTATGGGAAGGCTTCGCCCGTTATCATTGCGGGTGGGTATAAGGCTGAATCGGCGGTTCAGGCGGTTGATGTTAAGTATGCGGACTATGATGCTGTTATTGGTATTGGACGGCCGTTTATTTCGAACCCTGATTTGCCGTTCCGGATTCAGAAGGGGATTCCGCTCGTGCCTTATGATCGGGATACTTTCTATGTTCCCAAGGATCCTAAGGGATACACGGATTATGAGTTCAGTGCTGAGTTCCAGAAGACTGTCAAGGCTGCGGCTTGATTTGGGGGTTTGGTGTCATTGTTGCAGTTGCATAGCGATGTTTGATTATTGAGTATATATAAAGCTAGATTTTTAGATAGAACTGTGTATAATTTGTGTTTAAATGATCTTCATAAGTTTGCTTGGTGCTATGCCGATGTCAATACTAAATTTCCGTTCTTTGGGGTTGTTCTAGGTTGGTTTAGTACGGAGTATATAAGTATATATATCAGGAACGTAAGGATACCTACGGCGGCCAAGACGAGGAAAGCACTGCCATGTGAGGACTACTCGTGAACATCAGAAATGAAAGAGTAGCAACCGTTTACTCCAGGCAGTTGCATTCTCAGTGATGTTCATTTGCCTTCATATTTTCCGAAGTGGAAAGCAAAGTGAAGTGGTTGTTCCAAGGTTGCGGAGGAAATGATGATATAAGCAATGAGTTTTCCGGAGAGCCCTGGAGCGACCTCGGGAGTTTCCCGAGGTCTTTCTAGTTTCTATTCAATTTCACCTGTAAGCCCCAGCTTTTTGGAGAAAAAGGCCGGGAAACTAAGTCTAGGTAGGTCAGATTTCTGTCTGCTTCTATAATCGACATCGCTGATCACGGTTCCAGGAGGAGGGTTACGGCGATCTACTAGGTCTGATTGCATTTTTAGCGTCTAGCAGCTGTGCTCAAGTTGATCTTGATAGACAAAGGTCCCTCTCTACGTAATTTAACCCCACTCTGGGGACAGCAACCCTACTCCAAACGAAAAACGTCACATTTCAGCCGAAGAGATGTCAGCGGAGCTCGGCGTTAAGCCCAAAACTTAGAATTCCCCAGTTTTACGTGTCCGACTTGGCAGCCGAATGTTCCGCTCCGCCGAGCCGAACTACCCAGCCGAGGATAAAATGACTTCTGGTAGAACAACATAACCGTGGATGTACATGTATTGGGGTATATTGCGGGGAGATCAGATGAGAGTGTGGGGAGGATTGCCAAGTGTAATAATCGCCGAAATCGTATGTCCCAAGACTTCCGGGGATGCCGTAATATGTAGCTCGAAGCTATCCCCGCGTCGTTTTACCCTATTTCAGTAGTGAGCAACGCCAAGTAGTACTCGATGGCGTAGAATCTAGATTGCCAGTATATACTCCGTACTAGTGCATGTACTCCGTATTCCGTACTTATTTATACGTACACGAGTTTGGCGAGAGCCCTGATCTGGTAATTGGCCCAACCCCTATGTATATACCATGTGTCCGGCAATTATTAGACGAGAGCACTATTATTGGCCGAGGTTCCAATCAATATATACGGAGTACTCCGTACTCCGCCAATATATATGGTGCCACCTTTTTGATAGAGCAGGGTTTGCGCTCGGATCGGGTCTGGACTGTTATAAATATTGACAATAATTCCATGCTATTCAATTGATTTTCCCATCTCTTATAATTAACAGGCTAAATTCCAAGATTGACATTCAAAATAAGGATAAACTCTGGAAGTCAAAGGGGCCAAGATTTGTCAACGTGTACGGCCGTACAAATTGAAACGTGTGTTACGCCACAAATCCAAGCTATTGCCCAGGTAATTTTGGTGGATGCTTACACACCAAGATACTTTCAGCTCCATAATTCGAGGGCTATAACGTAAAATGGACCAATCATAGTCAAGACCATACAGCTTAGCCAGAGGAACCTCGGGAGGATTGTGTGAGTGGAGCCCATTATTGCTGCATGTAAATGTACCCTTGTAGGGATACATATTATTTCCGACTTACAAAGGACTTTGTCTCAATTTTCTGCAACCCTGTTGCCATATCAAAACATCAAAAAAGGACCTAGAAAAAAAAAGGAGTAATACATATGTTGTAGACCCGGATTGTATATAAACTTAAGCGGGAAAATCTCTGACTCCGGGCCGAATCTCAATTAGCCCCGTCCGAACAAATGACAGGAATTGAGACGTCCACGAATGTCCACAAACGTCCACAGGTCCACCATGTCTTTCAGCATCGAGCCGTGAATCCTATCGCATGGCCAGATGTGGAGACGAAGCTTGACAGGCGTGCATATCTAGCTTCTTCGAGATCACACGGAAAGAAAAAAAAAAAATAGGAAACCCAAAGGAAAAAGGATGGGTCCGAGCCTCGTGCGCCGATCTGGGTTCCCCCCCGGACTGATGGCCCATTCGAGAGAATCAGACAAGCTGGTTCGCTGGACAACGCTTTTACCTCCTTAGGTATTTCGTCCCGTTTCCCCGAGACTTGAAACGTATGCCACTTTAAAACGGGATCTGTTCACTTTCTGGCACACTATCCGTAGTGGGTATGGTGTGTGTGTGTGTGTTCGGTTTGTTAGTGGTGTATCCGTGCATTGCTGAAAAAAGGGGCAAGTGGTTGAATACGCTAGGGGATAAATATAAAAAGAAAATATAATACATAACAATTGACTCTGTATGAAGTAATACTCCGTAATGTGCACATCTATTGGGAAAACTGTCAGTATGAATTCATTGGTGCGTAATTCTACCCGAACATATCAGCCTAAAAAAGTCTACAACCTTATGTACGGTACTTTTTTATTCGTATAAAATTGAATCATTTTAGAATCTGGTACAGAATACTCCGTACTCCATACAAGGATAACAATTGGTTAGAAAGGAGAGGCAAAGTGCCTTCCATAATTGGACCGAGGTGACGCAGTCTCGGCTAAGTACTCGGTACCGGAATTTACCACCAAACAAGCTGGTCTCAACAAGTACCTTCTACTTCCACTCCTGAACTAAAGCACACTTATTATGCATATATTCCGATATTTTATACCGAGAAAGTGGACTCTTGAAGATCATGACAATCTTATGTCTCAAACTCCAGACTCTAAATCCCTAGCTGTCCTGTCCATGGAACCAAGAAGATCCATGATTAAAGCACTCTTTCCATGCTATGCAAATTTGTACGGGAGTATATAGCATAGACCTTAATATTATGCAAATTACTCCAAGTCCAGAGAATCTTTCAATTCTACCAATCATATCATTCCCCAGATCGTTTTGATCTCTCCACTTTCCCCGTCTTCCTTTCATCCTTGTTAGACCAGTGAACGGTCCTCGTAATCAATTCCCCATTGCTCCGTGCCGTCCCTGCATGGCTAGTTTGACTATTGTTCTAGATGTGATTATCCCTGTGAAACAATTAACCAATTTTAAAAAAACAAAATAAACAACTTCAGTAGAATTTTCATATAATTATGAGCTATTCCCTCCCATCTCTTTTTTTTTTTTCTTTCGTTTTTCTCTCCACTTTATATTACCTATTAACTTCTCCATAGTGGGAACGGGTCCTGGCGGCTGCACATCATTCCTTTTTATATGTAATATAACCGAAAAACAAATACAGTAAGTTTGGTTCCACACCTTTTTTTCCCCAAAATCCAATTTTCCCAAGGAAAGTGTGCCCTTGGGGGCGCTCAACAGTATAATACTTTCCTTTCCCTCCCTTCTTTGTGTTCTTCATCTCTCTGCTGTGCTTGAGTTGAACCGATAACTGTGTTATACGGCCTTTTATTCTTTTATTTTTTTCTCTTTTACCTTTTACCTTTTCACATTTTAACGACCCATCAGATACGAACTCTTGCATCATGTCTGCGACTGAAGCAATCGACCACCAGCTGGAGAAGGACGTGGGCCCCTCAAGCTCTCCCCAGAACGGGAACAACGGTGCCCCAATGCAGCCCCAGATGTCCGCCGAAGAGCACCAGGTAGCACGCGCCGCCGCGCGCTTCGGATATGGACCTCTTGCCCACGTCAACGCCACAGAAGCATCTCTGCCTCCCTTCGGTGGTGAGTTCCAGCCTGGTCTGTACAAGTCCGTTGAGGGCCGCAAGTTCGCCAATCCCGCTCCTCTTGGCCTGTGCGCTTTCGCCCTCACCACTTTCGTCCTGAGCGCCATCAACATGGGTACCCTGGATATCGGTAGCCCTAACATTGTTGTCGGTCTTGCTTTCGGTTACGGTGGTCTTGTCCAGCTTCTTTCTGGCATGTGGTATGTAACCGTCACTTCCATGCCCTTGGGTTTTAACTCCATGATTCCGCGGCTAACACGCGCCTTTTTTTTTATAGGGAAATGGCTGTTGGTAACACCTTCGGTGCTACTGCTCTCTCCTCCTACGGTGGTTTCTGGATCGCATTCGCCATGGTCTTGACCCCTGGTGGGTTCGAGATCGAGAAGAACCTCGGCGGTGCGGGCGCGAAGTTCTATGACTCCATGGGTCTTTTCCTGATGGTAAGTTGTTGCCTCCTTTCTTGCAAGAAATTCTTCCCGCTGACCATGTTATAACAGGGTTGGTTCATCTTCACCACCATCATGCTGTTCTGCACCCTCAAGTCCACTGTTGCTTTCTTCCTGCTGTTCTTCACCCTGGACATCACCTTCCTCCTGCTTGGTATCTGCTACCTGCACCGCGGCGCTGATGGCCACCCCAACGTCCCCATCCAGAAGGCCGGTGGTTTCTTCGGTTTCCTCGCTGCTTTCGCCGCCTGGTACAACGCCCTCGCTGGTATCGCCGATACTAGCAACAGCTTCTTCATCATCCCCGTCGCTCACTTCCCCTGGTCCCCCACTGGCCGTGTCCGCCGTGGTAAGACCGAGCGTGAGCTCGCATAAGCGATTTATTCCTTTTTTCTTATTAGAAAAGAGACCGGGATGCGGAGGGCCCACTTGGTGCTTGTAATGTTTTCGATACCCAGTGCTGTATGTATAGGCTGCAGATAGAGTTCCTCTGCTTTGCGCTCATCGACACGTTTGCTCGTCGTCGGTTCTGTGTTGTGGTTTGGAGGTCCGTCTGTTCGCCTGCGACTGTTGCTGTGTGCATGGATGATCAATACGGAACATCATGCTCGGCGCAGTTGCGAAACTATCCGCCAGTCATCTTTTGATTGCTGGCTGTAATTTTTCAGGGAGCACTCGGATGATATCTTGTGCTCTCTGGCTTTTCCTTGTTGTATTTAATCTCTCTTACCTGCGAGTTTCTGCGACTCAGAGTAATTAATTCATCCAACATTTCTCACAATTTGTGGAATCTTCGCTCCTGTCTTGTAGACTGTCGGGCTTTGAAGTGTCCGTTCTTGCCCTTGTTCAGGTGTTGCAGGACTGCTGCTGTGGCCTGAGGTATAGCCACGCACGTGAGTCAATCAGGTCATCGTGAGAAACGTCGAGCCAAAGATGCAATGCATCACATAGTAAGCAATATCTCTCAGAGACATTAGCAACATCCATCATCCAAGTGTATCCATGACTATGTAGTCAAGTCCTCCGACCTCAGGAGTTTAGAGGACTGACAAGCCATAGCATGGTATAGGATTCAAGTGATAATTAGTGAAGGCCTAAAAATCTAAAAACGAAGTCCGAATGTATTAGTGTAACCAAGAATGGTTTCAGCGAAAGGGGGATTATGGATGTATATATCCCGAAAGTCATTTCATAGACCAGCAGGGGTCTATTATACCTAGGCCCTGACTACGTAGCCCTCCGAATCCCGGCCTTCCGAGAGTGGAGGCTGATATCATGCCGGTGTTTTCTCGGTCTGGTCTAAGACCTGCATAGTTAGTTGACCAGCCAAGGATTTGACTAAAGACCTTAGAGATCTATTGTTATCGCATATCGTGTCTATAACAATAGATGTCTAACATCCTCAAACATACTTCGTAGAGTATATCTCCAGTTGAGAATGAAGAGAAATCAAAATGGAAAATAGCTAGGTCGAATAAAGGAAGCTAGGAAGTACAACATAGAGTTTCAGCTTCTATCAAAAAACGCGCAATGCCGAACTAAGGCCGAGCGTTGGCCGGCTGAAAGTCGGTGCGTGCTCGGCGGGGGCTGGGACGACGTATCAAGTTCTTTGTTGGTAGGGTGGACGGAGATTGTTCGGATATCGGGATGCCGTGCTTATCTTTATGGGATGATGGGTGAAGTATGTGTCGGGTTTGATCGGGATGGTGTGCTTAGTAGGGGGTTTTGGTTTCTTAGCTGTTTGAGAGCGGTTGGGCAGCAATATGTACGCGGTAAGTTCATTGAATTCTAAGTGGTCAATTAGGTAGGCTCTATGGATATGGCTATTTTGGAAGTGGTCGTCAATCATTGGAAATAGTACGGAGTACTATGTGTACATTATATCTTCACTCATGTAGGTAGCAAGATGGCAAATCTGAAGCCTGGGAATATACTAGAAGGAAGTGGTTGTATATAATCAACTTTTAAGAAGCTGGATCTATTACGGTAGAGCCATGGGGCCAAGTTCATACTGCCTCATACTGCCGGGTCTACCTGCAAATGACACTCATCCCAAATCTGACGAAGCATAGGCAGGTGAATGCGATCGACATAGAAAAAGCCTAGCAAGATAGCACGGGCCTCCTGCCATGAGCGGATTCCCTGTAGCCGTGCAGCATTGGCCAGTTCAGATACAAAGAAAGCCCGCTCTGACGGCATGGTTAAGCTGCAAGCTGCGCCCATGAAAAGCTGCCAGAGGAGCAGGTCGCGACAGAGCGCGAATAAGCCGGAGGGGATAGTTGCCTCAAGGGCAATGCGTAGAGCCTGAATCGGCTTGGGTAGCAACTGGCCGACCATTGGATAGAAATTCCAGATGGCGCTATTGTGGAATAGAAGTAAAGCGAGACGGGTGCAGCCTTCGATGGTATTGTCGCCCTTTACCTGGCCTGTTGCTGTATATCGGTCTGTGTGCAGTTGGTATTCTACGTGCAGCACTTCCGTATTGAAGTAGTCCTCGGTTTCCTCGTTGAACTCTTTGTACCCGGTGTTGCCTTTGATCCATTCTGCGTACCAGGACAGCTCGAGCAGATCGTAAACGATTTGCGACATGGCTTCGCCAAAGACGCCGGGTATTTTGAGTAGAGGGAAGAGGCGGGTGGAAAGTAATGCTACGTCGTCATTGGGTGGGATGAGAGAGAGACGCGCTGGACGGGCATAGCGGATAAAGGGGAATATAGGTTTGGCGTGGGCCATGCAAGCAACTCGGATATCAGTCCTAATTTCGAGGTTAGCAAGCTTTGTACCGAGTTATGACGGGGTATACCAACCATGAGATCTGGAACCGGACGTCTGAAGGAACATCATCAAAGTTCTTTCGCAGTGCGATCATCTGTCGCAAACCTGCCAGGTGGATTTTGAGATAATCGGGATTCCCCGACGCGATCTACAATCATGTATTAGCATTGGGAAGCACAAATCCAATTTTCGCAGAATTGACTCACTTCGATTGTCAATAAGGTAGAAACTGCAGCAATGAGGGCATCACTTGAAGCCTTGACCGGGTCTGACAGGCCCTCGTTGACCAATCGAATAGTCTCCCCACGATGGTGGAACGTGTCGATCACCAACTGACTCCGCTTTTGATTTGGATCTCGAATGGGTAGCTCGCCTGCCCGCATAGCGTCATTGGAAGTAGCCATACAAATTGTTGCATGCAAAATTGCCGGGTCGCGCTGAATCAAAGACGCCCAATGCGCCTGCAACTTGGGTTTATACCGCGTTTGCAATGGATGTGCTTCTTGTGTCAGATCCCAGAGGACTATACTGGCGTCAGTATGCAAGCTTTACCATATCATAATCGGGTCTGAAAAGACACTTACAGACTCGAAGGTGTCGCATCATTCTATCTGTGAGCTGCGTATGTCCAGTATGAAAAGGATCATTGGCTCCTTGTCCCACGTAAGACCATGCTGACCCAAAGCCACAGTCATATGTTGCAGCTTGCGTATCAGGGTATCCCACAGCTGTTGACGTAGCAAGCTCCTCGACCTGTTCTAGCTCTTGTTCATTTGAAATTTGACTTCCGGATAAGCTGGTAGACGAGTTGATGCACGGATAGAGATGCTCGGCAGGTACGAGTGCCCCGGGGTTCGTCGGTGGCCGATAAGGCGAGTGCTTCCATTTGCTCTTATTGTACTGTTCCGTGCTTTCCATTCGCTTCTTGCGATTATGCTCGGACATAACATGGGACCGGATCCGCTTCAAGGTCTCATCCGTTGTGCCTGCCGCTGCAGTTTGCTGATCACTGTTGACCCAGAATAACGTCGATTTCCCCGCAGACCCATTGTTGGTATTTTTACGAGGTTTGCGTACCCTGGTTGTTTTGCGACTGGGAGCTGTAGGAGGAGGAGTTGGAAGGGCAGTAGATGAAGGGGTTGGAAGGGCTGAAGGGGCTGGAGCTAGAGGTGTCTGTGTCGTCTGTACAGGGTTCGTAGAATCGAAGTGGATGGCAGCATAAGGGGAGTGGATCGGATCGGCCCAAGCAGCCGGCCGAGACAGCACGGGCAAGGTCTGCTCGTACGGTAAGTCCTTGGCGTTCATCGAGCTTATGACATTCGAGGTGAGAGAAGAGGTTAAACTTCCTGGCGGGGTAGATATTGGGGATTCTTCACATTGCCCCGCTAAGAGCTCTTGGGATTTGTTTTAAGGGGGTTGTGTTTTAAGAAGAGAACTAAGAGGAGGAATTTCAACCTTGGAAGGTTTGGTCATCTCTTTAGTCAGAATAACAATCTCCCCCCTTTTATATCCCTCCACTTGACCTTAATATGGGGTTATTCACCGAGTATTCCTAGGTGGCAACATAACTATAAAAGGAAATTATATAGTTAATTTTATATTAGATGATCTGCATTTTGGCCCCCTGTGAGGCTAAATATTTATTAAAGACGTTAAGTCAAGATTTTTTTTACCCCTGTCAGCACTAGCCCTTGACCTCGGGAACTTGTTAGATTGTATAGCGAGACTGTGCAACTAAATATTATCAACATGGATTTGCTCTTGGCGTTTTGTTTAAATATTATGTATTTAGATACTACATGATTTGAGATTTTCAATATACAATGTACATGGAAACCGTCTACACAATGAACAAGTGAGATAGAAATAAGATAGTTAAAGGGAAGATAATCTAACGGACGTCAGTTTCATTCCGCCATGCAAATGGTAGGCTATTAGGTCATGCCGGGGCGCGGGAAGATTGGCACCGTGTCCAGCTGTTCTAATCCGCCAATTGTACCACTCTGCCCACTGTTTTGCCAACCTTGTCCGGTCTGCTGATTGATAAACTGGCTCTGTCGGAAAGGATTGGTGCTACCAGTTGGGTTAGGCCGCAAGGGAGCTGCTGCTGGTGGTTGCAGACCTTGTTGCGGAGCAGGAGAGGCCCGCGCAAAAGGATTGGTTCCCGTCCGCTGAGGTTGGATCGGCTGCGCCTGTGGCTGTGGAAGCTGCTGCGCTTGCGGAGATTGCGCGGGCTGAAATTGCTCGTTTGAGGGATTATATTGCGGGGTTGCGGTTGAGAGTCGTCTCGCGAATGGGTTCGTGTTCTGTCGCGATAGAGGAGCGGCGGGTGGCTGAGCGCCGGTGGGAGTGTTGAGCATCATTGACTGGCGGAAGGGATTTGTGTGCTGGGGCTGCAAAGGCTGCAAGGTCTGAGGTGCTTGTTGTTGTTGAGGGAATGAGGCAATGCCTTGCTGGGGAATAGGAGCCAGTTGCGACTGGAACCCATACTGCTGCTGCTGCTGCTGCTGCTGCGGAGGCTGGGGAGAGTACCCTCCAAATCCAGCCCCAGTTGGCATAGCTTGAAGTGGCTGCGGCGGCGGCGGTTGTGGTTGTTGCTGCTGCCCAAATGGATTGTTTGGGCTTTGTGCTTGATAAGGCGCCCCATACTGGGTCGGCTGGCCATATCCAGTTCCCAAAGGCTGCTGGATCGCTTGAGGTTGCTGCTGGAAGCCAGTCTGCTGGGGATAGAATGGTTGCTGCGATTGCTGTTGGAACTCTGGTTGCTGGTACTGCGTTGGGTTCTGTTGCCCCATGGGCTGCTGATTCTGCTCAATTGAATCAAAGAAGTCGATGAGATCCACAGGCGGTGGCTTCGGTTGTTCAGCCTGCTTGGGTGGGTTTGACGCTGGCGGGTTCGGCGTTGTCTTTGATACTTCTGCAGTCGTACTGGCTTCCATGTTCGGCGGAACGCGTACACCTTTCTTGGCCAAGTACTCCCGTCGGCGGAGATCGAAATCAGGATCATTGAGATCATCCTCGAGAAGGCGCGCCAAGTCTGTTGAGGCATGCTTGAGCTTCGGGATTTCTAGGCGGGTGGCAGATTGGAAATGTCTTGCCACCCCCAAGAACTGGACCACTTCTTCCGTTTGCTTTGTGAACGTCTTGTAGATTGCCAAGGCACGTATACTATCCGGCCGCGACATCTCAAAGTAGTGTTCTATGAGGTTTCAGGGTTAGATCAATGCCGATCCGTGGAGGGGCTGCTGACTTACCCAAAACATTGATCGTGCCCTCATTCATGACTGAATATAGAGTCAATAGATCAAGTGTGAGGAGACGGAACGCGGTCAAACTGATCTCGTTCTCGGGCTCATCCGTCAATAGCTATATAGTGTTAGCCGCAAGGAAGAATACCCCAAATTCAGTATTAACCCACATCGCATCGCAGCAATGCACGAATTTGTTTTTGTACAATCTCCGTCTCCCTCAGCAGGCCTTTGTCCACGCCTATTCTCTTCAGCCGTCCCGGTCCGCTTCGTACATGATCCGTCTTGCAAGCGTCGAATGCCTTGGCGCGCGTGATAAGGTATTCGGCATAGCGTCGGATATTATGTCCCTGCGATTGGGCTGCAAAACAGTTAATAAGCTGCGTCCGCATCCATATAAAGAAGCTATTGGTCTAACCTTCAGAGAAATTGCTGGGCGCGATTTTCTTTGGATTATCGGACAAGTAGCCCAGCGCAGCATCCAGTTGACCCTCTCGGATCATGAGGTGTAGGACGATGAGCGCCTTAAAAACAATGGTCCATGCCGAGTCTCGGAGTCGTATCTGGAGGGTTCGGAATACCTCTGCGACTCCTGCCTCGCCGGTATGAGTTGCCACAAGGATATTCTCTATGTATTTGGATTTAGGGGCCGCAAGCTGTTCATGACCAGTGGTTAATAATTGTCGCATTAACAAAAGAAGGAGCTTAGCATGTCAGACTAACCTTGAGCTTCGTGGCCCCTTTTACTGACTTCTCAAATCCTCCGGGCATGTTTCTAGAAGTTGCAAATCGGTGCCCAACTGCTCGATGGCTCAGAATGCAAATCTGTCAGAAGACAGTGGGAAAAGACTGGAGAGCCTGCTCCAGTAATCAATGCGCTTGTAGTGTCCGAGAAAATCTTCAATCATCCGTATCGCTCATGACGTGGCTCAATGAGCCATGTTGTAAGCTTGGGGAAAGTGGGTAGTTTTCTAGGGGAGGGGTTCAAAGTTGCAAAGTCCGATCGGAATTGCCGGTTTAGGGATTGGTGAAATTGTAAATCACAAGGTTAATTTGGGCTGAGAAGCAAATGGAGGGGATAAGGATAGCAAAGAGATAGTCTTAAGAGGGAGGGAGTTACTTCTGGGGCGGAGTGTTCTTAGAGGCAACCTCAATTGGGACTAGCGCATGTTTGCAGTTCCGCGTGTGCACAAAGTTCGGAGTATAAAAGTATAGAACTATGGGAATATATATTATATTGGATTAAATATTAAAGATTATAAGCTATATAAACTATGAATAGATGGCAATATCTTGGATGTATCAGTTATTAGCCATATAATCAAAATCTAATAATCTTCTATTCATTTAACTATCATTATCCTTCAAGACTCTAACTATATATTGATTGGACCATAGTATTTGTATTTTGAAGATTGTGACCTTATATTTCTAGTATCTAGAATAAGTATCTGTTAACAAACCCCTGGAATACAATGTAGATATTCAGTGGCAAGAAGTAACCCAAAGAGTGATCATACTATGTAGTATAGAAAGAACCTGTATTGCATTTGCTAAACACTCGCCAAAGAAACATTTCATCATTTCTTCAAAGGGGTTGGCTGTATATAGAGGGAAATAGAAAGACACCCTTTCTACACTATAGGCTAACTAGGCGAGTAGAAGATAAGTGTTTCGAGGTGTAGGTTAGATGTAAGTGTATATATATATATACTCCACTTGGTGAGCCGGCCCTAAGTTACAACAAAGGTCCCTATGATTCAGATTCTCAGGGATATAATGAATGCTGATGGCTTAATTACATACGTACTTACCCCCTTAGCCAAAAAGAGTCTTGTATACATTTGCTTCATTCATCCAGGGAAAATGCGTACGTAGAATAGTGTGATCTTCAACTTCGACTTTATCTGAATATGAGAAGAAGAGGAAGTTTTGAAAATAGATGTGTGATAAGTCCAGATGTCTTTCTATGCTAAAGATACATAGTCATTAGCTTTGCTCTTTTGTAGCTCCTTGGAAGAAGGTACATATAGTCGCATACATGGGACCAAAGATTTTTAGTTAAGAGATCTCTTTCTCTTCTAAGTCCGAGCCCTTACGATTATTTGAACTCCTTCCTCGTTTGCTTCAGCTCTTTATTTTACTTTTCTTCTTTCTACCCTTCTGACTTTCGTCCTTCTTCAATCTCCCTCAGCCCTCACCTTCTACATAAATCCTCGGCCATCCTGAGCTTTCATCCCTCCAATATTTTATCTCTTACAGTCTATTCCTCTGAGATTTTGGCCCTACCCTTCTCATTCATTGAAAATGGAGAACCAAAGACCCCCTAAAAGGCCGAAGCTCCGATGGGACGTCTCGATGCGCCAAGTTCTGTGTTGCATTTACCGATTCTTCCGATGTGAGAAGAAAGCGAAAGAGGAGATCTTTTTCTTCATGTTCCGAGAAAAATTGAGAAACCGTGGTATTAGACGGTTTGTTCCAGATAGCACACTCCACACACAATGGATCTGGATGAGAAACACTGGTGACTTTGTCTGGGCTCATGTCCACCGGGACACCGAATTCAACATGGACGGACAATGGAAGAACATCATCCAGCGAATCAAATCTACCGCACTCACTTTGCGTCTTCCTCTTCCCGAGAAGAAAGAAGATGATATCGACACAACTCAATGGGGGACGCGAGTGACAATGGCGTTGAGACCGAGAACTGAGTCCCCCCAACAGACACCCCACCACATGCCATTTCCACTGCGCCAGCGAATGGCAGAGGAAAGGAGTCATTATTTTACCGAAAGTGAGGGCCAAACCAGTGACAGCAGTACACTGAGTGTTTGCCACAGCAAAGAATCGATCGACCAGCTGATACAGACCGACCACCCGGGGCAGCACGATCATCTGGAGAAAATCGACCCAGTGAGAAAGGGCGAGCCGGTTGTTACTAGCCATGGGAAGACTTGTCTCTGGTGCGGCCATGGATTAACTATTGACGAGGTGGATGGTACCGATGACCAGATCACTACGAGCGATGATCCGGCGGAAAACAACCACTATTACCAAAGCCAGCAGTCCGGAGATCAACACCAAGAACACTCAGAAATTCAAGGAGACTATGAACATCAAGAACATCCATTTGGCGACCAGCAAAATCACGACGAGGGCCAAAATCACCTCCACCGTCAACGCCGCCACGTCGACCATGATCTGGCAATGCAAGGAGTTCCCAGGGACAAAATGCCACCGTTGCTGTTTCGGTGGTCGAACCGTGACTCACAAGGAGTGAATTCGAAAACACACTTTCTCGCCGGACTGTTTTGCGAGTCTGAATGGTTTGACCCGGAAGACGTGTCCGAGAGACGCTTTGAAAGCTTCTTCAGAAGTCATGTCACTAAGGAGAAGGTTAAGACTCCCCTGATTTCTACCTTTCGGTCTCCCCTAGCGCCTTTTCACCGTGCGCTTGCTGGTCAGAACGGTGCCATAGTGACCGTTATCGAGACCTCAAAGTTGGACACAAAAGTATTCTACGCTCATCCGCTTGCAGTTCGGACTAAGACTTTAGTACTCAACGGCTGGCAGGGGTATGGGGAGTACGTTATCTGGGGCCAGATCCCAACCGAGGCAATTGCTTTCAGCGTGGATATCATCAGTCTCCAAGAAATTGCACAGAAACACCATGACATCAATCGTTTGATGCAGGTTCCACTCATCTGTAGCGTTCCACGCTGCGATGAGCAGTTGCGCTCCACGTTGGCGCTGAAAAGGAAGTCGCCTTTTCCATCTGGTCGAACGCTTGCAAAGCTGCTGACTCTTCTCCAAGTTCCAGCGATTTACTGGGATAATTTGTCGATTGAATTTTGCAAGGCGTGGGGATGGAGACATGGAAAAGAAATCGCCCTTTTCCTCAACGGAGTTCGCAGTTCACCACCCTATCTGCCTGAGGAATTGAGTGATTCCGAGAGTGAGGGCCCATGGCTCACACCGCGAAAAAGACCTGGCCAGTCCCACCAATGGATGGACTTTGAATGTGTTTTTGACGTAGATTACGAGCCGCCCGAGACCGATGAGGAATCAGGAAGTACCTCCAATTCGGAAGACATGGCCGAATCTCGATCCATGTCCATTTGCGACATGACGGAGACTGCTGATGATGGCAATTTCTCAACACATGAGACGATGTCCAGTGGAATTTTCTCGGAGTATGAGGTACAGCATCAAAAGGTGATTGATCTCACCTCCGACAACGAAGAGACTGGTTCCCAACATGCATTGCAGCTGGATTGGCCGTCGGATGATGAGCCGTCCATGTATCAAGAGACACCCACGAAGATCCGGCCACCACAATCGGGGCAGAGGACCGGACATTGGCTCGTACTAAATGGCGAGATGGATATGGACTTCTTCGAGAAGTTCCGGCACTCGTCTGACAGATGAACTAAAATAGTGATAGCCGGAAGGCCACGCGGAGTAGGATCTATGTTTGGGGCGGAAGAACATTTCAGCAATTTTTGTTTCATCGAAGATGAGAAACCCCTGACCAATATGTCAATATGTCAATACATCAATATGCCTTTGTAATATTAGTTGAATAAAAGCTTCCTAGCAATGATGTCTGCCCGAATGTATGTAATGCCTGTAAGAATTTCAAGGGTAGTATATGCATCTGAACAAAATTCTACCTCACAAGGCATCTAGGCAGGCATTATGCAGCCCGACTAGTAAGGCTTGGAATAACCAAGGAATGCCCTAAATGAGGTAAAAACATCGCCTACAGACAGCCAAACGACAACCCTTCCCCTGGGTATGATTTGCCATTACCATAGAGAACACATACTGAGGTCCTACTGTATCAACGTTAGACTTAGAAGAGCAAGGAGAAAACTCGAGATGCGCATTGAGAGGCTCTGTCCAGATTGCCATCCATGGTCAATCTTGCTTTGTACCAGAGTTGTTGTACAGTTTCCATCACAGGAGGGCCGAACAAATCATTTTGATTTTTGCGTGGATACACATTCATCAGCGAGGTATCTGGGACATGGAAACTCATAAACTATCCCGACCCCCATCCAAGAACTTCCCGTATATCCAGTCCATACCGCTTCCTTCGCCTTCAAAACACCTGGGTGATTAACCTAGAACTTGGAGAAAGACTTGACAGCGCGGGAGGTCTTGGCGTGAACCTTCAACACGTTGAAGCGAACCTATAGAGAAATTCGGGTCAGTTATCAAGTTCGTAGAAAATCAATGCAATTTGCCAAATCCGCTGTGCTGTAGTAGTGCAAAAGTGCTTGGTGTTGCAAACTACCGAGAGTGGCGAAAATTGGCAAGGATGGCAGAGAAACGTACAGTCTTGCTGAGAGGACGGCACTGGCCGACGGTAACCATGTCACCCTCCTCAACACGGAAAGCGGGGGAGACGTGGGCAGACAGGTTCTTGTGGCGGCGCTCGTAACGGTTGTACTTGGGGACGTAGTGCAGGTATTCGCGGCGGATGACGAGGGTACGGTGCATCTTGGTGGAGACTGTAATTAATTCGTTAGTAAATCTCCTTGTCTTGTAGAAAGACAGTTCTGATTCAACTTACCGACTTTGCCGACGAGGACACGGCCGCGGATGGAGACCTGGGAAGTGAAGGGGCACTTCTTGTCTGTAAAGGTTCAAAAATGAGCAATCTGACACAATAATTTGGTGAATGCGAGTAATTTTTCGGCATGAGTGGTCTTTTCCGAGGTTCAAAAGTTCGAGTGTTGAATGCGAATATTGGCGAGAGAGAGGGAAACGACAGAGATTCCAGGCCCCTCAATTGCTCCATGCGATCCTCCATTCGCCCTTTGTATCCGTGAAAAGACCACCCACCCATAAATTCCGCCGCTATATTTCGAATAAAATCTCAACGGAGGTCGTGCATACCGATGTAGGTTCCCTCAATGGCGGTCTTGGGGGTACGGAAACCGAGACCGACGTCCTTGTACCAGCGGCGGCCCTGGGCAGTCTTCTTGGAAGAAGCCTTGGACTTGGTGTTAAGGAAGATGTGAGGCTGCTTTTGGAAAGCGCGCTCCGACTGGACGGTCAACTCGGTGGCCATTTTTGCGGTGTTGTTCGACGAGGAAGCGGTGTCGAAGAAAGGTCGGGTTGGCGGCTGTCGAAGATGAGGAAGATTCGTTGCCCTTCGGAATCTTTGGTAATTCGTAGTGTGCGACACTAGTCCCGATCGGGACTAGACTAATTGGGGTTAGGGCTCTGCGCTTTTGTTTACATCACGTGATTGCGGAGGCAACGCGCTTTGGGCAGGTGCGATAGGAGTAGATTACAGGCGCAGTTCTGTTTAATTTAGAGATCTCAACGTTCGGATTTATGGAATATGCAATCTTGAATTGATCTGTGAATCTGCCGATTCGACCGCCGACAATGTCAACCCGACCCGACTCCGCGGCTTTGCGACCGCCACGAACTCGTCGGTCTATCGCTCATGTCCCGCGGTCTAGGATGACGTCTGGCTTGGACAAGGAGAATGCGACAACTGAAATTGGCGCAGCCCAGCCCTTTTTAAACAATACAAAGCCCGCTTCAAAAGACAAGAAGTCTCGGAGCAAGAGCTTGGGGCCCGGTGGACTTGATGCCCTCCAGAATTCTAACGGCAATCGTCGGCAGGTAGCTACCAACGGAATACCACGTGCGCATATGCAGAACTATTCTGACTGCAATATTTATAGTCTACGGCTTCTTTTCCACTAAAGTCAATTCTCAAACCTACAGTTCCTGTCTCTCCAGTGCGAACCATCCCGACATTCGAGGAAACGCGCCGACGTACACCCGCCCGTAGCGAACAACATATCAATGACGGCGCGATGGACGGACAGGGCCAAAGGGGTCAAGGGAAAGAGGATCTCTTGATTGACTTTGGAGCAACACCAGGACCTCCCACGGCAGACAATGACAATGACGACACGGCGAACCCGTTTGATACATTCAATGCGACTTCTGCCATTCGGGAGGAGATGGCGGCTACGAAGGAGCGCGATGAGCAGGAGCGCAAAGATCGAGAACGACAGAACATCTTAGAGAAACGAGCGGCGCGGAGGAAATCAATGGGTTCGTGTGTTCAACTTCATCATAGAAGTGGATATTGACACATTTATGCAGCAAATCGCCGAGTATCCTTTGCCCCCGAGGCAACCCTGCACACCTGGAACGTGGTGGAAATTCCGGACGACTCAACCTCCTCTTCTGCCGCGAACTCAACGAGGCGCGCATCTGCGGCCGCAAACTCCCAGAATCAACCCGCTCCCTCCTCGCCTACCAAAGATGCTCCGTCTTCACCAGCAGAGTCCGAATTCGGATTCTCCCCTGTCCGCACACAAGATCTGGATCAGATAAGAGGTCGCCAATCAGGAGGTGGTGGCGACGATGACCTCCAGGATTTATCTTCTAGTCCGTTCAGCGGAAGCTCGGTAGGAAGCGAAGACACCGGCGCTCAAAGCCTGGCTGGTGAAGAGGACGATGATGGCGATTCTTCAGGATCTGACGATGGATTTGATGCTGAGAGCACTGCAATGAGCATGGATGATATGACCGCACGATCAGGCGTCAGTGTCCAATCGGATGCAACTTCTAGCTCCAGTTCTAGCGCCAGACTCAACGAAGCACTGCGCCAGGCCGCAAAGGAAGCAGGAACTGAACTTGATGAGGATGGAGAGATGTCAATGGAAATTGCCGATCAAGAAATAACCGGTGCTTTCCAGCCGTGGATCAAAAAAGGCCAAAGACAAAGCTTTGACTGGGGAGATATTAGCGCGCGACATGATGAGGAGAACCTCGGTCCATCGGAAGCTACCACTCAAGGCTTACCAGGATCAGATGATATCGACGAGGGTGAAGACCTTAGCATGGACGTGACAAATGCCGTAGGACGCATTCTTGGAAAGTCTCCCGGCCGTCGCCAGAGCACGGCTCGTCGCCAGTCCGTGGCAGAGGAATCGAACTATGGCGATCAAACTATGGAGATGACTAATGTCGTCGGTGGCATCGCACAGGATGACTCTCCATCCAAGTTTTCTGATGTTGGCAACGATGATGAAGGAATGACAATGGAATTCACTTCGGCCGTTGGCAAAATCTTGGGCAACCAGCCTGCTGCCTCCAACTCTGATCACATGAACTTCGATCAAGACAATGAGTCTGACGATGGTATGGACATGGAGATTACTGGTGCGATTGGTGGTATCCTACAGTCAGGGATCGAAGCCAATGATAAAGTGCACGCGAAAATGATAATGGAGCTCGAAACGGACTCGGGTCAGCTTGCTAGCTCGCCTTTCCAAGACAATGTTCGGCAGTCCCCTGCGAAGTCCCCTGCTAAATCACCTCTGGCTTATCAAATTGCTGCTGTTGCATCCGAAACTGGAAGCCCGAGTTTGGCAGCCGTGCGTGCTAGGCCTTCCCGGCGTAGCTCCACCCCAGGGTCATCTGGCACGCCTGGCCGGCAACAATCACCAAACCCGAAGCCATTGACTCCACCCAAACAGTCCACTCCTCAAATGAAACCTACCACCCCAAGCAAGACACCCCCCTCTAGCAATGTTACTTTCAGAAGTGCTTCACCAAAGAAACTTTTCCAGCCCGAGCTCCAGCAATCAGCAGATAAGCGCAAGTCTCTACGCCAAAGCCTGTTCGAGCATAACATAGCTACGGGAGAGTCAACCCCGGTCTTCAAATTGCAACCACGCGAGGGGCGTCGTTCTTCTGGTCTGGGGATTGATAAAGCAGGTCTTGGATCTCCTCGCGTGGCGGCATTGCTTGATAAGCGACAGTCGCTTGGAGATAGTACGCCCCCGTTCATTCCGCAAGAACAGACTCGATCCGGTGTACGCTTCGAGGATCCTCTGCAAATGCAGGCCGAGGAAGAACGTGACCGCGAAGAAGAGGAACTTCGAGAAGACGGCCATATCACGGGCTTGCAGCCGGATCGGGAAGTAACCTCAAGCTTGAAGGACATGATCTCAAATCTGAGCCCGAAGAAGACTAAAATTGGCAGCCGCAAGAGTCTTCATGTTGGGGCTGCTCGCGGGGTTTTGGGCAAGCGCCCGGTTGAGCTGGATCTGGACGAAGATGAAGTCGAGAATTCGCCCAAGCGACTTCGTGGCCACAATGTCAGCCCAGTCAAAGGTGTCAAGTTACCGGCACCAGTGTTCAAGGAAGGTAATGCCCGACGGTCAATTCTTTCGCCCGTCCGTCGAGCTGCTAGCTCATCGCCTCCAAGGGGCAGCACCACGCCTTCCCAGCAACCACGGAGTGCTCCCCATACCTCAACAACTCCTCTCAAGCATGGGATTGACGCTCTTCATATTGCTTCTGATCCTCAGCAGCCAGAAGAAGAAGAAAAAGAGAACACCCCCGCCGAAGAACCCCCGGTGGAGATTGAATCCATCAAGTTGCAGGACTTCCTAAAAATGACCAATATTCATTTCATGGAACTTACTACGACAAAGAGACGACACACAACTGCCCCTGGCAGTGCCACCAAGAAGCTAACACGACGCTCTGGCGAGAGCATACCTAAACCAGGATCCATAACATTTGATGATTGTGTGGCAGCTGGCTTTTGTACAGTGCCAATGCTTGAATTGTACCAGCATGTAAGTTCTAATATGTCTGCATATACACTTGTTATCGCTCACACTGTCTTTAGTCATGCCGGGAGTTGAAATCCTATATTTCTGAAGGTCGGCAAGTGATTCGCTCTATTGAGGCAGAAACATATGCCGAGAATCCACCTCTCTTCAAGGAGTATGTCACAGCTCCGCCAGATATCCGAGTGATCATGGACAATCAATTCCGAAATGTCAAGACCCATGCCCGTCTGCTGAGTAAGGCTACATGGTACGAATGGCGGATGAAGTTGCTTGAGGGGCTGAAGGAAGGACTGATTCGCCACGTGGATGAAATGAAAGCAGACGACGATCTGCTGTCTGAACGAGAAGGATTGCTCAACAGGAACGTGCCGTTACTCGTGGAGAAGCATGCCTCTCTCGAGCAAGAGGCAACTAACCTACAACAGCTGGTGGATGAGATGGAGAACTGTGATCAAGATGAGTTACGCAGCACGCGCAACAAGCTATCTGAAGTGGAATCCGAAATTGCAACCAAGAGACAGGAACTTGAGCAGTTGCAGAAGGAAGTCCAGGAGAAGACGACCTTCATCGAGACTGGAGCTGAAATGCGGGATGAATTCCTGGCTCAAATCCAGGAGGCGGAGCGTGTGAAGGAAGAGTGCCGTGGCTGGAGTGCACGGGAAATTAACGAATTGAAGGGTGAGTTTTTCCCTCCTTTCTTCTAGAGTCTTTTGTTGGTGCGATGCTGACTAGAAAAAAATAGCCTCCGTCCAACGGATTCAGCAACAAACAGGCTGGTCGATCGTTTCGGCGTCAACTCCGTCGGATGCACCAAAGGGACCTTTATTGAAGATGGGTTACCGGGACCAGCTCCAACTAGAGTTCTACCCCGGAGCTTTTGCCTCCAAAAACACTGGCCTAGACGAGAGCAAGAACTATCCAATGGAACTGACTACCCAAAAGAATGTCAACATTTCTCCTATTGCATCCTTGGTCCTCCACTCGCTGCAGCACCACCTGACTACCATCCAGCAATCCACTGTTGCACCTAAGCAGCTTTTGCGCTTCATCTCTAGTGCATGGGACCGCACAGTTGGACTGGAAAAGGAAGCGCGCATGCTGGAATTCTGTGGTGTCACTCGCCTCACCCTATCCAAGCCTGATGATGGCTCTCTTTCTTTACGCACACGCTGCACGATCCTTGGAAATGCCACCGTCTCTACACCTGGCCGCAAGGGCGCTACTACGGCGAACAACGGTGCGAAGAGAATCGATGTTGACTTCACTGTCCGTACCCACATTGATAAAACCAATGCAGAGAGCACTGTGGGCTCCTTGGACTTTGATATTGACGTTCTGGCGACGAAGGTCTATGGTTTCGGAACAGGCAACAAGTCTGGTCTGCCAGACAAGGAGTTGCAAAGCATTCTCGGCAAAGGGCTTGGCCGGGAGAAGGACGGTGGTGTTCAACTAG